GTTATTCCAGAGGCTCCTTACACCATCCTTGTCTTTTTGGATTCTTTTTTCTTCTTGCTGTTCTAATTGGTTGGTTATTTGTTTCCTTATGTTCCAAATCATTGATTAGATTCTCGGCTTCATCCACTCTACTATTTTATCCCTCTAAATTATTCTTTATTTCAATTACTGTATCCTTCATTTCTTATGGGATCTTTTTTATGCTGTTGAGGTCCTCACTAAGTTCCTTGAGCATCCTTATAGCCAGTGTTTTGAAGTCTGCATCTGGTAGATTGCTTATCTCCATTTTGTTTAGCTTTTTTTGTGGAGTTTTCATCTGTTCTTTTGTTTGGGCCATGTTTGTCTCCTCATTTCGGCAGCCTCCCTGTGTTTGTTTTTATGTATTAGGTAGAGCTGCCATGATACCCTATGTTGGTAGCATGGCCTAATGTAGTAGGTGTTCTGTAGCGCCCAGTGGCACAGCCTCCCCAATCATCCAAGCTTGGTAGTCAAGGTGTGCCCTCTGTGTAGGCTAACTATACCCTCCTTTTGTAGTTGAGCTTTGACTGCTGTTGACAGCCAATGGGAAGGATTTATCCAGGCCAGTCCACCGCAAGGACTGGCTGTGACTACTGACCACCATGAAGGTGGTCAGAGGGCAGCCTCTGTCCTCCATGGAGGATCAGCTGTGCCAGAGGCCACTCCACGGAACAGGACTTATTCCAGCAGGGCTCTGGTGCCTGCTGAGTCAGCCCCTTGAGTGTAACACTTGTGGGGATAGTTAGGCGGTGGCGCTCTGACATGGTCCATAGCTGTTACAGGGTGTGCAGGCTCTAAGGTTTCTCAGGAGGTGCAGACCTAGGTCAGCCACCACCTATGTTCTACCTGGGGCCACTTGGCATAAGTTATAAGGCAATCTGCAGATAGCTGCTACTTGTGCTGGGCTTGAAGATGCCCAAGCATGGCCAGGCTGTGAACAAGGCCAGCTGCTATTAGTTCCAGGCCTTGGACCACTTAGCAAGCGGTATGTGGGCTCACTGAAGCCAGCTGTTGCTTGTTTGAGGGAATTTAGGAAGATCTGAAGCATGAGCCAAGACAAGACATTCCTATGGAAAAAGCACTGTTAACAGCTTGGGTGGGCCCATGAGTTGGGTGGAGTGGAGCCTCAGGGAATCACCAGGGCAGGGCAAAGAGGCAGTTTTGTGAAGTCTCATTTGGTGCCTGCTGCTCTGTGGCTCTTTGGTGAGGGTTCAGAAAAGGAACAATGGCATCTGCTATTACTTTTATCTGGGAGAAAGCTGTCAGCCATCTCTCACCCTGATGCCAGGCACTTCAGTTCCTCCCCATGTGCCACTGGTGCTTTTCAAGCTGCTGCCCCAGTGCTGGAGCTTAGACAGAGTGAAGAACTTGCACAGGCCCATTAAGAGGTACTGCTTGAGAATCTAGCAGTTTCTTCCAGCAACTCAATCCCCACTGGTTTTTACAGCCAGAAGTTATAGAGACTTATCTTCCTGGCACTGGAACCTTCTGCTGGGGGGCCTGGTATGGGGCTAGGATATCCCTAACTATCCCCCTAGATATCTCTCCTGATTGTTTACCACTACACGGTGTGGGACCAGGCTGCTTTGCATCTCCGCCCCTCCTACCAGTCTGGATGGATGTGGTTTCTTCTTTAATTCCATAGTTAGAGACTTCCATTCAGCTCGATTTCTGACAGTTCTGAGTGATGGTTGTTCTATAGATTAGTTGTAATTTTGATGTGGTTGCACAAGGAGGCGAGGCATATTTACTTAGGCCACCATCTTGGAGAATCCTCAGAATTTCCTCTTTATGGCTAAATAATATACCAGTGTGTGGATGGACCACATTTTGTGATATCAGTGGACATCAGGCAGTTTTTACCATATAGCAGTGTAGACATCCAGTTGTTCCCAGCCCAGCATACGCCTCCCTCTCCCAGTGATAGAATCCCAGGTGCCTCCCACAACTCCCACTATAAATGTCTAGAAATATTTCTGTGTGGTAAAGAATAAGATTTTAAAAAATAAGTTTTTTTTTAAAGATTCCATTCAAAAGAACAATAGCAAGCAATCATAGGCATGTAAGAGCAGCTCAAACAAAATAGATGAAGTTATGTTTGGGGAAAACTTTTAAACAATTTAAGAACTTAAAAGAAGTCTTAAAAAAGTGAAGAGATTGTCCAAATCATGTATTTGAAGACTCATTGTTACAAACATGATTGTCTATCAAAATTAATCTATAAATTGAATTAAATTACAATCAACATTTCAATTTTTTTCTGTAACTTAACAAAACTTTCTAGTAATCAAGGTACAAAGCATAGAATCAAATCAATTTTAAAAATTAAGTAGAGGAATTTACCTACCAGATAATTAAGACATATCTTATTCTATTCTTTTACTTTCAGTCTATCCACATACTTAGAGTGTGTTTCTTGAAAGAATATCTAGTTGGGTTTGTTTTTAATTCAATCTGATGATGTAGTGTTTAGTGTATCAACATTTAATGGAATAATTGATGTATTTGTGCTTAACTCTATTTTCTTGCTATTTACTTTCTAATTGTCTTTATTTTGTGACTTGTCTTTGGTCTTCTTTCAGATTAATCAAGTATTTTTATGCTATTCCATTTTTTGTTCTCTGTTAGCCTTATTCCTGTAACTGTTTTATGCTTTTTAATGGTTATTTTATTGTAATCCTAGGAGTATAACATGCATCCTTTACAATCTAGTCTACTTTGAATTAATATATTCATGTTCAATGTACAAATTTTATGAAAGTACTTTACAGGAAATAGTTTCATTTACCCTCCTCTTATGAATTATTATTGCATTTACTACATATACCTTCATTAAACCCCTATCACTCATTGCTATTTTTTCTTTAAGTAGTTTCTTATAAAGAAATTTTTGAAAATGTTATTTTAGCCTTGGCCAGTGTGGCTCAGTTGGTTGGGGCATCCTCCCGTAAAGGGAAAGGTCACAGATCAATTCCCCAGTCAGGGCACATGACTGGGTTGTGGGTTTGATCCTCAGTCCGGGTATGTATGAGAGGCAACCAATTGGTGTTTCTGTCTCATTGATGTTTCTCTCCCTTGTTCTCTTCCTCTATTACCCCCTCTCTAAATCAATAAACAGGTCCTTGGGTGAGGATTAAAAAATATTATTTTATGTTAGTAATATATATACTATTTCCAGTGCTCTTTATTCCTTCCCACAGATCCTGGGTTCTGCCTGGAATTATTTCCCTTCACCCTGAAGAGCTTCCTTTAATAGATTTTGCAGCGTGGATCTACTGGCAGTAAATACCTTCAGCTTTTGTTTGCCTGAAATTGTCTTCATGCTGTCTTCACTTTTGAAGAATAGTTTTGTTGGATATAGAATTCTATATATTTTTTATCTTTAAGCACTTTAAAGATGTCATTCCATCGTCTTTGGTTTCCACTGTTTCTGATGAGAAGTCAATTTTGATTCATGGTGTTCACCTATGTACAATGTACATTTTGCTTTGACTGCTTTTTTCTCCTCTTTTCTTTAATTTTTAGCAATTGATTATGACATGCCTAGGTGGAATATTCTTTGTATTTACCCAATTTAGGGTTCATGAACTTGATCTGAGGGCTTATGTCCTTTGCAGATTTTGGAAAAAAATTCTGCCATATCTCTTCAAATTTTCTTCTATACTATTCTCTATCTTCACCCATTTATCCATATTTTCATTAAATTCTCTAACAGATTTATTAGTTATCTTTATTTCTGTGCTAACTCTGGCACTCTGGGTGAATGTTTCTTCTTTAACTCCTTGGTTTTTGGATTTTCATACAGTTTGATTTTTCTGGCAGTTTTTGCTTTTTAAATTGTTGTTATCCTTCTTTTGGTTGTGCAGAGAAGCAAAGTGTATCTACCTACGCCTCCATCTTGGCCAGGAAGTCTGTGTGTTTTTCTATATGTTTGTTACAGTTCAGTAACAAAAAAGAAAGTATGTGTGGGGTAACTCAACACAAAAAACAAAGTTATAAAGAAAAACCATACCACAGAGCAGAAGATATTTACAACACATAAGAAAGGATTTCTGTACAGAATATTTCATTTTTGAAATACCTACAGATCAAAAAGAAATGGGCAAAAAATTTTTTAAAGCAACCCAGTAGAAAAATGAGTCAAAGATAAGCAAAAAAACATGGGAAGAGGCCTGGATGGCCTTCCTAAACATATGATATGTTATTCAACCTCAATACGCATATTGCTGCAATACACGTATCAGGGATTTTTTTCCATTGCTCAGAACAATTTTTGAACTTGTCAATTTTGATACCCTTTAGTTCTATTGTTTGTTTCTTCTTTTCCACATGGCAAAACATTCCCTTTGAGGAGTTTTTTCCTCCAAGGAAACAAAAAAAAGTCACTCAGGGCAGGGCGAGATCTGATGAGTAGGGAGGGTGGGGCACAGTGGTCATGCCATTTTTGGTCAAAAACTGCTGAACACTCAGTGCAATTTGGGCAGGTGCACTTGTAAATCACCCATCCTGAAATTTGCAAATGCGCTGAGTCTTTAAAAAAAAAATTCCCTGGAGCCCAACACAGCCTCTCGCAACACCAGCTGGTACACTGACACAGATGGGTTCCTAGAACACTCACCTAGCAGGGGAAGCCTGTGCCACCAGGGCCCCACCCTCCAGAAGATCATTCTAGATTTTGGGGGGTCCTTCCTCATATGTCTCAAAATGTTAATGTAAAAAATATCCAATGTATATCATAAATGTTATATATTTTAAAAAATAAAAAATAAATTTTTAAGTAAATGTGGCAAAGATATTAACATTTATTAAATCAGGGCAGCGGTACATAGTTGTTTGCTATATTGATGTATAATGTTCTCTGTGCTTTGTCATTTGTTTATCTGAAATAGTTTCATTTTTTTAAATGTTAGACTGGAGTCAGGGTGTGAAGGGTTATTGGAAGCCTTCCTCACTTTTCCAAACACTCTTTTAATTCTTTGTAGGCACAGCCTTTCCAGTCGCTGCATCTGTATATTTGTTTTTGCCCTAGAATCACCAAAGCAAGGAGGAGGGTGAGCAAGGTCTGACAGAATCTTCTCTCTCTTCCTCGTGTCTTATCCACCAGGGTTCATAGTAGAGTTCAATAATATCTTTTCAGGATGCTTTTTTATTAAACCTAAAATACTACCATACAACACGAATATCTTTAAGCCTATGACCCAAGTGAGTGATTTAGAATTTGAAAATAAGTAAAAGTATATCTTCTCTCTTACATTCCTTCTCAAAAAAAGGGATAATGATTATGTCTTATAAGATGTAAATAATATCGTTTGCTACTTCAGTTGATAAATGTGTAGATGAACAGACTTGTTTTTATGAAATTATTAAAAAGCTATTTTTAAATAATTTCAGAAATATAATAATTTAAGTAATTAAAAAAACCCACTAATGTTGCCTTAGCTTATTAACTCTTTCTAAATAATTATTGAGGACTTTTAATTTTATAAGCAGAAAAATTATGTCAGAGTAGTCAGGGACTTGTTTGTGGGATAATGTAGTGGAAATACTCATATCTTACAGATTATTCATGGGAGCAGTCTGAAGTTTACTTACGTAGAGTCCCTCCCACTCGTGAAGAGCTTGGTTGGTAAGCTGTGCGCTAGGCAACAGGCTTTCATTCTCTTCCTTTTCTCACATGAAGTGCAGAGAATCAAGAAGTGGCTTTTGTTGTTTTTGTTGTATTTGCAGGCTAAACAGTTTAAGATGAGAAAAGTTGATCTCTGTTTGAGCTCTGAAGGGGCTGAAGTAATTTTAGCTACATCAAGTGATGAAAAACACCCTCCTGAAAATATGATTGATGGGTAAGAGTTTTATTCTTTGTTCCTTAAAGTCTTGATATTACACCAGTGAACCCCTTGAGTACTGGGACCATGTGTTTTTATAACTAACCCTGTTAAATATAGTTTAATAAATGTTTGGTTTAAAATATAAACAAACAAACAAACAAACGTTTGGTGAAGTAGATTACCTGACAATATCCACTTTTGGTCCCATTTCTGAAACTAATTCAGTTGTATATATTTTGGTTTTGATCCTTTTCTTTATAATTCCCAAACTGACCTTTACAAATAGTTTTTTAAGGAGTAGTTTAATAAGACAAAACTTCAAACAGCAACAACCTCATTTTATGGAAGTATACATTTTAATTTCTAGTTATGGTTTATTTCAAGTTTTCCTTAGTAAATAGGTGTATAAACATTGTAATTTCCTGTCCACTGCCTATTTCCTTATTAGCCTAAGCAACATCTTTGCTAAACTGAATGCTTCACTGTCTGCCATCCACCGGCATTCTTTGGTTCTTCACCTCTTGACATTATTCTAATTTCCACTCTTCACAATGCTAGAGCTTATTCTAGGTAGATGAGTATTGTTCTGAAACTTTTAAATTCCTAGAAAAAGTAGTTAATGGGATAACTCTGGCTATTTTATCACTCTCTTCAGTTCTCTTCCTTGGTATTTGTACAGTGACCAGCATTTGACTAATAGAATCATGTGATTTTAGAGCTGGAAAGACTTATGAGTTCATCTATCTAAACCTTTTCGTTTTAGACTCATGGTAAGAAAGGCCTAAAGAGGTCAAGTACTAGTTTTAACTACTGAAGGCAGAGCCACTTGTTCTTTGAGTTTTATTGTGAAGCCCATGTATGCAGATAAATACGAGCAACTCAACTTCTTCCTTTAAGCCTAGTAGTTATATTCTCTCTGATATCTCTCCCTCTCCCTCGAGTAGGGTGAGTTTATCTTTTTTGTTGGAATCCAGTAGAATTTGGTAGATATCTCTATCACTTTATTTATTCCTTTATTGTATAATTATTTATCTTTAATGTTTGTTTCTTAATGGTGATTACTTATAAGTCAGAGACTATGACTTGTTCACTTTTAACTCCACAATGTCTTAAAATATATGTTGAGTAGCTTATTGAATTAGACCATCAAATATTAGTTGAACTTAACAATATTGGAAAGTAGCTGAATATTTATACATATACATACAAATATACACATACAAACATATATATGCATATGTTACTTTGCATTTGCATAGGACTTTATAATTTCATAAATCATATGTTATTGACATACACTGTAAGCTTGGGGAATAAGAGGCAAAAAAAAAAAAGTATTTTCGACCTCATTGTAAAGATGAGGGAAAAGATGGTCAGAGGTAAAATGATTTGCACAAAGTCACACAGATAACCAAGTGGCAGAATCAAGATTAACATTCATGTCTTCTAACTCCTACTTTGGGGTTCTCTGTACTACACTATAACTCAAACTTAAGGTTTGCATCAAAAACTTGGTACCTGCTTTTTGCCTGTACCTCTTAATCCTTCTTACATTTTTACCTTCTGAAATTCAGATCATAGTTATTTATCCCACTCTGCCTTGGAGTAGAGAAATTAATGTGGGAACTGCTATAAGAATACATAGACCTATAAAGATTTGCATTAAGTTGTTTGCCAGAAATAGAGATCTTTCCATATCAGTCCATATCAATGAACAGTGACTAAGGCCATATATATTTTAGATTAGACAAAACCCTTAGTACAGAAAACCACATGGAATAAAAGAAGTTAACTGACCTGGTAACCAAACAGAGCACATCAGAGACTTTTAATCTATATGCATTTCCAACAAATAAAATTAGACTTTATATAGCATTTATGAAACATTATTCTCTACTCATAAATTGGTTTATTGAAATGGAAGTAACCATAGAATTATTTGGAGAAAACAGTGCTATAAATTTGCCCCAACTCAACAGTGTTCCCAGCTCTCCCTTTCCCAGGAATAGGAGTTAAAGAAGGTGATTATATTTTTACTTGCCCTTAACGTTACTTTTTCCTCTGGCATTTAATGTATCAATGAAATGGAGAAAAAAGTTCTGCACTAGATAATAAAATAAGTTAAGAGGAAAAGAATTAGTTCTTTTTGGATGATGTAGAAGAATACAAGATTTACAGTTAAAACGCCTGGGTAAGTGAACTATATGTGTTACCTTGGGCTTAAGAGTAGATGTGTTACTCATTGAGTCTCAGTGTCCTGGTCTGCAAAATGGGGGTAATACCACCTTCTCTGAATGCCTCACTTCTCTGACTAGCTCAGAGTCATGAAAAAAGTCACGTAAGATAATAGATACTAAACAGTCATTAGCTATAAACCTTATTTAAAAGGAAAACTATTTTCCTCTTGGCCAGATGGCTCAGTTGGTTAGAGTGTTGCCCATACACCAAAAAAAGGTTGCAGGTTTGATCCCCAGTCAGGGCACATACCTAGGTTATGGGTTCAATCCCCAATGGGGACATGTATGGGAGGCAACCAGTCAATGTTTCTTTCTCTCTCTCTCTCTCCTTTCCTCTCTCTCTCTAAAAGCAATAAACATATATCCTCAGGTGAGGATTAAGATAAATAAATAAAAAAGAAAGTTATTTTGATGACTTCATTAAATATGAGGATTCAGCCCTGGCCAATGTGACTCAGTAGGTTGGAGAGCCGTCCTGTAAACTGAAAGGTCATTGATTTGATTCCCAGTCAAGTCACATACCTAGGTTGCAGGATAGATCCCCATTCTGGTTATATGCAAGAGGCAACCAATCGATGTTTTTCTACCTCTTCTCTCTCTAAAAATCAATGAGCAAGCCCTGGCTGGCATAGCTCAGCGGACTGAGCGTGGGCTGTGAACCAAAGCATCGCAGGTTTGATTCCCAGTCAGGGCACATGCCTGGGTTGCAGGCCATGGCCCTCAGCAACCACACGTTGATGCTTCTCTCTCTCTCTTTCTCCCTCCCTTCCCTCTCTAAAAATAAATAAATAAAATCTTAAAAATAAATAAATAAAAATAAATCAATAAGCATGTCCTTGAGTGAGGATAAAAAAATAATAAATACATAAATAAATAGAATTTATTTTTTAAAGGATTCAGTAATATGTCATTTTAAAATCCTTATCTATAGATACTATGTGATTTTATTGGTTTTGCTCATTAAAAGGAAAAAACATAGGGCAATTAAAAGTCATTTAATTTACTTAAATAAATATTTAAAGCCATATAAATATACATTTAAAAATGTAAAATATTAAGCATAGTATTAAAAACCCAGAATTATGAGTTAGGAAACCTGGCTTCTTTTTCTTTTTCTCCTTCTTTTTTTTTTAAATAACATCTTTATTGACATATTATTCACATACCATGGCAATTCAGTCATTTAAAGTGTGCAGTTCACACTGGCTTCCAGTATATTCACAGAGCTATGCAACCATCTGCTCAATCAAGTTTAGACTGTTTTATCACGCCACAAAGAAACCTTACAGCCCATTGTAGTCACCCTGCATTTCCCCTACCCTCACCAGCCCTAGGCACCCACTGATCTACTTTCTGTCTCTATGGATTTGCCTATTCAGACATTTTATGTAAACGGAAGTATACATGTGTCATCTTTTGTGACTGGCTTCTTTCAGTTACATGTTTCCAAGGTTTACCCATGTTACAGTGCATGTCAGTGCTTCATTCCTTTGTATTGCCACATGATACTTGATTGTATGTATATAACACATTTTATTATTCATTTATGAGCTTATAGATATCTGGGTTGTTTCTACTTTTTGGCTAGATTTCCCCAATCTTATTTTAAAATGCTAACTTACAGATCCAGGAAAATTCAGCAAACCCTAAGCAGGATAAATACAAAGAGACCATATCATTATCTGCTAAAAATATAAAAAAAAACATTTTAATAGCTGGAAGAAAAAATACATTAAATACAGAGGAACAATAGTACCAGTGATAGCTAACTTTGCATTATAAACAATGAGATCCAGGGAACAATATTTTTAATGCTGAAAAAGAGAGACTTCCCCCACCTTCCAAAAGCTTGTCAATCTAAAATTTTGTACCCAGCTAGAATATCCTTCAAAAATGAGAATAGAACAAAGACATTGTATTCATCACAAGTAGACCTGCATCATAAGAACTGTCAAAGGAAGTTCTGTAGGTTGAAATGTAAACTACTAGATGGAAATTCAAACCAGGAAGAAATTAAGTTCATTGGAAATGGTAAATATTTGGATAATATAAACAAATAATGTATACAAATATACATTATTATAAACAAATAATATAAACAAATATAAAAAACAACCTTTTTATTTTAAAAAGGTTGTTTTTTGAAAGACAGTTGACCACTTAATGGAACAAATTGTACTTTGGGATTTATTACATATGTATCAAGGCCCAGGAGCATGAGTCTGCATGATGTGTTTGCAGAATTTTGACTGGCCCTGTATGAGTGCAATAATGGGAGCTGAGCATGATGAGCAAGGATGTGGTATTTTAATGATGGGACCAGATTATTATGTACAGAGTCATAAAATGGCACACTAAGACATTTAGATTTATAGACAATAAGGGGCCACTGAAGGTTTTAGACAAGAGTGACATAATTTCTGTTTTTAAAGAGTATATATGGTAGTAGAAGAAGAATTATGAAAGTTGGGGAAAGATTAGAGGTAGAGTGAATGGTTAGAAAAGGATTGTAAAAATCCAGGGGTTGTTTATTTTTTTAAATACTCACTAGTCTGTTGTGAATGTTTAATTTTTATATAGCTATTTTTCCCTCTCTTTTTTACATATTAACAATAGGAATCCAGAAACATTTTGGACCACCACAGGAATGTTTCCCCAAGAGTTCATTATTTGTTTTCACAAACATGTAAAAATTGAAAAGCTTGTAATCCGAAGTTACTTTGGTAAGCAAATCATACATTAATTTTCATCATTTTAAAAATTTTCCATAGGCAGAGGGCACATGTGTAAACTTTGGCACACATTAATGCCTCTTCGCTGCATGGAATCCAGCTTTATTATTGGGGTGGGAGAGTGAGGAGCATGGCTTAACTGCCTTGAGCACAGTTAGACTCCATGAAACTGCAGATTTGAAACCCTTCCAAAGCACATAATAATTTCCATGCAATTTACTATGTGAAAGTTGTTGGCAAAAGACCCTATTATGAACATGAGAAGCCAGCTTGCCGGAACGCTAGGTTCCTTGACATATTTATTACAGATTCATCTGGCTTGGGGTTCTCTGTCAAATTCTTTCTGAAAATCTGATAACCCTGATTATTTGCATTGGATAATTTTGATTCTTCTATTAATAATGATATTTTCTCAGGGATTTAGGGGGGAAATCTCCCATTGGAATATCATTCTAATCCTGTCATATGTTTGTGTAAGGATAAAATATATCAGACAAAATCGTGGCAGGAAACAGAATACGTTCCAGATGGTTCAAGTGAAGAGATTTTATTGATGGAACTACTTACAAAATTATGTTCTGGCTTAAGAGAATAAACCAGGGATGGTGAGACACCCAGAAACTAGCAACAGCGGGAAGTCATTACCACTCCTGGGCCAAATGAGGGAAATAGGGTTATGGGAGCCCCGTGAAAGCTGGAGCCTGCACTTGAGGGCCTGCCTGGCAGGAACGGTAGTCCTGAAGGGACACAACCGCTGTCAGAGACACAGCACTGAAGCAGGAAGGGAGTGGAGAAAAAACAACCTGATCTCACTTCCCCACTGCTCTCCAGTTTCCTCCCAGCCCCTCCCGTTGGCCAGATCTGACCAGTAGCCAGTGGGCAAGTGAGTGAACAGTGCTCATCTCCCCAGGGAACGGAGAAGAGAAAGAATGGATCTGTGGGAGCTGGAGCTGGGTCAGGGGTGTGGAGAAAAAACAGTGCAGAAGAAAGATGACTGCGTTCCTATTGTCTCTCTTCAGTCGTTAATTATAGAGGCTCTGGGGTCAGACAGACCTCGATTTTGAAGTTCAGCTCTGGCACTTGCTAACTCTTTATCATTGAGCACTTTGCTTAACTTCTCTAAGTTGCCTGACTTCTCCAAGCCTGTGTTCTCATCAGTAGGTGAATAATACTTTTCTCATAAAGTTGTAGTCAGGAGTGAATGAGTAAGTGTGCCTGCCTCATAGTAGGTTCTCCCTAAGATAAAAATGTATGACCAAGACTACAAATACCAATATACAAAAACATCTATATGACACCAAATTCAAAAAAGCTCCCTAGCTCAGTGTTGTATGTTTGCAAACATTTGTAAGATTACAGTGACACGAGACTGTATTTCACTATAGGGACTTATGGAGAAACAGAGTAAGTGAGTGGTTTTTAGAGCGTGGTATTCTTGATCCCAGTTCTTGTGCAGTCCCACCAATCCCGACAGTCTTAAAGGAAAACAGGAATATAGGGATAACAACATAGGATCAGTTAGATAATTAATACATTATTTATTTTTGTTTATTTACAACATCAGTGCGCACTTTGAGGATTGAAAAGAGCGCGTCTAATGAGCCAGTTGATTTTGAGCAGTGGATTGAAAGAGGTACGTGCTTGTTTTACCAGCCTTGTTCTGAGTGTGAGGGAGTAGACAGTTGCCCTTTGACTCTGTACTTCCAATCAGTCTGCATTTAGGTGAAAAATGATGACCTGAATGATTCTAGTAACATATTTACAGCCTAGAAAAACCCAGGTTTGAATATAAGACTGCTTCTTTACTTACTGGTTGTGTAATTGGTAACATGTTACTTAATTTTTCTGAGTTTCTGAATCTTTGTCTGAAAAATGGAGATGATACTTACCATTTATGGGTTTTGTGAACAAAATATCTGCCGTGTGGCAGAAAACCATAAATACTAGTTTTTGGATTTCTTTGCAGCAGAATTTGTAGCCTCCAGTTAAACATATACTGCCTTCCTGTGTCTATCTTGATTCCTTCCCAAAATACTGTGAAAATAATTGTAAAGGAATGAAAAGAGGCATAAACCTTAAAAGGACAAAAAAACAATAAACAAACCAAAAAGCAGGAGACCAAAGCAGATGTGAGAGATCAATATATATTATGGAAGGGAAGATACAAATGGAGAAGTAACGTCTATAGCTCAAGGGTGTAGGTTATAACCTAAGTGCCTGCCAAGGAGAAAAGTTATGAGAAGCAAGCCAATTTGCCTGATAGAACCCCAGATAGGTCTAGAACTTGAAGGCAAATGGTACCGAAGTGTGAGTGAGACATAAACCAGAAAAAAAGGGTCATTAGTTGAATACCTATATACAAAGTGGTTGGACCCTAGAGAGTTTCTCCTACTGCCAAAAGCTAGGTGACCACTCCTTCCTCCCATAAATCACCCCAAAAGATGACTTTGTTCTCCCTAAGGCACATTGAATGCTGAGGCTCAGGACTCAGGAAGACCAGGCAGAGTAATGAGACATGGAGTTGAAAACAGGGATTTGGGTAGAAGTCTAAATATTGAATAGTGGGAACTCCTCCTGTGCTTTGCTGTTTATGACAGCAACCAAGAACATAGCCCCAGCCAGAAGATGAGAAGATTTATTTTTGGAGGAAGTGAATGCCCCAGAGAAAAGATCTATGGACGTGGACAAAGACTAGTTCATTTCCTGGTCACCCTGTTGAAGTCCACTAGTCACCGAGCCTGGCTCATGCATGTAGTTTTCAAATGACTTATTCACAAGTAACAAAAGACAGCCGCAGATCACCACACATTTGATGAAGGCCTCAAACCCTGAGTATAATTAAGCCTTTAGCTTTAATTTCCAAACCATAGGAAATAGGCAGGATAGAGGAACAAATTAGGTGAAACTAGGAGAGGCAAGATGACAAAATGTGGGACATTGCACAGGACGACTGACCTGGTCTCTTCATTAAGCCAGTGGCATGGAAAAAACATGTGCACATGGGAGACAAAGCAGTTTAAATTTAAAAGAGACAGTGCTGATTTGAATAAATCAACTATAAATAGACATTTTGGGGACAATGGGAAAATTTGGACATAGACTGGGTAGTGTGTGATGATAAAGGATTTTTTTTAATCTTCACCTGAGGACATTTTTTCATTGTTTTTAGAGAGAGAGAAGGGAGAGGGCAAGGGAGAAAGAGAAACATCGATGCAAGAGAGAAAAATCAATTGGTTGCCTCCCTTACATGCCCAGACCAGGATGAACCTGCAATCTAAGCATGTGCCCTGTCTGGGAATCAAACCTGCAATCCTTTGATTACAGGATGATGCTCCAACCAACTGAGCCACATGAGCCAGGGCTTAATGCATTATTTTTAATGTTAGTGTGATAATGGTATTGTGGTTATGTAAGAACATATCCTTGTTATTTAGAGATGGATAATCAAATACTTGGAAGTGAAATATGATGTCTTAGACTTGTTTTAAAGTACTTTAGAAAAAAAGATATTAGATAAATCAAGTATGGTGAAATATTAGTAACTGTAAAATCTAGATGATGAGTTATATGTAGGAGTTGTGTTCTGTCTGCTTTATGTCTATTTGAAATTTTCTAATATTTCAAATTTAAAAAACTAAACAATTGGAATAAGAAGTTATTATTAACTTGTGGTTAGGGAGGAGTTGAATAAGAAAATGTGATCATAATTTGTTACTTATTTCAGCAGCAAATAACATGCATATAAACAAGAATTTAGTCATCAAGTATTGATTTCAAAATTGGGAGAATGGCAGGAGGGAAAATTTACCGGAGGAGAAAGAAGAGGATATTAGTTTAAGAGACCTAAATTTTCACCAACCATAATATAAAGTCTGTAAAAAATTGTTAAAACAAAAAAAGGAATATAAACGTAGTGGAATTCCAGGGGGAAAAGATTAAAGAATTGAAAATGTTCATGCACCTGTAGGGAGCAGGACGGAGGACAGAAGAGAGGTCAAGCAGAGGATTGCTGTTTTTCCTGACCTCAGAGAGCAGCTAGCAAACAGAAGGAAAGTCATACATAATCTTACTTCCCAGAGACTTCCCTTTCTGTACTGTGTGCCTTTTTAAATTATGTACACTATTTTAATACAAATGAAATTAATTTCTAAATAATGTCAATAATTTTTATTATACCAATATTTCATGCTTCCAAAAGAATATTTGATATGGTTAATTCATGACCAGATAATCTTTCCTAAAATTATATGAGTGAAGGTTTTCTAAAGTTGGATACCAGAAAAGATCGATTCATGGGCAGCATCATTCTGTATCACAGTAAAAATTTATTGTGAGAAACTGAGCTCTAGCCGTTGCCTGTGGGAACAGTAAAACGGCTCCTTTCAGGCTGCGATTGCAGTTAGTAGCTCAGTCCTTGAAAGGAATTTTCACATTTTATCAACCCCTCACTTTATATTCCTTTACTGTAATTTACATTTGGATTTCCTTATGTTTATAGTCACTAGAGATATTTTATAGCTCATAAATAGTTTATCTTTCATACTTTTTTATATCAAATATCTCTATTTGTATGTTAAATTTTAACCCCAGAACATTGGTGAATCTGATTTAACTGTAGTTTACCAGATATCATGTTTTGCTGAACATAAATTTCAGTAGCAGATCCTCATGAATTTTTGAGACCTAATTCATTTTTTTTTATTTATGTTTTAGATCTAGTACACACAGAGGGGCAGCTTCAAAATGAAGAAATTATGGTAAGTAAATAAGCTTTGTAGAGATCAACATTATCTTTAGCTAGCATAATATATTTAAATTTTATACTGATCTCTATAGTCATAAAGTCAATAAATACTCTCATGATATTATAGTTTCTGTACTTAATCAATAGAGGTTATTCTCAATAATATTATAATCTAAATGTAGCATTCATAAATTAGGCTTTTATCTATTCACAGAAAGAATGGCTGCAAGGATAAAACAAAATTCACTTACTTGTTTTTGTTATAATTTTGTTCCTTTATTGGAGTTATTTACTTGCTTTGCTTTCTTTCATTTGATTGTGTAGGCTTTTTAGAATAGGAATCAGAAAAAGGTTGAGATGCCAAAATTGGATGTTAATTTAATTATGAAAGGACAAAGGAGTTTCAGATGAGGGGAACTGGAGCATAGGATCAGCAACAATTAAGCCAAAGAGAGATGAGGTGGAAAGAGAATAAGCATTTTTTGGACAGCATTCCATTGGGCTTTGCTTGTCAAGTGGAATGAATGCCCGTTGATGAGGAAGCTGCTGCCTCATCAGGAGTTTCTCTGTTCCTGCTAGTTTGTCAGGCTCTGGTTTTAGACAAACACAAAAATGTGGAAAAAATGAATGTGTGGTGGATTTTTTTGGTGGCATTGTTTGTTTAATTAAGTTTTCCTGAAATAAGGGTTAAAGTGGTACCTTGTCCATTAAATTTCCTTTATCACAACTTGTTGGGAGCTATGGTATCAGTATTTTAAAAGAGTCTGTTTGGAAGTTTTTGAACCCTGTTCATTTTCTCCACCACCCAAATGTGCCCAATGACTAGGAAGGGGAGTTGGGAGGTGTTGAAAAATGATTAGACTAAATTTATCTTACTGTTTTTATCCAACTTTACTGATGGGTTATGATTAGTAAATCTTTGCCGAATACTTTGCTTCAGGACTCACTATGGATCAGGGAGACTCGCATCATTATAGAGCATTGGGAAAATAATATAGGGGGATGGGGAGGCTGAAAATCACTCATAATTTTATCACCCTGTCACAACAGCTTTTACTATACCTGCTTTCTTCTAGTTGTCAACCATATGCATCACCATATTTTGCCATGCATGTATAGTATGTTCCCATGTATAATGTGCACCGACGTTTTTGGCCCAAACTTTCAGGAAAGAAATCTTTTATTTTAATTTTTTAATTAAATCGTTTATTTATTTATTTTTATTTTTAATTATTTTATATACTTTTCTTGTTTTATTTATTTATATTTAGATACTTGCTTTCTGTATTGTAAGGGAATTTTAGCATTTATTTTTTTAACATATATGATACAAGAAATTTTATGTAATAAACAATTACAAACACAAGATGCTACCCATGTATAATGTGCCTCCTTATTTTTCCCTCAAAAATCTGGGCAAAGAAGTGCACATTATACATGGCAAAATACAGTAGTTAAAATAGTAATGTATGAATAAGTTTGTATCATTTTTAAACTTAATATTATGGCCATTCCTGGTCTGTTTTCTAAGAAACTTCTAAATTCTATTATCTTTACAAATATAAGAAAATAACTTTCAATATTTTTATTTTTATTTTATTTTTAAATATATATTGTTGATTATGCTATTACAGTTGTCCCATTTTTTTCTCCCCTTTATTCCCCTCCGCCCTGCACCCCCACCACCAGCATTTCCTCTGCTCCCTTAGATCATGTCCATGGGTCATACATATAAGTTCTTTGGCTTCTCCATTTCCTATACTATTCTTGACTTTCCCCTGTCTATTTTGTACCTACCATTTATGCTTCTTACTCCCTGTACCTTTTCCCCATCCCCCCTCCCTCTCCCCCTCCTTGCTGATAACCCTCCATGTGATCTCCATTTCTGTGTTCTGTTCCTGTTCTAGTTGTTTGCTTAGTTGGTTTTTGGTTTTGTTTTTTTTAGGTTCAGTTGTTGATAGTTGTGAGTTTGTTGTCATTTTACTGTTCATATTTTTGATCATCTTCTATTTCTTAGATAAGTTCCTTTAACATTTCATATAATAAGGGCTTGATGATGATGAACTCCTTTAACTTGACCTTATCTGGGAAGCACTTTATCTGCCCTTCCATTCTAAATGAAAGCTTTGCTGGATAGAGTAATCTTGGATGTAGGTTCATGCCTTTCATGACTTGGAATACTTCTTCCCAGCCCCCTTCTTGCCTGGAAGGTTTCTTTTGAGAAATCAGCTGACAGTCTGATGGGAACTCCTTTGTAGGTAACTGTCTCCTTTTCTCTTGCTACTTTTAACATTCTCTTCTTATCTTTAATCTTGGGTAACTTTATGATGATGATGTGTCTTGGTGTGTGCTTCCTTGGGTCCAACTTCTTTGGGACTCTCTGAGCTTCCTGGACTTCCTGAAAGTCTATTATTTCCTTTGTCAGATTGGGGAATAATGAAGTTCTCCTTCATTATTTGTTCAAATAAGTTTTCAGTTTCTTTCTCTTCCTCTTCTTCATCTGACACCCCTATGATTCAGATGTTGGAACATTTAACATTGTCCCAGAGATTCCTAAGCTTCCTCATTTTTTTGAATTCTTGTTTCTTCATTTTGTTCTGATTGAATGTTTCTTTCTTCCTTCTGCTTCAAACCCTTGATTTGAGTCCCAATTTCCTGTCCTTCACTGTTGGTTCCCTGTATATTTTTCTTTATTTCACTTTGCAGAGCCTTCTTTTATTCCTCTATTTTGAGACCATACTCAACCATTTCTGTGAGCATCCTTATTATCAGTGTTTTGAACTCTGCATGTGATAGGTTGGCTGTCTCTTCCTCACTTAGTTCTATTTTTGGAGCTTTGATCTGTTCTGTCATTTGGGCCATATTTCTTTGTGTCGGTGTGCCTGTTATCTTGTAAGCGGGGAGCCTTAGGTATTCTCTAGGGTGGGGCATCCCATGGTGTGGTGCTGTATGTTGGGGAGGGGTCAGGGAGGGAACAATGCTGTTTGCTTAATTCTCAGAGGCTTTCAGTTACTTCCCCCACTACCCTCAAGCAAATTGAGCCCTTCTGGTGCTGATTCCCAGGTGGGTGGGTTTGTGTACATTCTAGGATCCTGTGGGTCTTTCCAGTGAACTCTCCTGAGAGGCTGGGAGTTTCTCTTGCTGCTGTAACCCCCACAGGATTTTACAGCCGGAGGTTTTAAGGCTTTCTTTCCCTGTGCTGGAAACTTTCCCTGTTGCATGGTCTGTTTGGCTCCAGTTGTTCCTCCTGGTTTATCCACATGCAAATGTGGGACTTCCCGGTCCACCATCTGCCACCTCCCCAGCCTGGTCCTCTAGCTGCCATCTTGCCACACATCCTCCACCCTGGCTGCCCATCTTCACCCCTCCTACCAGTCTGGATGAATGTTTCTTTTTTAGCTCCTTGGCTGTTGGACTTCCACCCAGTTTGATTTTCTGGAAGTTCTGGTTATTTTTTGTTTTTAAATTTGTTGTTGTCGTCCTTCTTTTGGCTGTGCCTCAGTATTTTTTATCATGGCATTCTTTTTATAAAATGAAAAGGAACTCCTATAATTGATTAAGGAAGGCTGTGTAGTTCATGGGGTTTTCTTTGTTTTTGTTTTTGTTTTCTTTTTCTTTTTTTTTAATCTTAAGCTTTAAGTTAAAACACCCTCTTAAAATGAGTCCTTGTGCTTGCCCTCTGGGGAGGAAGTCCTGAGCAGGTAAATATGCATGTGGTATGCATATGCTGATGGCACATATGTGTATGGTATAATCGGACTGCACCCATCGCCTTCCTCTGAACTTTTTTTGCCTCTTGGGTTGTTGTGCTACTTTCCCTTTACTTTGCTACATTTTATAGTTAAGTTGGTTTTACTTGAATGATTCATGTTGGGGGAGGGGAGTGAAAATACACTTAAAGATGAGTTTCAAGTCATCCTGCAAATAAAAATAAATAAACGAAGTGGCAGATGGAAAAAAAGGTCAAATGTATACAAATAGGCAAATGCTAACTAATTTCCTTTTCCTCCCTCTGTCATTATAAGTAATATTACAAGTGACATGTTATGCATGTTCCCACTACCAGGACCTTCACCTTTTCAGTTATTTTCTAAGATTAAACATCAAGGAATGGAAATCCTGGGTTGAAGGATATAGACACATTTATAGCTTTTTAAAAATATATTGCCAAATTGCTTTCCAGAGAAATGATGTAAAATTATAGTCATGTTCCAGGGTAACATATTCTGAGGTATCATTAACCCAAAGAAATCTTTTATCATGAAAAATACTTTAGAAAGCCATTTCTGAAAACATTGCTCAGAAATATACAGTTGTAATTTTTAGCTCTGTCTGCTATTTTACATCAAACCAACGGCTGATGTTTGGCTGATACACACTAGAACTATACTAGAACAACTGTGCTATTACATGTGACTGGCTTCTCTTCTGAATATCATATATTGCTATATACTTAGAATATTACTCCTGCATCAAACCTTTCTTCTGCTAACTGCTTAACAGTGAACTAGAATTGCTAAGAGCATTCATATTGATTTTCCCCTACAGGCGCATGATGGCCACGCCACTTACTTGAGATTCATTATTACATCAGCCTTTGATCATTTTGCAGCTGTGTATAGCATTTCTGCAGAGGGGACAGCAGTTTCCAATCTTTCTTAATAATTATAACAAAATGATTTTATGTGATTTTTAACAATATATTTATTTAAAAACAAAATTGTCTTTGATATAGTTTATTAAAGGGATTTGTATCAGTCTGTTTCGGTTTTTATTTATTTTCTCTTTAATAGTTTGTGCAAAGGAATTTGGTGTCATGGTCAGCAGTGATGGCTACCATGGAGGATATAAGAAAGCTCTTGTTTCAGTCTATAGCTTAGTCAAGAAGGTGACTGTGCATGAAACTTAGCTGATAATACATTGTGTCCCCACAGCATCTAACATGGGACCCTTCAGGTCTCAGTGCATTAATTTTTAAATGTATTATTGATCAATGCAAGGGTCTAAGTGAGTAAGTAGTATATAACAAGTACACGATGTACAAGTGCAGAAAAGAGAAAGTATTTATGGGAAGGTTTCACAGTGGTCATGGAACTTGAGCTAGGCCCTATGGAACAAATCATTTTATTTTTTCTTTTAATTTTATTTTATATGGATTTGAAAACCTCAGAGAAGAGGCAGGCTTTCTTCTTTCTTTCCAAAGACATCCATTATTCTGGATGTTTCTGTGTGGGTGTTTTTTGGATGAGATGAACACTTAAATGGGAGGACTTTGAGTAAAGCAGATTGTCTTCTATAATGTGGGTGGGCCTCAACCAATCAGCTGAAGACCTTAATAGAACAAAAGACTATCCTCTCCTGGGCAAGGAGGAATGCTGCCACCAGACAGCCTTTGGACTTCTACTGCAACATCAGCTCTTCTCTGGGTCTCCAAGTCATTGTCATGAAAAATGTCAATTGATTAAGGAAGGGGGTCTGCTCTAGATCCAAAGGGATGTAAAAGCTCCAATAACCACATGTCACGTGTGTTTCTTATTTGGATGTCGATTTGGGCAAACCAACTGAAAAGAGACATTTTTAAGAATTGGAAAATCTGCTTGTGGACTATTATTGCTCATTTTGCTAGGTGTGCTGCTAGCATTAAGCTTTTGTAAGAAAATGCCTATATTTTAAAAAGATGCACATATGAGTATGTAGGATTGAAATTACATGATATCTGGGATTTGCTTTAAAATACTTAAGTAAATGAAAAAGTGTTAGTTGAAGCAAATGTGGCAACAAAACATTGAATCTGGGTGATGGATATACGGGGTTTTGTTGTACTAGTCTCTCTAATGTATACTTGAAATTCTTCATAACAGAAAAATAAGTTTAATGCTACTGAGCATATCTTTGTGCATAAATTTTTGCCTGCCTCTCAGAAGATTTCCGTAGAAGAGATTTTCAGAAAGGGAGTACTCAAAGTTAGGAACAGTTTTAAGGCTCTTAAAACTTCTAGATAAATTGCTTACCAAGATTTGTTATACCAATTTACTCCTAGTAAGGTAGGTTTTAGATAAATGGAGGAGAGTAGGAAACGTATTCCAAGAACAACATTGGTGTGATCAGATGTGAAGGTGAGTACTTTTTCATAACATACATTTGGGGATGATGAATATGTAAATTGGACAGGAGCAAAGAATAAACTAAAACTGTACATTACAGCCACATCACAGAAAGCCTTCAATACTTTCAGATTTTTTTCTGTAGCCACTTAAGGTTTTTGAGAAGGCAGGTGACTTAGAGCAATTGTGTTCATGTTCAATACATAGAAATGCTGTGGATTTGCTTTCTGCCAGCTTCCTAAACTGAGATGTCAATAATTCTTTGTGTGAAAAACACTGTGTTAAGCTTTAGAGATTGCTGGAAGGGATCTTTGGAGATTATCTGATTGATCTCTTTGGCAAAGGCCTAATAAATTATTTCTAAATCTTTTTTCTCTGTTTCTGTGTTCTGTGGATGCCCAGAACAAGTTCATGTAATAGTCATAATACCACTTTGTGATATTGAAAATAGCATCCTTTGCGTGGGCTGCCATGGCTCAGTGGGTTGAGCAGCCGCCTACAAACCAAAGGGTCACCGATTTGATTCCCAGTCAGGGCACATGCCTGGGTTGCTGGCCAGGTCCCCAGTTGGTGGTGTGGGAGAGGCAACCAGTGGATGTTTCTCTCACACATGGATGTTTCTCTCCCTCTGTTTCTCCCTCCCTTTTCCTTTCTATAAATAAATAAATAAATAAATAAATAAATAAATAAATAAATAAATAAAATCTTTTTAAAAACTACTTTAAAGAAATAACATCCTTTTTTAAAAAAAAGATTTTATTTATTTTTTAGAGAGGGAAGGGAGGGAGATAGAGAGAAACATCAATGTGCAGTTGCTGGGGGTTATGGCCTGCAACCCAGGCATATACCCTGGCTGGGAATCGAACCTGCGACACTTTGGTTCACAGCCCGTGCTCAATCCACTGAGCTACACCAGCCAGGGCAGAAATAGCATCCTTTAACCTTCATTCTCCTAAGCTTTAAAAACTCATTTTCACCTTGCAAGTTTCAAGCAATAGATGTAATCATATGTGGCTTTAGCCTTTATTTTGTTTCTCACTGCTGAACCCCATCATCTTTTTAAAGTCTCATTTGCCCTGCATTGGCTTCCTCTATCCCCTGCATTTGGCCATCTCTCCACCTGCACACCAGCTCTTGACTGCCAAGATGCTGTGTGTACTGTGTGGTCTAGACCTTTGCAGGTTCCCCTGCCTGGCGGGCTCTTTTCCTCAGGTCCTGTACAGCTAGCTTCCTTATCTACTTCCAATCTTACTCAAAGGATACCTGCCCTCATTGGAAGGCTAGTCAACTCTCTGGGGCCTCTTTTATAGGGGCACTAATCCTATTGATGAGGACTCTGCCCTCATGACCTAATCACCTCCCAAAGGCTCCAGTTCCTAATACTATCACATGGAGTTCTAGGATTTAGGAGTGAATTTGTTGTGGGAGTGGGCACAGGCATTCAGACCATAGCAGTATTCCGGGAAATTTTGATATAGAATAATCAACACTGCAATATGTCTTGGTGAAGTTAGTGAACTTCTAATATAAAGAAAGATTTGGATAGGTTTCCAAGCAGAATAAAAGCAATTCAAGTGCCAGGAGAAATAAATTAGGCTGGCTTCAGACTTCTCCTTGCATTACTGCTAGGCAACAGTGGAGCAATGTCCACAAATCTCTGAGGGAGAGAACCTGAAACACAAGACTCTGAAACCCAGCCAGGTATTTTTCAGGTTTAAAGACTACAGACTGGCATTTGCAAGCATGTAAGACTTCAGGGAACACAGGATTTACGTCTCCTTCTTAAAAAAACGTCTTGAAACTTTTTAGAAGGATCCTGGAATCCTTCCTCTGTTGAGCACCTAACAGTGCTGGATAAAATACTTTAATACACCTTCTTAAATTAATGACTGAGTTTACCAGAAATGAAGGACATAGTCCGTGGCCAGGAATGGACTGAGAGCCGGACTCCGGGGAGGTGAGCAAGCATCGAAAGCGGCGGGCATTTCTGAGGGCACAGGCTAATTCCTGATAGCTGGAGTTTTGGTTTGCCAGGCCCCCTGCCAGGCACACAAGGCAGTGTCTTGCATCTGCCAGAACGGGCCAGGGACTTACTGCTCCACAAAAAGCCAGTTGCCACAGAGGGCCTCACCCTCAGAGAATAAGTGAACTGGGGGAAAACCTGCCGAAAGCAGAAAGACATATCAAGATGAAGTATTTCCTTCCAATCAGTTGAAGTTGTGACCACAAACTGTACTGTGAGACAGGACGTATTAACAAGCTTCCTTCACCTACCAGTAGTTTACCATGTTAGTCAAACAGAACAGGTTTTTTCTTGCTATCCAGATCCAGGAAGATCACTTTCAAAGAGAAGAGCCCTTCATCATGAATTAGAATTGAGCCCAAACCTCTTTCAGTCCGCTACACATATTATTTTTCTGCCTTTCCCCATGTAGTTTTTTCCACTTGAGTACCCTTCTCCCTTCCCGTGTTCTCCAAGTCCCCATACAAAACTATGGAAGTACTGGGCATCCCAGAGGTCACCACCTCCATAAAGCTTTTCCAGATCCACAGACTCAGAGGGATTGCTCTCTCCTCAGCACTCCATGAGCATTTAGTCTTTACCTCAGCTCTAATCCATCCTACTTCACCTAGAATTATGGTCATCACAGTGGACATCTGGTCTCCCATGAGGTTAAGCTTCTGGAGGACAATAGCTGGACCTCGTCCATCTCTGCATCACCCAGCACCCAGAGAAGAATCAGCACTCGGTTAATGTCTAATGCACAAAAGTGAAGAGAACTGAATTGGAACACTTGGGGTCAATTTTATCATTCTGAACACTCTTTGGTTCCAGCTACAGTTATTTGTTGAAAATTGGGAGATTTCTGTGCATTTATAGACATGAATTGGAGGACCATCCGAAGTGATGCAGAGGACTGTGGTCTCACAGGCTCTCTCCTTTTGAGGGATTTAGGACTTGGGATTTAGGACAGTGCGGAAGGATCCTGGAATCCTTCCTCTGTTGAGCACCTAACAGTGCTGGATAAAATACTTTAATACACCTTCTTAAATTAATGACTGAGTTTACCAGAAAGTGCGCACATATGCTTCGGTTCCACCACATTCACAGCACTCAGCACTCAGTATGCCTTCACACGCTCAGGCCAGTATTGAACAGTTGCTTTGGCAAGTTGAAGAATTTTTATTGTGTCCCCGCTGTCCTGTCTTCTTTCCAAACCTCAGCCCTTAAAAGGGAGGCCAAGGAGGCAGTTGTGGAACCACAATGATGATATTGATGATAATAGCCCACACTTCCATGGCATTTTCTTCAAGCCAGGCACAGTTCTGAATGCTTACTCGCGAGTCCTCTCCACGGGGTAGGCGCTCCCTATAGTGGGATATCCCATCATGGTTCTAGGTACCAAGGCATCTTAACCAAAGTCACACAGGTAGCTGGGCGTCGAGCCAGGACGCGGGCCTTGAAGTTAGAGATGGGGTTTGAATCTCAGCTTGTTACTTACTGATTCTCAGACCCTCTACAAATTACTCAGAGCTGGGCTTTGATTTCCTTGTTTGTAAAATGGAGATCATAATCTCCTCTCTGAGATACGTAGAGATTAAATAACAAATCTGAAAGAGCCTGTGTCTGGTAGATGACTAAAGATAGCTAGTTATAAAAGTAAAATAGCACATTAATAATGTTAACATTGTAGAAACAAAGGCAGAGCCAAGGAGAATGTGTTTTCATGTTAGAAAAATGTCTCCCAAGTGCATTCCTTTATGTCACGTTGTGAAGGTAGTTTGATTCCAGGGTGGAAAAACTCCCCAGTGCGAGTTCACAAGACAGAACCACATTTGACATGTAGCATGGAGACTGAGCGTTCTCCCCGTCACATGAGGCCCTTTCAGCAAATGGCATTTTTGCTGATCAGATTACTGTGCAGGCAGACACAAATGGGGAAGGAAAACACAAAGATCACACTAAAGCCATCCTAAATGAGCTGATATATTTTAATCATTCTGTATTAGCTTGCTGCATCTTAAAATATTTTGTTTTCAAATCAGGTCACAGCTGTGTGTACTTTAGGCTGTGGCCGTCATAAACAAATATGAGAAGAAGCAGAGTTAAAACAGATGAATACCAATGGTTATTCATTAGTCTGACATAGTTTAACACAATTACCATTAGGAGACTTGCAAAAAAGAAATCTGAGAAACAGAACTTCAGGGATGAGTTTCTGGATAACCGAATGCACTTTGCGGGTGCCTGGTGTCCAGTTTGGTCAAGGTTATCATTGTTTTTGGGAAGTCAGTCCTCCCCTGCCCCCTAGTAACTCTATTGATAAGATAGTAAAAAGTTTCAGAGCCAAATTTCTTTGAAATATATTCAACAATTGTAAAGTGAATTGTAAATTCTCCCCTTCTATGGTAGAATTAGAGATGCGTTACCATGGAAACTCACCCCTCCCGGCCACCACCACCACCACTGACTGGTTTTTCAGTCTTTTGGCAGGGAAAGTATTACCATCTTGACTCTCTCCTCTCATCCCTACTCCCTCCTTCACCAATTCCTCATCTCTCTCTAAACACCTGGAGTTCTCCCCATGCTTGGCTCTAAAAACCAGTTCAGTGTATTAAGTACCAATGCCACAGATGACCAACTTGGTAAAGTGCCTATTCCTAGTGTAAGGGATGCCATATCTAACCCCTCAGTATCAGGGCAGCTGCAGAGAGACCACCCGTCAGAAGCCCTACGCCCACGGAGCGCCGGTGCCATCACACTCTGAGACATTGTGCACTGAAAGTGGCCTCTACAGTGGAGGCCATGTGGACCTGTACATTCCTTAACACTCGACTCTCTGGCTGCTTCATTTTCTGATTATAAAATTGAAAAATTTGAGCTAGGAATTCAACTAGGGACACAGGTCAAGAGGTGAAAGCCAGCTGGGTTGCGGGGAGAGCCAAGCCTTGAGGAGCCCTCCTCTTGGTCACTTGGAACTGGGGGATCTGTCCAGATTAGCTGTGGAGATTTTCCAGAACAGCACGAACCTCCTCGGGATGATAGTTCCAAGGGCCAGGTTTACCCTGCAAGAGAAATAAAAGAGCATTCTGAGACTTCTGACTTGCAGGAGATCTGGGCTAGTGATATCCGGGTGGGAGTCATTGGGATGGTGTAGTCCGTGGCAGGTGAGGTGTGCGAGATCACCCAGGGAGAGCATGCGGAGTGGCACCAACATTTCACAGGAAGACAGCACGTAAACAGGAGGAAAACCAGAGGGGGTAAAGTGAATAGTTTCAAAAGGAGGAAGGGGTCTGTACAAATAAATTTTTCTTCCATAATCACATGTTCAGACTGGCCTTATCTTCTCCACCCCTCACATCAAGTTCTGTTCATTCTGTACCAGAACCACCTCTGCCTCTCCAACCCACTGCCTAGTTCAGCCCTTCTCCCCTTCTACTTGGGCAGCTGTCTCACTCCCGACTCTGTCCTGATTTCTCCACTCCATTCTTCACCCAATAGCCAGTGGTCTTTCTAAAGTAAGGATCTGAATGTGCCTCTCCCCTGCTCAAAACTCCTTAATGGCTCTCCTTTGCCCTAAGTCTCCTTGATTCACAATGAGTCTGAACCCAAGTGCCCTCAGTTCTCCATTCACACTCTGCCTTAATGTGCTACAGTGCCTTTGCCCACCTTCTTCCTAATATTTACAATGATTTTCACTGACCATGCTCACATGGCTGCCTCCTTACCCTGTAGCCCAGAAATTGACACCTCCTCTGAAAAGCCCACAGTTCCCCAGGGGCCAGAAAACTGTCTTGAGAGCTAAATCTGTCCTGATGCCTCCACACTTCTGTTTACATTTGTCTGTGCTGTTTTTGTGTTATACCAGCAGAAGTGAACCATCACAGCAAGCACTGTGTGGCCAACAAAGTTGAAAATAATTATTACCTGGCCCTTCATAGGAAAGGTTTGGTGGCCCCTACTCTGGAGTCTCGGCACTTGGGATACCGTAACACTCTATTTGGGTCTTCCTTATCCCCCAGACTGTGAGCACCTTCAAGGAAGCTGTGGACCATTTTAAGTTCATTCTTGTGTTTTCAGTGTTTGCACAGGGCCTAACCCGGGGTAGGGACACAGTGCCCAGCTTGGCTTAATCTAGCCATCTGAGAACATGTCTTGGGGAGGAGAGAGGAAGAAAGGACCTGAATCCTTGGCACCCTGGGGATTCATCTACAAGTTGTTGGTGTTTCACTTACACACATAGGGCCAGCCTGACCCGTGGGCAGGGGAGTATCCACACGGTTGGGCTTCACGTGCTCTCCAAGGCTGGAGACCGCCTCAGCGGCTGTCACACTCAGTTTCTCTCTCTCAGAGGAGGCCCGCAGTGCTCAGGGGGGTTAGAGGCCCTGCTTATGCCCCTCACCGGAGCCAGGCTGGAAGCCTTGAGAGGAACTCAGTCCTTCTAGAAAGGGAGACTGGACTCAATTCCTGTCTTGAATACCTGTTTCAGCAGTTCCAGCTCTGAACTGCTGAGTTTGCTTTCTTCTGGCCTCCTTCAGCTTCACCAGGTTCAGGCCTCAGGCCTGCCTCAGAGATCAGCCGCTTCAGACCCTCCCACTCTGGAATCCTCCCATCCGGAAGAGTCAGCCTTGTGCAGTGTGACTTTGGGCAAGTCAGTTCCGCTCTCTGAGCATTGTTTATAAAATGGAAACGAAGTTCTCTGTCTCTCAGCTCCAGACTAATCCAGGGCTGGGCCAATCTTTCTGGGTTCAGAAGGCTGCCAGGAGGCTCCAGCTCCAGTCTAAATGCTAGGGACTTTCTGTGCATTATGTCATCCCCTGTGACCGGGGAGCCAGCACCCTCATTTTGCAGAAGAAGAAACTGAAACTCCAAAAAAGAAAACTTGCCCATGGTCATATGGCTAGTAAATGGTTGGGAAGCAATTTGAACCCAGATCTACCGGATACGAAGCCCTTTGCTCTCCCTGGGTCCCTGCCCCTGGGGTGGGGGTGGGGGTGGGGGTGAGGGCGGCCACCACCTTGTAGAGGATCCTGCCCTCCTGGAGCACGTAGAGCCTATCGGGCAGTGCCGCGTAGAGCTGGCTGCTCTGGTTCTTCATTGTGTCCACCACCACGGGGCACTGGGGGCTCCTCTCCAGCAGCAGGTGAGCTGCCTGGAGGCGGTCCTGGAGGTTCTGGTGATTCCTGATGACCACGTTGTTCTTAAAAGCCCAGCCATCTGTAAGACAAAGGCCAAGCAGTGGGCCTCACAGGCATGGCACACACTTCCTGCAGACCTGAGTCCCTATGCCTCACTTTAAATGGGGCGGGTCGCAGAGACAGGAGCCCTTGGCCATGATTTGGCCCAGTTTCCTACAGGGTCCTGCACAAATAATGCCCCCTTTTTTATTACAAAATCATAACATGTAATTCTGTAACAACAATATCATACTGGGGCACACTATATGGCATTTTATGTAAAATGTTCAGATTAAAACTATAAATTATTACATCCCCATTATTACCCTACCAACCACACTCAAGCAGGCCTTACTTTGCCAGACCATGCATTATGGGTAAATGCACGAGATCACGTAGGGAGTTAGTGGCTGACGCAGAACCAAAGCCAATGGCTCTGGACTTCCAGACATCTGCTCTTCAATGACGTAGTCCAACAAACCAGTGCTTCTCAAACTTTCATGTGCCAGAGAGTCACTCAAGGACCTCACTGAAGGAAGATTCTGGTTTAGTCTGTCCAGGGTGGCACTGAGTCTAGCTAGCTCCCCGGATGCTAAGGCTGCTGGTGCTTGGACCACACTTAGAGACAAGGGTTGAGAGCAGCATTTCTTTACATGTGAGCTGCCCAGACCAGCAGCAGCAGCATCGCCTGAGAGTTTGTTAGCAAGGCAACTTCTCAGGCCCCACCCTACCTAGATTGTCCAAGAATGAGGCCTAACAATCTGTTTTAACAGCCTTCCAGATGATTCTAACACATGCCAAAGTTTGAGAACTAGTCCTCCAGAGTCTAGACAAAATTTCCCTCTTCCAGTTATTTTCCACCAGAGTGCTCCGTCCAAAACGCAAATCTGACTGTGTCACTCTCCTGCGTAGATCTTTCAGTGGCTTCTGGTGACCTTCAGAATAAATCCCATGCTCCTCAGTATGGCCCACCAGGTCTTTAGTGAGATGGCCCATCTCTCCAGTCTTCCTCCAGCTGTTTGCTCCAGTGAGGTGGGTGTAATACTTGGGGCTCCTTGACCCACTTGCCCTCAAGCTGTCTCTCACTCCCATCCTTTTCATCACAGCTCCTGCCTCCAGCTACAGTGGGAGTAGAGCAGGACTTTCTATTTTCTTGTTTGGCTACTGCGACTTCTGCTGCAGCAGCTGATGGGTGAGATCGACTGACAGCCTCGTGTGATAAGCCGTTCAGGGTGAGCTTAGAGCCAAGTACAGCTGCTAGCCTGGCAATGGCCCTCATTTTCATCCTACGCAGTCTTCCTGCCCCTGATCTTACTATGTTCTACATCGTCATCCAAGAATCTCCGAGGATGATTTGATCATATGTTTTTCTCTACTTAAACACCAATTACAAGACCAACTCCTTAGCATAGCATTTAATCATCTCTGCCATCTCTCCCCACCTACGTTTCCAGTCGTGGCTGCTAGTCCCTCCACATCTAGCCAAAGTGGACTCCTCAAATGATGCTGACACCTCTCTGCCCTTTCTCCTAACAATCCTTCCATGTATGAAATCCTACATGTCCTTTTAAAGCTCAGCTCTACCCTGGAAGGTATAGCTCAGTGGATTGAGCGTGGGCCTGCGAACCAAAAGGTTACTGGTTTGATTTCCAGTCAGGGCACATGACTGGGTTGTGGGCCAGGTCCCCAGGAAGGGGGCATGCAAGAGGCAACCACACATTGATGTTTCTTTCTCTCTCTCTCCTTCCCTTCCCCTCTCTCTAAAAATAAATAAATAAACATCTTAAAAAATATAAAAATAAAAAGTAAAAAAAGCTCGACTCTAACACAGGGCTTCTCAATGTTGGCACTGTGGACATTTTGGGCTAGATCATTCTTCGTTGTGAAGGGCCCTCCTGTGTGGTGTAGGGTGTTGAACAGCATCTCTGGCCTCTCCTCACTAGATGTCAGTAGCACTCCCCCAGCTTTCAATTTGTGACGACCAAAATATTTCCACCCCTGGCTGGTGTGGCTCAGTTGGTTGGAGCATCATCCTGTGGACCAAAAGGCCATGGTTCAAACCCCAGTCAGGGCGCATACAGGAGGCAACCAGTCACTTTCTCTCTCACATCGATATTTCTCTCTCTCTCCCTTCCTGTTTCTCTAAAAGAAATAAAAAAAAAATGTCCTCAGGTAAGGATAAAAAAAGTCTCCAGATATTGCCAAATGACCCCTGGAAGACAAAAATTCCTCTGAGTTGAGAATCACAGCTCCAACATCCTCTCCTGCGGGAAGGGTTCCCTGACACAGTAAGCTGTATGGTATTGGTCAAGCTCTTTAAAATCTCTTTAAATTCTCAGTTTTCTTATTTGTTAAATGGGATTAATAGAAACTATTCACTAATAGAACCTGCTAAGCAGATGGCTGTGAGGTTTATATGAGATAACATGTATGGAATTCCCAGTACTCTGCCTGGTTCATAGAAGCTGCTAAAAAAAATATTGCTTTTTTTGTCTGGCTGCCCAAAAATAACAGACAGGTGGGAAAGAACCCAGTTTTTATTATATATCACCGATCTTCTGATTTTGCCCTGGAGATGTTCCTCTTGCCCCTAAACCAAGCCAATTAAAGCTGCTTAACTTTAAATAGAAAGGGATTTTCAACTGGCCTCATTTGCCAGAGTGCCCTTCTGCCTGCTTACAGGAGGTGGCGCTCATTAGCTAATAGACCCACAGATTGGAGAAAAAAAAGACAACAATAAAGACTCCTTCTACCTACCTGCCCCATTTCTCAGGAGCCTGGAACCCAGCTAATGCGGTCCTGGGTTCTTTGGAAGCTGCATGGCCTGTGTTCACAATAATAGTTGCCTCCCAGGGTAATATAAGTTGCTTAAGCCCATCAACAGAATTTGCTTCACCCTCTCAGTGCTTCAAAGTCTTTCTCCCAAGAAAAACTAGTATTTAAAGTATTTATTACCTGCCCCAAGACATCAAAACTTTGTACATTACAATAACACCAGCTTTTTTTGCATCACGGTTAGGCAGTAAGTCTTGTCCAACCTTTTCTCAGTGGAGCTTCACAGCAGCCTCTAATGGGGGGCCAGGCAGAGGCTCCTCCCCATCCTGCATCTGAGAGCAGGGAGGCCCAGACAGGAGCACTGACTTGCCTGTCAACTCCAATTGTAAACTCCTTACAGGCAGGAACTGTGTGTATCTTTTCCCTCTATATCCCCAGGCCCAGCACAGAGGTGGGCACACAGCAGGCACATGGTAAATATTGCTGAATAGGTGGTTCTGTGAGATTGGAGTTGTTATCCCAGTTCAGTGGCTCAGAAGCCAGCATGGAATGTAAGTTCCTCCAGGTTGTGTGTCCAGCATGTGATGGGGCCAGGACTCACATTCAGGCCTGAAAATCCAGAGTCTGTTCCTTGCTCCGCACCTCATGCTTCCCCACTATTTACCTGGAGAAACGTGGTGTATGGGAAGAAGGAAGCCAACTGACTGGGCCACAGACCACAGGCCTCCTAGAATCAGTGGACCTCCTAGAAATTAGATTCTTGTAAGGAGTGTGCAACCTAGATCCCTCACATGCACAGTTCGCCACAGTAGGGTTCGCGTTCCTTTGAGATCTAATGCCCCTGCTGATCTGACAGGAGGCGGAGGTCAGGAAGTAATGCAAGCGATGGGGAGCGGCTGTAAATACAGATGAAGTTTCACTCGCTGGCCCATCTCCTGCGGTGCAGCCTGGTTCCTAACAGGCCACAGACTGGTATTGTTCGTGGGCCTGGGGTTGGGGACCCCTGCTCTAGGACCTTGTTACCGCTCCACGTGTGGACACTGAGCCAGCAGTCTCAAAATCACAGGGGGAACTGGCAAGATGTGGCAAATCTCAGACCCCTCTGAAGCCCTACTGAGCCAGAACCTGCATCTCAGTAAGATTCCCAGGTGATTTAAGTGCAGACATTAAAGTTTGAGAAGTGCTGCCCCAAGACAGTTACGTCAGCGCTGACTGAGCTTCAGCTGTCAGCTGTGACGACATCAGGGCATCATCTCCTCTCTGCCATGGAGACCACAGACACCTGTGAGCATCCAAGTTCCCTTACTTTAACCGATGGCTGCTGCTGCTCTCAAAGGGGTATTTGACAAACAGGTACATCGTGCTTGTATTTGCTATTCTGGTACCTATGCTCTTTACATTTTATTATGGAAATTTTTTATTTTATTTTGTATTGATTTTTAAGGAAAGACAGAGAGAAACATCAATTTATTGTTTCACTTAGTTATGCATTCACTGGTTGCTTCTTGTATGTGCCCTGACCAGGGATTGAACCCACAACCCTGGTGTATCGGGATGGCACTCTAACCAAATGAGCTACCTGGCCAGGGTGGAAATTTTTAAATACACATAAAAGCTGAGAGCACTGTATGTACCTATTACCATATGCTAATATTTTAAGTTGCCCCAAAGTCTTAATGAGGATAGGAGGTGCCAGCTGAAGAACATGGTATTAAGTTAAAAGCAGTTCTCAAACCTTTGGGTGAATATAAATCAAGATGCAATGGGCCCAGGGTAGGGCCCTGGAATACACATTTTCAACAAGCAATGCAGGAGGCACTGACACCCAGCGGCCTAGGACTGGACTGCACTGGAGAAAGTGCTGTTGGACCAACTTTGTCCATGATTAATAGCAATCTCTACACTTACAACACACAGATAAGCCAGCAGGTCCAATACTGGCCTAAAACACTCATTCACCCAACGCTTATGAGCTCTAAGTCTGTGACGTGGACTCTGCCTGATGCTGGCTGACAAAGACGAGTCTTGCAGGAAGGTGGGTGTGTAAACGACATCCGTTCTACTTGGCTATCCAAGCCTTCTTGCCTTCTTTAATGTGTGGGTTTAAGAGTTGATCTCCATGACAGCCAAGGAGAGAAAAGTGTACCTGACCATTTTGTAAAGTTCATGGGGCTTAGACCAAGCTGTAGAAGTTTCAGGGAGGGATGTGCCTGCTCATGGCAAGGAAGGGCTTTCTCACAAACAGAGCTGTCGGCAAAGGAGCACAATTTCCCATGAAGTAATAAAGATGGGTGACCGCCTGTCAGGGGCTGAAGAGAAGATGCCTGTCCCAGGTGAAAATCGGGCCCGGGGACGTGATCCTCAGCGTGTGGCCCCCAGACCAGTGGCTTCAGCATCACCTGGAGTTTGTTAGAAACACAAATTCTCAGGCCCCGCCCCAGAGCTAATGCAAACTTTGGGTTGGAGTCCAGCAGTGTGTTTTAACAAGCCTTTGAGGTACTTCTGGTGGTCACTGAAGCTTGGGAACCACTGACAGAGATGAACCACAATGAACTTTTGAGCTCAGAAAGTCTTAGGATGGATTTCACAAGTCACTGAACAGCAGCCATTGCACTTGTGGCATTTCAGGTCTAAATTCCTTGTAACTGCGTTTATATTAGCTGCTTGCCCTTGATTTCCCTATTTATCCATTCAGAATGTCAGATGCTCCCCCAGCTAGACCCTGTCACTCCAGGTTTTCTGCTCTGTGTTCCTAGTTGAAAGCACAGACTGAAGTCAGCAAACAATGGGTAAACCTAGCAGGGACTGGGAGATGGTGGGGGAATGGGGCCCTTTCCCTCTCTGCTCCTATACCTCTCCCCACCCCCAACCTCGGGGGAGGGGAGCAAGAGAGGGCAGGAGGAAGCAGGCACAGGGAATCTTGTGTACCTGATGCGTGTGCTTCTTCAATGTAAATGACGAGAAAATCTGCTATGAAACTAAAGTCTTCAATAAGTCTCTTGAATTGGTCAAATTTGAAAAGAAATGAAGGTCAGGTACAACTTCCAAAATTCAGCACCAGTGGCCTGTTGCCTGAAACAGAATTGAAACCATCACCATCCAGTAATCTACACACAGCAGTTGTTTTGCAAGCCCCACCTTCACTCCTGCTTCAATCCTGTTATATTCCCCCCGCTCTACGTTGGATTGAGGGCACAGTGAGGAGCTGAAGCATAGACAGCATGGCTTAGCAGAACTGGAGCCAGTTTACTCTTCTATAGAATGAGGGGCTTTATCAGGTGGTCTTAGCGGACCACCTGCAGTTGCTGGGTGGGAAAGAAAAGAATGATAAAAAGGGTCCCTTTCATGCAGTTTATAAGGTGAGCACATATCCATTCTTTCACGTGATGTGATCAGTATACTACAAGGTAGATAACTTTTCCCCTGTTTTATGGACAAACTGAGGTTTACTGTCTTGTTTCATATCACACAGCAGGCCGGTAGTGGAGCTGAAATGAACACTCTGGCTCCCAGACTCTCATTCAATGTTCTTTCCACTCAGAGCACCTCCGTTTCCTCATCCACAAATGGACATAGTAATAATACTTACCTTACAGGATTGTTATGAGAATTAAAGAAATGAACACAGACGAGTGGTTAAAATGGGCCTGGTCCATGGGAGGTGCTCCATGATGTCAGCTGCTGTCAGTAGCTCTTACCTGCTCCCCGAGCTATGAAGTGGGAGGTGGCAAAAGGGACTCCACAAGGGGACAAAATGCTGGGAACAGGGCCACCTACATGATTTGCTGGGTCCGTTGCAAAACAACTAAGCAGGCCCCTTGTTCAAAAAGTGGGGGAAAGTTCCATTTAGTATATTAAAATACAAAGATTTTTCTTATCTTCTGTGGCCTCTCTCTTGCCCTGGCATGGTACTTTTTAGCTGCTATTTAATGTTGCATAAATGAGGTAATTTCAAGTTGTGATAAGTTATGAAAGAGACTATAAAGGAGCCACCTACTTTAGACAGATGGGCCCAGGAAGGCCTCTGATGAGAGGCCATTTAACTGGGGAAACGAAGACTAGCAATGCGCCAGAGGGGACAGAGGGAGGACAAGGGCATTCCAGACAAAGGGACTCCTGTATAAAGGCTCTGAGGAGGGACAGACAGAGCTTGGTGTGTTCGAGGACCAGCAAGGCCAATGTGGCCCCAGCCAGGCTGGGGTGCAGGTGGGAGGGGCGGGTATGGGCCAGAGCGGGCAGGCTCTCCGACACTGTGAAGAATCTGACTAGGACGCCAAGAAGATACAAACCAAGGATGGTGGATATCTGTTACAATTTTGGCTGCCCAGCTCCTACCTCTCCTTCCTACTTGGAATTCCCTCTTTTGTGTACTACTTGTTGATGGGAGAGTGTGCCCAGCCTTGCACTAGGGAAGACAGAATGGCCAGGTCTGCTCTCTGCCCCCCGGCAGCCAGGGCACAGTCCGTGACTCACACAGGGCTGACTGGACCCTCCCACGCGGATCTTTGGTTCTGCAGTTACTGAGACGGCAGAAGTCATCCATGGTCCAGTGGAGGTTCCCTGTCAGAAATGGTGGAGTCCTACAGTGTTGATGGTTTCCCATGGCAACCACATGGATGGCAGCATCCAGGCCTGACTGCTGATGCTAAAAGACAGACCAGGCTCAGTGCTCCATGTGGTTGGTTCTGGAATGCCTACAATACTTTTCTAATACATTCCTTCGTCTATGGATGTGTGTGTGACCAAGAAAACCAGAGTGAGCTTCTGTTGCTTGCAAGCCAGCACTTTGACTGCTACAGTAGGGCTGTACAATGAAAACAAATGATCAGATTTACACAGAAGATCACTCTGGCTGCTCAATGGGGAAAGGGCTGATGTGGAATGGAAGTGGCAATGAGAAATACAAGGGGTGAGGGGCCATGAGCTGGGGTGTGGGCAGTAGAGAAGGGAACACTGGAACTGACGGGACTTGCTGGTGGAAGGGGGGCAGAGGGCATCTTAACCTGCTTGCGGTTTAGTTGGCCAGTTAGTCCCTCTCCCCCTTCTGAAAAGGATTTGAAGCAGCTTACACATATGAAAAATATTAAATAGAAATTTTTAAAAAATCATGCCCCTCTGGAAGGCAGAGAAGAGGGAAATGTGGAACACGAATAAACAGGCATAAAGGTCCCTGCATTCATTATAACTGAGCTAATATTTGACTCAGTTTCTGGTGACCAATTACAAGGGGAGACAATTGGTTTTGTATTTCTCACTTGTCAGTATAGGAGGAGAAAGCAGGCCAGTTTCTCTGGAGATACAGAGTCCTCCTTGTCTGTGGCTCTGAGATGTTCTCATAGGAGGCCATACAGGGTATTGGTTGATTGCACAGAGCCCTGTCACCCATGTGACAGGGTCACCCAGGACAACGCAGGAGAAGCTCAGAGGCCAGTCATAGTCAAGTAGCTGGCCATTGGCCTCCAATGACCTCAGGGAGTCACCCATCAGATAAGAATCCAAAAGAGTTAAGGTCAGAACTAGAGTTAAATATTAGCTGTCTGGAATTTGTTTTTCCTTAAAAAAAGAAAAAAGACTCAACATCCACTGATTAGGCCCTTGGAAGAGACAGAACTGTTAGTTTATCTATATGTAGTGTGGTCAGTGCAATGATCAGTACTGAGGGCAAAATTTAAACTCAGTTCGCTGCTTTCCTGGTAGCAGAGAGGGGAAAAACGAGTATAAGGGGTAGGGGTGCCGAGGGCTGACACCCCGCCTGGCCATAGGCCACGGTGCAGAGAACACCATTTCGAGAGTGTTGGGCAAGAACTGTCCACCCCGAGTCGCTGGTACAAATGGGAAAAGCTCTGTGGTAGCTCTGGACTCAAACCTACCGTCACAACCCCCAGACCCCCCCACTGGGCTCTCAGAGCAGGGAAAGCCCATTTATAATTACTGGATGACACCTCATAAATATGCTTGGAGAGATTTTAAATAATATTAAATAAGGGCTAAAACAAATCAGGTTGCAGATTAACTCTTAGGTACCTAGAAAAGAAATCATCAGACATGTCTTCTACCACAATACACTGGTTAATCAGTGTTCTGCTGTATGTGAGTGTCCTAAGGCATGTGTATGTCGTGTGTGTGTGTGCATGTACATGTACATGCAGAGGATAGGGGTGGCTGAGAATTTCTCTGAGCATCTGTCATCTTACTCAATAAGAAAAACTGCACTAGCTGAGAATCAGAAGGCACAAATTCTAGTTCTGGCTCTATAAGAACTTGCTGTGTGACTGAGCAAGTAATTTACCTCTCTGAGCCTTTGTTTCTAAACAATGAAAGAACTGCTTTAGGTTACCAAAAAGACTCTTCCAGACCTTCCAGTCTGTGACTCTAAAATGAGCTCAGATTTATACCCAATGCTTACAAACAGAGCTTTTTAGTGACCTCCTGGGTTTCCAAAGCAGTTACAGGATGTCTTTCTAGTAAGTAGACCTGATCATGTTAACTGCTTGCTTGAAAATCTTTCTAGAACTCACCAGTACCCTCTGGATAAAATCTACTCTTTGGTAAGACACATCAGGCCCCCTAAGCTCTAGTCCCTGATGGTGTCTCCAGCCTCATCCTTCACTGCTTCATGCCTCCCACACCCAACTCCTGCCAAACTGACCGATGTTCCTCCCCACCTCAGACCTCTGCTGCCCCTCCCCTCTGTCCTGCTCTGCCCCTCTCCCGCTTCCTCACCCACCCCAAGGCTCCACCGTCCCTAGACAATCAGCTCACCATCCTCTTCTCTAGGAAGCGTTCCTCTGACTACCCCTCTACCCCACCCCGCTTCTCCCAGAACCCTCTGGCTCCGTGTCTCACTATGCTATCTCCCTCTCTGGATTATGAGAGCTGCCAGGACAGAGACCAGTTATGCTGATTTCTGTACCACCAGCACCTGTTATTTCAGGGACTCTGGGTCAAGGTGCTGAAAGCCAACCCCATTTCATAAATAGAGTGTTCTTTTGTCTTTCAGTCTCCTTCTTTCCTCTTCCTTCAGGCTCAGGTACAGCAGCAGAAAAACAGGGATAAATAGAGCAGTCTTCCTAAAATGCACACTGGCTCACTGAAAATGAGCAATTAAAAGAGGCAAGTAAGTTCTGTGAACTGACCATGAGGCGAGTTGTCTTTCATGGAATCAATTGCTAGATAATTGATATTCAGCACATCCACCTGGTTCTACCACAGTGCTTGGCACATAGTAGATGCACAGTAAAAGTTAGTTGTTATTCTCATTGCTCTTATTATCAGTGGTCACTTGGTAAATGTTTGTTGAGCAAATAGAGGTCATTTGTATACCCTGGTTTCAAGTCATGAGCAAAAACTCTTGGCTTTCCTTTTTCCTTGAAACATGTTCCCCTTTTCCATTCTCAGGAAAAAACCTTACTCATTCTTCAAGGCCTAGTTCCAAAGCCACCTCCTCCAGGAAAACTTCCAAGCCCTGGAGGCAAAGTTCATGCCTCTATAGCCTCCCCCAACTCACAGAACTGTAAGAATTTGTTTATTACATCCATCTGTTCTGTAGAACCATAAACTCCTTGAGCGAAGGAGCAAGCTCTTACTTAACTCTGTGACCCTGACATCTAGCTGAAGACCGGGCACATAGGAGGTGCTCATGAATGTTGAGGTGCTGCGAAAAAAAATGGGAAGAAGAAAGCCCTGATTCTGGGACTGACTCAGCCCATCATCGGCTCTGTTACCTTTACCTCTCAGTTTTCTCCATTTCCTCTCTAAAATGAGAGGCCTGGATTAGGTAAACATTTCCCAAAGGCTGTTCTTTGGAACCATCAGTATGATGACAGGCATTTCCTCTGGTGGAGAGCGGGGAGGTGTGTGTGTTAGGAAAATTTGTCAATGTTTGGGAAATTTGTTCAAGTTTTTTCAAGTTTTGTTTGTTTGTTTTTAAGCTTCGAGTCTGTTCAGAGCCTTCTATATGTTCATGTTCACTATGAATATCCAAGAGGAGGGGATAGTGTGCAGGGATTCCCAAAGTACTTTTTGACCAGAGGACTTCATGTACTAAGGCATATCCACGGGACGTGTGTTCCAAAGAACACTAGATTAGTCAACTGCCTCAGGGACCTTCTCTACTGTGCCCTGGGAATTCAGTGATGAATCAGATACAGCCCTGTTGCAAGACATAACCATTCACCAAGAAGAAAACACTTGTGCTTAGGCCGTCTGAGGCTGGGGAGGAAGACCAGAGTCCAGGGAGATGTGCAGACAGAGAGTCATGAACGCACAACAGAGAGAGTGCATGCCCAGCTGTAAGCATCTGAGATGGTTTCACAGATGGGGAGGCAGGACAGCAGGACCCTGATGATGAGGGGTATTTCAGCTGTTGGCAGTGGTGTGGAAGAGCCAACAACTTCAGCAAAGACAGAGAAGGAAAAGTGCAAGGGATATATAAGATCCGACAGTTGTCTGCAGGCAGTGAACAAGAGGGGAAGCTTACAAGTGAAGTTGGAAAAACAAAAGCTGGAGTCAGTACAGAAGGACCTTGAGCACAAATCACAGCCCAGGGAGGACCTTGAGCATTCATCCTGAATGCAGAAGTGGGGCTGCCAAAATTTGGTGAGTTGGGGTGTCCTCGGGTCAGGGATGTGCTTGTGGAAGGGTAATCTGGCAGATATTTACAAGCTGGGCTGGCACAGAGGGCACGAGGGGGAGGAAGAAATCCTGGCAGGAAGAGTGGCTGTTAGGACAAAAGGAGAAGACTGATCAGAGAGGTCTTTAAGAACCCAAGTAGACAGAGCTGGTTTGCCTGGAAGAGTCAGAGATCTTCACAAATATTTACTGAGCACCTACCATGAGTCAGCAGCGGCCATGGGGGTGCAACAGGGGGTTAAGAGCTGTGGTCTCCGCCTGCACAGAGTTTGCAGGCTAGTGAGGGCAAAAGACACTAATCATATACCCCACACATAATTACAAACCAGGACAGGTGTAATAATACAGAAAAGTTTAGGAAGTTCAGTTTAGGAAGGGGGGTTAACCTAGTCCAGGGGAGTTGGGGTTAGCTTGTCACAGGAAGTATCACTGAGTAGAAGCCTGAAGGATGAATGGGAGTTGACCAGGCAGAGAGGGGCTCGAAGTGCATCTCAGACAGAAGCGACCGTGCAGCAACAGTGGTGCCAGAGGAGCTGAAGGCCAGAGGGGCTGGTTTGTGGTTTCAGTGCCTGTGAAGATGCTGATGACACTCAGAAAAGCAGAATCTAGGAAAAGTCCTGGTTTCAGGAGGTAGGAAGAAGCCAAGAAGCCAAAAAGGGACCTGGAGTAGTAGAAGAATTCAAGACTTTCCAACCCACCTCCCACCCACATTGAACATCCCCACTCCAAGCACCGCTCCAGCTGTATCAGCCTCCTGACCTTGCATGAAGTCCCAAATGTTACACGTCTGTCCTGAGAGGCGAACCACAGGGCAGTTTGGGGCTAGACCCCCTTCCTCAGTCTTGTCCTCCAATCGTTGCCAACGAACCTTCAGGAGAAACCAGAAATACTGGATGCCAAAGAGGGTTGGAACCCAGTTTTCATAGGAGAAGTGTGGGTTCTTCTGGTTCATGGCCAAGATACGCTGCTTGACTCTCTTGGGAAACAGTTTTAGTTGTACTTTGCCCAAGGCCACATGCAGGACCACCTGCAAGAGTACCCAGAGCCTCTTCAGCCACAGTGCTGGCTGGGCCAGCCCCATCTCGGCACAGCCAGACCTGGCTCTGAGGCTGACAGACGGAGACGCTGCAGCTGGGCCCCGCTGGGCGGAGCTGAGCAAAGGTGCAGGGTGGGAGTAGCCAGCCCTGGGCAGTGGGAAGGTACCAGGACACAAGGTGTCTGCCTTCCTGTCAATGGAATGGAAAATCCCAAACCAAGTGCTCAAAGTTGTAATCATTATCACTTCTGATTCTTTGCCTTAACCTTTGGGAGATTATTGGACCAGAAGACTTCAGATCTTAAATTCTCCCCCTGATAAATTTTGAAGACTTTAAAAGATCACACTTAAAGGGATTCTGTGGTCATTTAGAAAGGCTCTGCTACAAGCAATTAAGTTCTTTTTCTTTTTTTAGATTTTATTGATTTATTTTTAGACAGAGGGGAAGGGAGGGAGAAAGAGACGGAGAGAAACATCAATGTGTGGTTGCCTCTCACGCACCCTCTACTGGGGACCCGGCCCGCAACCCAGGCATGTGCCCTGACTGGGAATCCAACCTGCAACCCTTTGGTTCTCAGGCCAGCACTCAATTCACTGAGCCACACCAGCCAGGGCCAAGCAAGTAAATCCTAATGTTAATTATTCTTTTAATAAAGTAAATATTTCTCTTAATAATGAAAGATTTTTTTTCCACTTGTAGCTTCTAGCTGGTGATTAAATGTTTCTGGGGTCATGGCTCTTCCAGGAGGATTTGGGTCTGGAAGCTCCCCAAGCAGAGGCAGAGGTGGGGCCTTTGACTTCCCTTAGTACTAGGGGCAGAGTGTAAATACCGCACTCTCTGACCGCAGTGGGGTGGGAATCTGGAGTGGGGAAGAAACAAACAAAAAATTACCACTCTGTTTTCAAAAAGTCTTTGAAGTCCACTGTTTTGTCTTTAAAGATGTATGTCATTTGACTCATAGATACAGACAACAAACTGATGGGTGCCAGACGAGAGGGGGCTTGGATACAAAAGGTAAGGAGGTTAGGAAGTAAAAATTGGCAGTTACAAAATAGTCACGGGGATGTAAAGTGCAGCCTATCTCAGTTCCCCCTCATCCACACATGGCTTCAAACAATCTTAGCTCTTAACACCAGGTACATAAAAAAGGAAGAGAGGTCTACTTGTTGAGACACCAAAAGAAAAAGATTAAAGTGGTACCGACTGCCCACCCCTTATTTGCAACCCCTGGAGCTGGGATGAGATGCTCCCCCAGTTGGGATGGCTACTGCTCTTGAGACATTGAAGACACCTTCGGGAGCATGGCTCAGCTGAGTGGTCTCTAGATTTCCTCTTCATGGAAAGCCAAGAGACTCAGTCGGGATCACATGTAGCATCTAACCAAGGCTCAGACTTTTCAGCGTGTCCCCTCCACCCCCTGTCCTGTCCATCAGAGCAAGCTCACCAGCTTCCCTTCACCCCTTCCCCTTTCCCCATTCTATCTAAGTGAGGGTGGGTGGGTTCTGTCTCTCAGTGGTTCATTCCTCCCTCAGAGCAGGAGAGGTCTGATTAGAATCCTCCAGCTGGAGAATCTAATCCTCCAGAGGATTACCATACTTGGGCAGACAGGTTAAGGAAACCTGAACATTTCGGCTCAGAAATTTTCAACTTTGACACCAGTGATATTCTGAACTAGACACTGCATTATAGGATATCTAGAAGCACTATGCCCCTAGCACCTCACAAGTTGTGGCGACCAAAAATGTCTTCAGACATTGCCAAGTAAATATCCCCTGGAAACAAAATAGTCCCCAGTTGAGAATCACTGTTTTAGTTAAACCAGTATGGTTATTCTTGTCTCATTTTGAGCCAAATCTTACATGTTACTATAACTGATATATCAATATAACTTTTGCTTCTGTTTCCAAGAGAAGAAACATACAATCTAGGTGTCATCATCTCCTCCCAGGACACACACACTTATCACTAGCCACAGGGTTGTTGCTGCCACCGGACTGGCGAGCAGTCCAGTTCCAAAATACCAACATGAGGGCCGCTTCCTGGGGCTACTCGTGGCACCACCACGCCTTAGTGTGGGTTGCTCTTGCTGCATTGGCAAGTGTGAATCCTAGGACCAGGCATGAAGGACAGGGGTTGTACGGCGGTGGAGCAAAGAGAGCCCTTGTGAGGACCCTTTTCCCAGCAGCCACTTCCAAAGGCATTTGGTTGCTTGATCCTGCAACATAGTTTGGATGTTACGTGAGATATCTGTGGAGTGGCTCTCTGGGCGGGGGGGGAAGAAACATGTTCTCAGCAGGTGTTAGCCCCATTGGTCAAAGATTTGCCCCCTGAGGCATTAACCACTCCCTATAGCTGCACCACTGGGTTGTAACCGTTTGGGTGCTGAGTGGTCTCAGCAGTCCCCTGACCCTACAGTACCAAGACACAACCCCTGATGCAGAAGGTAAGAAGCCTCAGGTATGGGCTGGAGGTGAAGCTCATTTAGGTTCTACCTGCTGAAGCCAGAATAAGATCAGTGGTGGTGAAATAAGTAGCAGGCTAGGCCAGAGGATCTGAAACGGGGCCTAAGAGGTGTCTAACACGCCTGCACACCTGAATTTGTGCCTTGCGGTTCATTTCTGGTACATATTCAGCCAAAGTACTCTGCACCTACTCTAAGCCTCAGCTTTCTCTTTATAAACGGAGGATCAAGCTTACAGGATTGTTCTGAGAATTAGAAATCTTGCATGTGTAAAGCCTAATTATGATGTGAGTTCAATAGATAAACTATATTTATATTAATACATAAATATATGTATTAATTGTATTACAGAATACACTGTATACAATTAATACATATAAATACATAAATGTATTAATGTATACATTTGTATAAATACACACACTATATTTAGAGTCTTTCCAGTTGACAACAAAAGCCCATTGTGGTGAGGTCCAAGTTACAGGGTCCATCTTGTGTGGTCTGTGAATTTGGCTTATGCTGCTCAGTCAGTCAGTACTTGATCACTCTACTTAGCTTTCAGTGAGCAACTATTATGTGCCCCACTCTAGGCTGGGCACTGAAGACCCAGAGACCAGAATCATTCCTGATCTTTGTCCTGAAAGCATTTCACAGGCTGTCAAAGATGGACAAACAGTAACAATTATGGTGGTAGAGGCAAGCCCAGGGGATTAAGGGAGCAAAGAAGTTTTAGGAGGTGGGTGGTACCAAAATCTGGAGGGCCATGGAGGCATTAACCAGGCATAGAGAAAAGGCTGGGCAAAATGTTTCTTACCAGGAACAGTCAGTGCAATTCCACTGTCGTTGGGCCCAGCAGTATTAGAGTTGGCGGTCAGTCGCCCTACGGGGACCCTGGGGTGAGTGAGCCAGTCCTTACTGTCGCTCCCAAACAACCCCTCCCCACACTAATGCTAGGCTAAGGCTGATTGTCGTGGGAGTGAAAGAACAAATGACCACACTTATTAGGGTGTTCTTATGGACAGACTTCAACCTGACTTCGATCACTGCTTTGCAAACTCGGACCGATGAACTCATTCCCTCCCTCACTGATTAATTAAATTTTTATGGCCTAAAAGAATTGGGGGGAAGGGATTGATGACTTTTTATTTTCACAATGGTCCTTCGTTGCTATTTTAGATTTCAATAAGAAAAGAAGCATAAACAAAGAGAAAGTCAACTCCACAATCTTGAGAACTCCCTAAGCCCCGCCGGAGAGAGGTGGGGGAGAGGGACCTTCTCTCGGTCTCTTTAAGAACCGGAGCCTCGCACTCAGAAGAGGCGGGGAAGGGAGCCAGTTCCGGAGGCCGCGGCAGGCTGAAGTCTTCGGGTGTTGCTGTCTCTTTAAGGAGGCTGAGCTCTACCCAGACGAGGAGTGGTTCCGTCCCCGCCTCTTCGGCTTCCGGCAACTCTGAGGGACCGGAACCTGCGTGGAGCGTCTGAGGCCCCTGCCTTCTCTCGGGGCTGGATACCGCGCCCCCCGCCCCCCCTCTCGCGCCCCGTCCCCGAGGTGAGGAGGCCAGATGTGCGGGTCGACCCGGGATAAAGGGGCCCCGGGATCCCTTGCCCGCTCGGGCCGCTGCAGCCCAGCTCCTGCACCTAAAATAATGCCTCTGCTTCCCAGGCAGCTCTTTCCCAGACCTACCTTGGCCCAGGTTATGCCAGGCTGCAGGGTCGCGCTCACTACAGCACCTGCTAATTGCTTGGCTATGCATAAGCGCCTTACTGTCTTTTTTAGTGCTCACCTCCCACCCCAGTACCGTATGAGTAGGTACCATTACGAACGCATTTTACAGATGAGGAAACTGAGGCCCCGAGGAGCCCACAGTCACACAGCAAGAAGCAGCAGAATCGAGAATGAAACCCAGGTCTGTCTGACCCCAGAGCCTGTGACCTTAACCACTGGCGAGGCTGAACTGCCTTTGCCCTTCACTGTCCTCAGAACCACCTTTCTCAACCCCATACTCCCACCTTCCTCATCCTCCCACCTCCAGGCTGCACCTGGTCCATAAACACACACAGTGAGTGAAGTGGATGGAACCCCTTTGGACACCCCCCTTAGCTTCTTTTATAACAGTTTAAATAATATCTGATGTTAACCCCACTAAAAAGAAAGGCAAATAACATTTCAAATGCTGAAATAAGATTTGTTTGCATCTATTTTATTTTCGTAACCTGTTGAGTTTCTTCATTTTTTCCTTTTAGACTTCTGCAAATTTGCTTCCTAATAATTGGAAGAAGACCCACTGGCTGAATGGCAGCTGTAGATGACTTGCAGTTTGAAGGTACATCGGTTGGGTGCCCACCTTTGTCTTTATGAGCAGTATTTCTGTGGTCACAGCAATGGATTTTCATTGCAATGCTGGCACAAACATTAAAGAAGATTATTTCAAACATCCTGGTAAAAGAATGTTAGCCCCGCCCAGGTTTTTCTATTTGGCTACACCAGCTGTTCCTTTTTTTGCCAAATAGTCCTTCACATGGTAACATAAATTTAATACAGTGATTACATAAAATGTGCATAGAGTTCCTGCTTTAGTTCAACAAACATTCATTGAGCACCTACTTTGTGCTTAGAACTGTGCTAGATACAGAGGATAAAAAGATAAAGGAGAAATGTTTTATGCTACTGGAGTAGATAACAGAATAAAAAGATGATTATGAGGAAACATGACCAAGTCATTTCTTCATTGACTCAGTAAGTGTCTTGTGAGTGTGGCCATGAACCGGGCTGTTGTCTGGTTGTCAGGGATAGAAGAGTGAGCAAATGGCCAGTTTCTTCCCTTATGAAGCTTTCAGTCTAGCGAGGGAGACATTTACTTGTTAAGTGGTCATTTAAATACCTTACTTCGATATTAAATAGTCTACAAACTATGAGAGTGCTGGAGGGAAATTTCATAACTCCTAACCCAGAGCCTGGTCTGTGCTGGGGACTGATGGACGCTTTTTTGTCTTGTGAATGCATGTGTAGTTCTTACTCTGTGGCAGGCTTTGTTTTAAGGGCTTTGCAAATATTAATTCATTTAATCCTTATGTCAACTTTATGAAATAGCTCTTTTATTTTCTCTACTTACCATTTTTCTGTTTGGGACATTCTTACTCCAGGTAGTCACATGGCTTGTACCCTTGCTCTGTTCAGATCTCACTTCATTACAGGAAGTTTAGGCTCAGAAAAACTAAGTAATTTGCCTTAAGGTCATATAGTTAATAAGTGCTAAAGCAGGGTTTGAACTCAGGTAGCCTACCTTCATAACCATGCTACCTCACTACTATCTGAGGAGGAGATATGATTAGAAATCCATTTTATCAGCAAATATCATCAGCTCTGTCTTCAAAATATGTCCAGCATCTGACCTCTTCTCACCACCTCTGCTACTTTCTGACCATGCTCAAGGTCACAGTCATCCCTTGTCTAGATTATAGCCCTACCTTTCTTCTGGTCTTCCTGCTTCCTCTCTTGCTCTGCTATATCGGTCTTCTAAAGCCAGAGAGTTTTTGTAAAACTAAGTCAGATTGTTGTAAAACATTCTAAGTCATTGCTGTAAAACCTCTCAGTGGCTCCTGTCTCACTAGGAGTGAAAGTTGGAGCCCATCCTGTGCTTAGGAGACTTGACATGATCCAGCCCTCTATGGCCTCTGATTTCATGTCCTGTTACTCTTGCCCTTTCTCTGCTGTTCCCACACAGGCCCCATCACTGATCCTCCTGGATGCCAAGTACACTCACAGCTTAGGGCTTTTGTGCCATTTTTCTGTTTGGGACATTCTGACACCAGATAGTCACATAGCTTGTACCCTTGCCCTGTTCTGATCTCACTTCATTAGAGAGGCCATCCTTGGCCATCTTATCTCAGTACAGTGTGAGACCATACAAGGGTAAAGAATGGCATATACATTCTTTATTTTTGCTTGGAGGAAATTTGCTTGACTTTTTTCCAAGGTACCAGAGCACAGGTGTTGCGGGAGACTGTCACAAGGTGAGGTTTGAGAGGGGAGAGGAGCCAAGTCTCCCAGGACTTTATAAAACTACGTAAAGGACTTTGCTTTTCAGAAAAGAACACAGGATGCTATAGAGGGGTCATGGGAGGCTTCCCTAAGGAAAAGTGTTAGTGTCTGCTGAACAAATGGAGTTCAGGACCCTTCAGGTGGAAGGCATTGTGTCAGGAAAGGAGCAGAGGCAAAACGTAGCATGGGATATGCCAGGGCATAGAAGCAGGGAATGTTGGTGGCAGAAATAAAAAACATACCAGTCTTGCCCTTGAGGAGCAGAAGTAGGCAAGACTACCCAACGGAGAACATAACGTGTGAGTAGTGACCATGTGAGAGGTCTGCTCTTCAATCGAACTGCGCTGTCTGCTATTCCTCAAACACTGGCTACATTTTTCACCTTGTGGGTCTTGCTTATCCCATTTACTTTTCATGAGATCCCATCCCCACCACTCCAACCATCCTTCTCATGGGGCAGCTTTTCCCAGAGACCTTTCCAAATCCCATCAGCTAGATGAGTTTTCATCCTCCCTTGAACCTCCTTGGCCTTTGCACCTCTAACCTGACACTCTGTTCTTTCTGGCAGCCCCTTCCCCCTGGTAAACTGCATTTAAATATGAGACTTCAGTTCTGTATTTTTCTTGGTCTGATTCCCTCAGGCAAAGTTGTGAGTGTCTCTTTAAATGTCAGTGCCATGTCCTGTCAGTAAATGATTGCCAGGATGTTTAGTATCTCATATCATCCTCAAAATCTCTCTTTAAGATAGGTCCTATCTACATTTCATAGTTGAAGAAATGGAGACTCAGAGATATGGAGTAATTTTCCCAGGGTCATGGAGCATTACAGTCTTAATTTAAACAAATACTCCAGAGTCTCTTGCTGCTTCAACAGAGAAAACATTGGAGACTGAAGCTTAAGTAATTGTAACTTACCAGCCACCCTATTCATTTCAGTTACTTTAGTTTTCTCCATGAAGCTGTTTGCATAGCTGAGAGGCAGTAAGGGAGGGCCTGGCTATCCAAGAGCCCCATCCTGCTGGTAGTCATAAGATTTGTACTGTGCTTGTAATGTGGTAATGGTGCCCTGCTGGTACCCTGTCTTAGTCCTGCCTAGTTCTAGAGATGCCCTGAATTGTGTTCAAGAACAGCTAGATAAAGTTCATTAGGCTACCCAGAGACAGAAGTCTCAATCATTGCTTGTGGACATGAATAGGTGAGGCTCTTCTGGAAAGCAGTTTAATGATGTGCTCAAGAGCCTTAAAAATGGTTTGCATCCTTTGATCGACCTAGTGATCGCACTGAGAGGTGTTTGTCCTAAGGCAATAATCCAGAAAGCTTTTTCTGCACGGATACTCCTCACAGTGTTATTTGTACCAATGAAGAGTTGAAAACACCCCAAACATCCAATAACAGTGGAATAATTGTGTTAACTTACAGTGTCTCTCTCCTACTCTCCCTACCCCTGGCTGATAGAATATTATGTAGCCACATAAATGATCATTGTAAAAACTGATACGAAGTCATTTTTATATAATCCCCAGTAGACAGAACAGGATACAAAATTGTTTATATAGTATTATCACACCCTAAATGAGTACTTGGCACACTGTGGGCATGCAGTATTTGTTGCATGAATCAATGATCTTCACTGGCATGAGTCTTACTATATAAAGAGAAGGAAATATAACAAAAGTTAATGGTGGTTGTCTTTATATGATAGGGTTAAGAGTGATTTTTATTCTGCAGTTTCTACTTTCATTTTTGTCCCCATATTTTTTATAATCATTATTACATAGACCATACTGGAAAAAATAACTTCATTAAATTTTTTGTAATAGAATCAAAGAAGAAAGGTTTAGATTGGGTACTGGCTGTGGGTCAGGCACTCTGCTAAGGACTTTATTTAGGTAATATTCCTAACTTTCCCAAAATTCTTTAGAGTAGATATTATTCTCTCCATTGTACAGATAAGAACACTGAGGCTTATACAGGTTAAGTTCATATAATTGGTTAGTAGCTGAGCCAGGACTGAAATCTGGGTCTGACTTCAACTTCTGCTATCTTCATAATCATTTTTCTGTGTCAGCTTGATTTCTAGGTGAGATTTTTTTCAGAGACTTTTGTCTTTGTATTAAATAGGGTTTGTAGCAAAGTTGAGGTTATAACAGTTGGCCTTTAAATGAAAGGTATAGCATTTCCAGTGTAGTTAAGGTCTTTGATACCCTTATGTTCTAATTGCTTTCAGAATTTGGTGATGTAGCCACTTCTCTAGCGACCAACCGAGATGCCACCACGATAAGCATCGAGGGTCCTGGTGAAACTCCCAGACATCAGCCAGGACCCCCAAGAAGCTCTGGGAGAGAAGAGGATGATGAATTACTGGGAAACGATGAGTCTGACAAAACTGAGGTTTGCACTTTTCTTTGAAATTGAATTTGTCATATATTTATTCACTGTCGCCTGTATGTCAGTTAGAGTGCCAGGCAGTGCCAAAATGAAGTGGCATCACAGGTGGTCTCCGCCTCAGGGGGATAAACAGATGGGCAAACAGACCACTATCATCCATGGGAAACACACTGGATGGGGGAGCAGCAGGGCTGTGGGAGCAGAGAGGAGCGTGTTACAGGAGGCTTCCTGGAGGTGGTGACCCTTAGACTGGGTCTTGATGAAAGAGTAGTTGGTAGCCAGGAGGAGAAGGCAGGGAAGGGTGTTCTAGGCAACAGCTTTGGCGAAGTCACAGGCATAAAAGAACGTGGTACAGCCCTGGCTGGTATGGCTCAGGGAATTGACTGCCGGCCTGTGAACCAAAGGGTCGCCGGTTTGATTCCCAGTCGGCACATGCCTGGGTTGCGGGCCAGGTCCCCAGTAGGGGGCACACAGGAGGCAACCACACATTGATGTTTCCCTCTCTCCCTCCTTTCCCCTCTCTAAAAATGAAATCTTTTTTTTTTTTTTAAGATTTTACTTATTTATTTTTAGAGAGGGAAGGAAGGGAGATAGAGAGAGAGAGAGAAACATCAACGTGTGGTTGCCGGAGGTCATGGCCTGCAACCCAGGCATGTACCCTGACTGGGAATTGAACCTGCGACACTTTGGTTCGCAGCCCGCGCTCAATCCACTGAGCTACGCCAGCCAGGGCTAAAAATGAAATCTTAAAAAAATAAAGTAAAAAAGAAAGAACATGGTACAGACAGCACATCTCCTGTCTTCACATACATTGGGAACAAAGTCTGGTGAAGGCAGGAGATCAGGCTGCACAGATAGGCAAGGACCCAACCCAGTGAATAGGAATATTCTGAAAACTATTGGGAGCTATTAAAAGATTTTGAGCAATATGGCCAGATACATTTAAAGCCATTTAAGATGTGGCAGCCATACAGAATGCAAACAGGGGAGATGGCCTGGAGGCCAGGAGACCAGGTAGGATACTGTTGAAGTGGTCCTGGTGAGAAGGGCCGAAGCCTGAGGTTGGACACACCTGTTTGGGGGCAGGCTCGGCAGGACTTGGTGGCAAAGGGGTGAGAGCAAGAGAGGGAGGATCTAGGGAAACTTCTGGGTTTCTGCAGCTGGATGGGTAATGACTGTCAGGTGGCCTTTTTGACCACAAAGATTTAATTCCATGTGCACTTTCCATGTTCTAGAAAAATCATATTTCTAGTGATATTTTGTAGATGGAATCATGATTGCAGTGCACTGGAGAAGCACCCAGTTTATAGCAGTGGGTTCTGTCCAGGCTTATTAAAATAGTAGAGTGCTTGGGTGCCAGAGGCTCTTGGTGGAACTCCACGAAATACCAAAGTAATCACCAAAGCTTATGCTAAATCAAATACCATTATATACTAGATTCTGTGACAAGAGCTCTGACTTAGGAGCCTACTCTGAATCCTGGTCCAGGTCAGCAGTAATAGCCGTGTGGTGTTGGGTAAGGTGCTTGAACTTCCTTCAGCCTGGGTTTCCTCATCTGAAATATAAAAAGATGTGCATGTTGACTATTGTCATTATTGGCATCACAGTAGTTAATATTTATTCATTGTTTAAAATTTACCAGACACATTTTAAATTCTTAACTTGGATCATCTTATTTAATCCTCAAAACAACCCTGGTGCCAGGAACTATTCTTATCCTCATTTTACAGATGAGAACCTGAGACACAGAGTTTAAGTAGCTTGCTCCAGTACACATACCTGGCAGGAAGCAGAGAACTATAAACCGAGGGATGTGAGTCCAAGAGCCTGTGCTCCTCCCCTCTGTGCTAGTAGTGTCCGTGTATGTTACGTGCTTACTACTCAGGAGACAGGAGTGATTGTTAGTATAGTTAAGTCTGTTAGGGCTCTCCAGAGATGTGGGACCAGTAGGATGTAAATACATAGGAAATGAGATTTATTTTAAAGAATTGGTTTACATGATTGTGGAAATCTGGTGGCAAGTCCAGAATCTGATGGAGGAGGCTGGTAGGCTGCAGATGCAGAAAAAGCTGGAGTTGGAGTTCAAAGGCATTCTCCTACAGAACCAGGAAGTGCTGGTGTTGCAACTCAAGCCCGAAGGCAGTCTGCTGGGGCATTCCCTCTGGCTCAGGAGGGAATTCAGCCTTTTGTTCTGTGTAGGCCTGCGCCTGACTGGCTGAGGTCCACCCACATTTTGGAGGGCAATCTTCTTTAGTCAAGAAGTCTACTGACTTAAATGTGAATATCATTCAAAAACAGCCTCACAGAAACATCCAAAATAATGTTTGACCAAATATCTGGGCACCATGGCCCAGACAAACTGATGCATATAATTAGTTACCACACTGAGCAACAGCAGGCTTCAGAAGTCTAAGAAGAAATGTATAGGGGGAAAAAAATCTTAAAACATTCTATTTATTATTTTAATGGTGTCTGTGTATTGGGAAGAGTTTACCAATATTTTGACAATTTCTTGGCCTAGCTATGGGACATGGGTCTGTGGTGTTCTCTGTCTTGTGATATCAGGGTTGGAGAGAACCTTCAGTTTCCTCCAGTTCAGTTTCCCTTCCAAGATACTGATGCTGTTTGTGACAGGTCAGAAAGAGCACACGGACATGTCTAAAATGGGCCGTTCATTACTGTGTAAAGCAGCCACTGCCTCCACTGGACAACTTAATTGTGAACATGTTTTCCTTTATAATGAACGAAATTTTTTTTTGCTAAATTCTATTTGTTTTGATTTTAGTGAGAGGAGGAAGGAGGGAGAAAGAGAGGGAAAGAAACATCCATATGAGAAACATCAATCGGTTACCTTCCGTTTGTGCCCTGATCTGGGACCAAACCCACAACCCAGGCATGTGACCCAACTGGGAAGCTCACCAGTGACCTTTTGGTTTGTGGGACGATGCCCAGCCAACTGAGCCACACTGGCTGGAGTATAATGAGCAAAAATAGTTGCCGAGAGCACCTTCCCTTGTCCTTCAGAGTTCCTCAGAGTATGTTTCCTTTTGCTGCATGAATCCTCTCCGGGTAACTGAAGGTGGCAGTCACAATTCCAGCTGTGGCCTGCTTTTCACTGTCGAATACCTGTGCTATTGCGGCAGGTGTGGCCCTCATGGGCGCCACTTGTAAACTGGAATTTTGTTTCTTTTGTCAGAGAGTATATTTTACGTTTGTAATACTTTAGAGTGAAGCAGTATATCAAATTTTTGAGAACTCCGGTGGTGACAATAGTAGGGATCTTGAAGGGGTGAGGGAAGAAAAGATACACTGTCTGCCTTCTGTATGTATGTGTGTATAGTAGATGCAGATATGTGTTATTATACATAACACATGTATTATGTATAATTAACCCTCCCTATAATCCTGTGAGGATTAATATGACCTACATGAGCCATGTATCTATAGATAAAGTCTATCTATGAAGGAGATCTTGTGCCCCGGCTGGTGTAGCTCAGTGGATTGAGTGCAGGCTGCGAACCAAAGTGTCGCAGGTTCAATTCCCAGTCAGGGTACATGCCTGGGTTGCAGGCCATGACCCCCGGCAACCACACATTGATGTTTCTCTCTCTTTCTCCCTCCCTTCCCTCTCTAAAAATAAATAAATAAAATCTTAAAAAAAAACCTGTTAAAAAAAAAGGAGATCTTGTTAGCACTACTTTGTAGATGAGAGAACGAAGACTGAGAGGAGTCTAGTGATTTGATGAAGCTGCCCCTGGTGGAGGGGCCAGGATTTGAAGCCTTTTGGGGAGACTTCCAAACCCATGCTCGTTTTCTGTCAGACTGGGAGTTGGGCGCGGCTTTTGCAAAGTTGATTGATGGATGCAGAAGAGCTTGGTCTTTCGTACTTGATTTTACATTAGATCGGCTCCCTTCCTCTCTGTGTACCGGGAATAAGGAAATCATTATGTTTTATTTTACCTCTGACAGTTACTTGCTGGACAGAAGAAAAGCTCCCCTTTCTGGACCTTTGAATACTATCAAACATTTTTCGATGTAGACACACACCAGGTTTGTAAAGCAGTTTTACCTTTGCTTTTACATATAATGGAGACATGTTTCTTCTATGGCTATGCAATGAAATAATGTGAAAGCTTCTGTACACTGCATAGGGTTTTACAAAAGTAAAAGGTTACTAGTATTTGAAAATACTACCATCATAAAAGCTCTAATAACTGAGTTTCAATTTTGCAGTAGTCGAATTTATTAATCTTAAAAAAGACCTTCAGTAGACTTACTGCTATGTTGTTTTCCAGGTCTTTGACAGAATAAAAGGGTCTCTTTTGCCAATACCAGGAAAAAACTTCGTGAGGTTATATATCCGCAGCAATCCAGACCTCTACGGTATGTGTGGTGCCTTTTTGATTCTCTACCATGTGCCCCATGAACTCGGGTGAGTGTGCAAATTACCTGCAAGGCTGGAGAACGTACTGTTGGCAGGGTACGCAGCATTTTATTTGACTTTTCTGAGTTCATTAGCAACCCTTGCAAAGAATTTTGGAGAAAATGCACTTATCTGTTCCATTAATGCTATTACTAAAAGAAATAGTATGTCCTGTGAAAGTCTTCAAATGTCATTACAAACTTGGACAAATTAAGTTACTTTTTCTAAGAGGAGATTGTTGACTTCAGTTTTAGAGGAATTGGTTTCGGTTGGGGAGTGTGTAGGACATTTCTTTATTGAGTCCCAGCCCTGCCTTCAGACAGACCGGCTCCTTCCCTTGGGACTCAGGAAGCAGCACTAGAAGTCTGTAGGAGGGGTGGGCCAGGAGGTGACTGTCATCCTCGATGTCCCCGCTGTCTGCGAAAGGTCAGAGGCCCCCCAGTACCCTGAGGGAAAGGGCTCCACTGGGAATGGTGTTCTGTGTTTGAGGGGAGGCGGTGGCTCTGAGCGCTTGTGTGCAGGTGCTCTAAGAGGCTTTGTGTGCATGGTCACATGTAATTCTTGCAACAACCTTTGGGATAGGTGTTGTCATCCCGTTTTTCAAAAGAGGAAGCTGATGCTCAATGAGGCTTAGTAATATATATATACTCAATCCTAAACAGTGAGTATTAGAGCGATTATATGTATTGATTATAAGAGGAAAAGGAATTCATGAGAAATTTCTGGGTACCAATTAATACATACATTATTTGATCCTTAAAATGAGACTGACTGTATATTAAGTACTGCCATCCCTGTTTTCTGTGTAAGGAAACTAAGGCTGAGAGTTGTCAAACAAAAAAGAGTAGAACTAGAGCCCAGTTCAGCACTATGGAAAGCCAGGATGTATTCTATTAGCCCAGAGGTTTTAAGCTACAGAAAGTTGTCATTGTATGGCACCGATGTCCAGTATCTGAAACCAGGGTAAGTGTAACCGCTCTGGAGGCCGAGGGGCCCCTTTCATTCAGCCTCAGGGACCAGGAGTTACACCCAGTGATCTGTGGAATTCCTGGAGCACCAGTGAGCATGGTGTGGAAACCATCGCCTTGACCATGCCCTCATCCAGGGGTGCCCAGTGGTTTCTTTTCAGCCCTCTCATTCATTCTTCTAGCCTGGGCGCCTGCCGAGAGGTCCACTCAGGGTCTCAGTGATCCATACCATCAGTGCCTGGCACAGGCTTGGCTCAGACAGTGTGTGAGTACCTTGCTTTGTGCTCGAGACTGAGGGTTCAAAGACAAAGCCATAGTCTCCACCCCCAAGGGGGAGGAAGAGAGAACTAACGTGTTGAGCACTCTACAAGTGCCAAGCGCAGAGCCTGTAAAACAGTTTAAAGGCGATACCTTAAACTGTTTTATTTCCCACACTACAGGGTAGCCTTATCAAATAACACAATCAAGGTTTGTTTTATCATTCTTTGTGCTTTTCTGGATGTTAGAAATATTTCATTGTATAAAAACTACATACCACAAACTAAATTAAGGCTCCTTTCCACCCCACCCCATAGTAAGAGTAGGAATTTGGCAGGAGTGGGGAAGAGAGAGGCGGAACGAAGCAACGTGCGGGCCTGGGATGCTCAGGGGCTGTGTGTCTCTGGAGTCCAAGCTTCTATCGTGCCTGAGTGCTCTGGGGCGGCGGTGTGGGCCAGGCCTAGCTGGCCGTGGGTACTTGGTGAATAAGTCTGACAGCTCTGTCGTGGGTACTGTGGTACTGCGGCCACTTGTAATATTGTGGTCACTTGTGGTGATATGCTTGGGTGGTCTCCCCCCATCAACAATAACACGTCAGTTTTGTTCATTTGTCCTATGAAGCTTTTGGAGATTTTTTTTTTTAGATTTTATGTATTTATTTTTAGGTAGAGGGGAAGGGAGGGAGACAGAGAGGGAGAGAAGCATCAGTGTGAGAGACATACATTAATCAGCCGCCTTCCGCATGCCCCCAACTGGGGACCCAGCCCTGCAACTCAGGTATGTGCCCCGACCAGGAATTGAACCAGTAGCCTTTCAGTTCACAGGCCGGCACTCAGTCCACTGAGCCACACCAGCCAGGGCGGGAATTTTTTTATCATTGTTGGTCGTAGGGGTTTTTTTAGTCTTTTTTTGTTTATTTGTTGCATCTTTAAGGTGCTAGGCTCTCAAAATGATAACGGTGAACAAGATTTAGTCCTTGGCTATAGCAGAGGATAGCTTAAAGGATAATGAGTACACAGCAGTGTGTGGGAAGCTGAGGGCGACTCTGGGAGTGCCCAGTCGAGCAACTGTGCTCCTTGTCCGGCCTTCAGGACCTGGCCTGGCTTTGAAGAGCGCTGACCCATTTCCACTCGTCCTCTCACCCAGCACAGTAATTCTCTTAATTTTAAGATGTGTGAAGGAGCCTACAATTATCCCAAAAAGTACTGCACAATATTAGTGAGATTGACATTCATAAAATTTATTAAAATCTCCAGATTTAAAATTATATTTGTTCTACTAGAATTTTTTCTAGATGAGGAGAAACAAGGGCAGTGTTCATGAAATCAAGTGAAACGATGAAAGGGCTTTGCAAGCACGGCAGACTCGTCTGTTCAGTGGAGTGTATTGTAGTCATGGGAAAAGAATACGGCTGATTTTTATCTTAGCTGTGGTAGAATCTCCAGGATATATTAAGGTGAAAGTAAATATGTATGTAACCATTTGTATAAGACGTGCACACATATGCAAATACGCATTTGCTTTTGTGTGTGTAGAAATCTCTGGCAGGATTTACCAGAACCTGGTTATGATAGTAAGGTCTGGGAAGGGGAAATGCATAGCTAGCGACCACCACCCCCCCCCACCCCCCGCCAGAGGGAAGGAAGTTTACTCTCCTCTGTATTCCCTTTTGTACCTTTAAGACACTAAACTCTGTGCCTGTGTAACTTTTTTATTAAACAAGGAAAAAAGGAAAGCCTTAAACACACATAGTGAATTGGTAGATCACACTAACTCTCCCCTAAAGCGTTCTACTTGCCCCAGTCTTTGCAGAAGGACCTGTCTGGTTTTAGGTTTGTTTCTTTGTTTCCTGATACTGACATTGGCACTTAGATAAGGGAAGTGACTTGCTTCCTGAATCCTGATGGTAAAAGTTTAACACCATGTCTGTGAGTTATTTTGGTGATCCTCCAATAAAAGAAGCTGTAAACAAATTAGTGTCTTTGTTCACCTCATTACAGGAGGTGTTTTGGCTTTTGCGTTCCAATCCCCCATCTTTAAGGCAGTTAATTACTGAGTTTTGCATTTGGCCTTTTAAAAGAGAAAGTTCCTGCTCCAAGAGTATTGAATGCATCCAAAAGTCCTTTTTCCTTGCTTACATGAATAGGGCAAGGGAGATAAGAAAATATTCTTTAAAAATCTAAAGGCCGGTGCTTCACTTTCTTGTTTCTGAATTTTCTGGTTTCCCTCGCAGGTCCCTTTTGGATATGTGCCACGCTGGTCTTTGCCATAGCCATCAGTGGGAATCTCTCCAACTTCTTAATCCATCTGGGAAAGAACACATACCATTATGTACCCGAATTCCGAAAAGGTTGGTGAATAGCTGGGCTCGTTTGGAATGCCGACAGTCTGTACCCGTGAGCTCCTTTCCCCACCGCGCTCTCAGTTCCCTGTCTCTCCGCCGCACCCCTGCTTTCTGTGCTTCAGGGCTCAGACGTTCGTGGTGTCTCAAAATTTACCACCCATCCATACAAACCCATATAATTTAAAAAATGTAAAATATGCATAAAATTTACATGTTAACCACTTTTATGTACTTTTAAAAAAGGATTTTATTTAATTTTTAGAGAGGGGGGAAGGGAGGGAGAAGGAGGAGAGAAATGTTGATGTATGGATAGAAACACGGATCAGTTGCTTCTTTCATGCCCCTACCCAGGGACCCGCTACCCAGGGACCCGCAACCCAGGCCTGTGCCCTGTCCGGGAATCGAATCAGAGATCTTTTGGTTTGGGGGACAATGCCCAGCCCACTGAGCCACTCCAGTTAGGGCCATGTTAACCATTTTTAAGTGTACAATTCAGTGGTATTAAGTAAGTCACAATATTATGAATCTGTATAATCTTCTGGAAAACTGTAAAGGAATGCCCAATAGCAATTGGAATTTATTCAAAGAAAAATGTGTAAAATAAGCAAAGAGCATTGTGCATAAAAGTTTCCATTGTAGCATTATTTGTGTAATCTAAATGTTGGGAACAGTAGGGGCATTTTTATTTAAGTCACAATGACTCAACTAGCGAGGTCTGGAGCCACTAATTATGAAGCTCCAGCAGGGGTGTCCAACCCATGGCCCACGGGCCACATGTGGCCCAGGATGGCTATGAATGCTGCCCAACATAAAATCATAAATTTACTTAAAATCTTTTTTTTCTCTCACCAGTTTTCATTAGTGTTTGTATATTTAATGTGTGGCCCAAGACAACTCTTCTTCTTCTAGTGTGGCCCAGAGATGCCACAAGCTTGGGCACCCCTGCGTGTAGAGCAAGGTAGAGGCCAATCATCCATACTGATGCCTGTGCAGTCAGCAGCTTGTTAAAGGGAAGTCTGTGGGTGGCCAGGGCCTGGAGGGGGAAACACAGAGATGAGTATGTGTCCTAGTCGTGGGCTTGTGGGTGCCATTCCGGTTCTAAAACTTCCTTTCTTGTGGTAGTATTGTATAATTAGAAACAAAAACAGCTTACAGGGACTTGCAGATGAGAGCCACTCCAGAATGAGAAAGTTTAGCTTTGTAAGAGATGGACCTGTGCCACTCCCTCAATTTTCTCTGCCGTCCCACCTTCCCCCGCTGCCTGCTGGCCTGTTGCGAGGCTGTACACAGGCCGCATAAAGCATGGTCTCGCGGACCAGGTCACTGTCTTCAAGTTCCAGCCCCTCCACTCAGTGACTTCTACCTTGCTGGGCAGGTTATTTCATCTCTGTTGGCCTCAGGTTCCTTGTAAGTGAAATGGAAATAATAGTACCTATATTATAGGACTATTAGATGAATAAAGAGTTGATATATGTAAAGCAATATTACACATATGTACATATATGTGAACGGATACATGCATGTATGCAGAGATATGTATTTACCTGTGTGTATGTGGGTGTGCCCCTCTGTAGCCTTCTGTCTTTCTTCCCCTGCATCCTCCATGCCCAGTTTCCCTTCTCTTTCCTTCCCATCAGGGAATTGGACCTGGATCGGACCCAACTCCATTTGTCAGATGACCTTGGTTAGAGGTTAACTCAATAAATACTACTCATGAGGTATAGACCCTGCCTTCAAGTAACTTCAATGGTTAATCAAAGGAAGACAGGGAAATGCACATTGTTGTGAATAGTATGTGTTAATTTCTGTATCGGAAGTATGTATAGATATACTGACAGAAAAGAAGGAGTGATCACCTGCCTGAGGGTCTGGATGCCTAGGAGGGTCCTTGTCTGTTCTTACTTCTTACCCTCTTTGGCTGAGCACCCCAGTATCAGGAGTGGGAGTCAGGGGATGTGTGTACAAATAAGATAGTCATTGCCTCTGCCAATAAACAGGTTCCCATCTTATGTAAAGACTATAGGTCACACATCCAAGTTCAGATCCTGCTGCCACCGCTTACTAATTATTTGACCTTGATCACTTAGCTTCTCTGATCCTGTATCCTTGTCTCTAAAATGAATGAAGCTATAGAATATATGAAATAATATGTTTGCGTATCTGTTAACAATATAAAAAGCTAATTATTGGTTATTTATTATTCATCAGTAAGTATTTTAGGTATACCTGTTTTTACCTATTTAATTATAATAATCTTTTAAGGTACAGTATACTATTATTTTTTCCCATTTCACAGATAAAGGAAGTGAGGTAGGATGGTTAGGTGACTTCCACCCAGGGCTACTTAGCTGTGAGTGGCACAGCTAGGATCAGAACCCATGGAGCCTGCATCCAGAGTCTGTGTCCCTGACTATTACGCAGTGTTGCCTCTAGGTAAAGCAGTCAGTGTGATGCCTGACACCCAGTGGCTAGCCGTAACCGTAGTAGTGATTCTTTTCCCCTTCTTTTAGTTATCTAAGAAAAAAACCACAGTATGTCAGCATATTTACGTTTGCCTTAATCAGGGAGTTTACAATGTGAAAAAACTGCTCTGGGAGCTAACAATTTTGGACAATCACATCTTAACCAGAGTCTGACTGTGATTGCAAGGGGTGCCTTTGTTCTCGCCAAGAGCGTTAAGTGAATTACCTGCTGGTTCTCATGTAGGAAGGGCTGGTGCCACGGGCTCGGCCGAGCTTTATGACCCTCCACTCCAGAAGAGGGAGCACAAATCCTCTAGGGCGTGCTGCTGCCAGAGCAGGAGGGCGGTACAGCAATGTACTGAACATTGCCGTTCTGAGGAGCCGCTAAATAGCTTTTCCACCACAGAGACAGAATTATTTAAAGAGGGAAGTGAAACTGGAGAATATTTCAAGCAATTCATCAATGAGCTGGAACTCACTATTTCGGAGACAGAAGGAACCCTAAATAGCATGCAGAGCAAGTTAATCTGTACCCAGGGCATTTTAATAAATTTGCTAAAGAAATCAGTGTCAACTCTTGTTATACTAGGAAGGAGGATGTGTTCTTCCAAGGGGATAGTTGGCTTTTATTTGACTGAAATGCTTAGTATATTCAAACACTTGCAGTGTGGCCCTCTGAAGCGTATCAGTTGCATAATTTGTTTTTTAATAACCAATTTAATAATATTAGTTGTTAGTTAAACAAATTTTTAAAAACCATATGAGAGACTACTGGTCATCATCTCTACCAAGACAAACGCTAAATATTCATCAGTTCAGCACATTTCTAGAGCGCCTGCCACCTGTCGGGTGCTGGGTCAGCCTCAGGATCCATGAAGACCAGTCGGCAGTGACCCTGTGGTCGAGTGTGGTAGATGGATGTGGGGGGAAGTCAGCCGGGAGGTACTGGCAGTGCTCTGACAGCGCACTGCAGGCTCGGTGGGGGTAACGCTGCGTCCTGTCATCCTCAGTGTCCATGGCGGCCACAGTCATCTACGCCTATGCCTGGCTGGTCCCGCTTGCACTCTGGGGTTTCCTCCTGTGGAGAAACAGCAAAGTCATGAACATCGTCTCCTATTCGTTTTTGGAGATCGTGTGCGTCTATGGATACTCGCTCTTCATTTATATCCCCACGGCAGTACGTACCACACTTACTCTGAGTGATGTCCTGTTCTTGGTTGCATATTCCACCAGCATCCTTATTTCTAGCCTAATACTGATGTGCACCTGAAAAATGCTCTGTGAATGTACTAGTGCAGCATGAATGGGGGCTGAGGAGCCAAGTGCCTTCAGGGGATCTAAAGGCCTCTGCTCCGAAAGCTTTCCCCAGTCTGCATGCGGGTGCTGTTTCTCCAGGCTCTGCTGAGAAACCAGAGAGGCCAAGGGGGCCCAGTGGCGACCGACTCACAGGCCTTTGTAAACGTATGGCCGTGGAATGAACACATGCCTCTCTGAATGCCCCCCAAAACCCCTCCTCTCCCTCTCTTCTTTCAGATACTGTGGATTATCCCCCAGAAAGCCATTCGTTGGATCCTAGTCATGATGGCCCTGGGCATCTCAGGCTCTGTCTTGGCGATGACGTTTTGGCCAGCTGTTCGGGAGGATAGCCGGCGTGTCGCGTTGGCCACGATCGTGACGATTGTGTTGCTGCACATGCTGCTTTCTGTGGGCTGCTTGGTACGGTCTCGTTCCTGTGTCCTTACTGTGTCCTTACTGTGTGCTTACTGTGTGCTTACTGTGTGCTCTAAGTGCAGATGCCGAAAAGCCTCACACTGTAGACCTGATCATTCTTTAAAAACTGGCTCCACCAAGTAAGTACTGTTTTAGGTAGGCTCTGCTGGGTGAGAGGTGGTACAGTCGTGAGGATTTGATTGTCATCTCCAGCTTTACCCACTTTCTAACATCTGGTTAAGATTTGGTGTCTGGCCAGAGGACGTGGGGTGGAGGAGTGTCTATAAATAGGATTGGGGGGTTCTGCCTTTGGATGCTTTTGCTAGTTTTCTGCACATAACTAGAAAAGAGTTTTGAAATTTAAAGCTTCATAGGTAGGAAGCCTGAGAATGCAGCCAAATAGAGGAATGGGGAGAATTAGTTTTAAAGTGAACAGCATGTAAAATAGTTACTGAGTTCACGTGTTTAGGTATCCTTTTAGGGAGAACATGTGCTTTGGAGTCAGACAGGCCCCGGTTGAAGACCAGCCCCGTCGCTCCTGGCTGGTGAACTTCTCTGACTCAGTAACATCACTACAATAGACCCTGACTCAGGGGGATGTTCTGAGGATAAAATAAAATAATGTAGAGCGAGCACAGAATGTAGACTGCATCCCATGAATTAGACCCCTTTCCTTTGTTCCGAAGGGGATGTGACTTTGTATCTTTTGCACGTGTGGCGCGTGAAAATGGCTGTCCACGGCCGGCTGTCCAGGGCCTTAACGGGGCTGGTGCAGGTTTTGAAAAAACTGCATTGAACAATGTGAATGATCACTGATGAAGGAAAGGACGTGCCCCTGGGAAGTCGTCCACCTAGCCCATGTCCGTACCCTTGGTCAGGTTTTGCAGTTATGGGAGGAAATATTTCCTGGGCACTATTTGATCTTTAATTTTTGTGTAGACAACTGTGGTCTCCCTAAATGCATTAATAAGATTCTAATACTTTATCATTGAACAAGTCTCATAAAAGGTGTCAAGTTTGGGAACACGAACCTGGTTTACACACACTCCACATGTGCCCAAGCTTTCACCCTTGAGACAGAGGACTGCTCCACTCGTGGCAGAGTGACGCCGTCCATTCCTGGCGCTTGGGATCTCTGGCTTATCCCTTGAAATGCTGCTGGGACCCTTCCATTTGCTGAAGAAGAATAACGTGTTTATTGTAACTAACTCTCACTGTGATGCCTTTCAATGGCGTCTTCCCGTCTCTCTTCTGAAAATTTTTCCCCCTTACATACCGGGTGGAGAAGTTGGTGAGGAGAAAAGGCATTGCCTTTTTGGTTCTATAAAGAATAGAGAGGAGGAAGGCAGATTGGATGATGGAGCTGGGAGGTGTGGTTGTGGTTGTTGTTATTACTATTGTTAACCCATTTCACCGGTGTGTGTGGCCAGGATCTTTACCTCCTGGGCTTTTATTCCCTTTTGGGGTAAATGACACTGAAGTTAGGATGTACTTGCCTATCTTGCTACTCAGGAACTTCTTTTTATTTATTTTTTATTTTTATCCTCACTCAAGGACATTTTTTCATTGCTCTTAAGAGAGAGAGGAGGGTAGAAAGAGAACATCAATGTGAGAGAGAAACATCCATTGGTTGCTTCCCACACATGGCCGGAGGTTGGCGCAGGGACAGGGATTGTATGCTTCCAGCCTGGGCGTGGGGCTCACACACACCTGAGCCCAGACCGGGGATCAGACCCGGAATCTAGGGTGTGTGCCCTGACCGGGAATCAGTCCTGCCTTCTTTCAGTTATGGGATGATGCGCCAGCCAACTGAGTTGCATCAGCCAGGGCAGGAACTTTTTAAAAGAGAGCACTATAATAAAGTGGAAAGAGCACTGGACTGGGAGCTGCTTAGCACTGTGAGCCCTGGCAAGTGATGTAACTCTCAGAACCGTCTGTCAGGGAGGTTCACGTTTTCAGTGGCTTTTTTGAGACTCAGTGAAATGGCTGCGAAAGCCCTTCATATACTGTGACAGTGTCTTCAGATACAAAGACGTGGTTAAGAGCCCTGTGTCATCGTATTCTTCCTGAGTGCCCCAAGGTCATACAACTCTAAAGACGGTGCCCATTCATCGGTGCCCCTCACTGGCATCTTCCCGTCTCTCCCCTGAACTTTTTACCCATTATTACCTGGTTGAGAAGTCGGAGGAGGGAAGCAGACAGGAGAAAAGGTATGATTTGCTCTGTTGAGCTCTAAGGTACTTGGGGGAGCAGGGCCGAGTGGATGGTGGAGCAGGGAGGTAATCGTGGTGCAGGACCTTTTCTGGCAGCACAATTTTTTCTTCCTCAGAGAAGGAAGCCGTCCTGTGATCAGGTATGTGGCTGGGCCCCGGTGCCTGGGGTTTTGTGCTCCACACTGGAGAGCGCCTCCTCCTTTCTCTCCTGGAGGCGATGCGCAGTGCAGGAGGGCCAAAGAAGTTAGGAATGGGTTCTAGTCCCAGCTCCATCACTCCCGGCTCTGGTTATTTCCCCTTGCTAGACTCCCACCTCTTCACTTAGAAAAAGGAGCTGTAGTAACATCTTTACTGTTAAGGATGAAACAGTATGTGCAATGTGAGAAATAGGATAAGCTGTACAAACGAAGACATTATCGGAAAGGCAGGGAGGGGAGTTGGCAGGGGGTTAGTCGAGCTAAGGGACACTGACTGAACCAGACAGCTGGGCCTTCTCACGCTCCCCTGGGAGTGCGGATTGGTGTTTTTGCCAATAGTGCAGTGAGGCATGTGGCAGCCCTGCACCTGCGAGGTCCCCTTGGTGCTGCATCTGTACATGGTCTCTATGATTGTGCTGGCACACACCTTGCAGGGACCACTGAGGAAGCAGAAGAGGGTGAGCCTGGTATGATTGGAGATGTATGAGCCTATGTTAGAGGTGGTTAGTGCCGGTAGCAGAGGGTCCTGTGCCCTAGTATTTGAGGAACTAGTGAATCATGACTTGCCTTAGAGATCATTTTTTCCACAATCCTTTCGTTTTGCAGCTAAGAAAACTAAGGCCTATGTGTCACATATATTTTTAGAAACCAAAAAAGAGGGAAGAGTGGGATATAAAGGGACTAAATGGTAATGGAAAAAAATACAGTAAAGATTAAATCAAGAAAAAAAGACTAAAAGGGCTAAAAGTTATTGTTTTTTTTTTAAATAACAGGGCACTTTCACAGTTTTGTATTGTTTGAATTTGTTCAACATGTATTTAAAATCAGCGGGCCCTAGCCAGTGTGGCTCATCTGATTGGATTCACGTAATAACCTAAAGGTTGTGGGATTTGAATCCCAGTCAGGGCACATACCTAGGTTACAGGTTCAATCCTCTGCCTGGGTGCGGGTACGTGTGACTCCCCCCACCCCCGCCCCATGTGTGTGACCCTCCTGTCCAGATGCAAATGAGTACAGGAGGCAATCGATACTTCTGTCCTGCATCAACGTTTTGCTTTCTTCCTCTCTTTCTCTAAAAGCAATGAAAAAAATGTCCTCGGGTGAGGGTTAAAAAAATTTAAAAAATCAGTGGGAAAATATATTCCTTTCTTCTTTTAAGAGAGAGAATTCCTCACTTAATCTGTAAAGTTAAATTAAACTATCGGATTAAACAGTTCCCAAAAAAAACAAAACGGAGGCCCACAGGAGTGGAGTGACTTGTCCAAGTCACAGTGCAACTTATTAGCAGCGCACAGTTTAGAACCGGGGCCTCTTGTCTCGTTCAGTCTGATGAGGGTTTCCTCCCGGAGTCTGGGAGAAAAGCATCGCTCCTGCATCCTCGAGGCTCCATGGTTCCCCGCTCCTGCCAGGTAACTGCAGGGGCCCAACACTGGCAGCATGGCTCCTGACCCCCACCTTAAGCTGGGGATTGTTCTTTCCCTGCCTCAGAAAAAAGTTGCTGGAAGGGGTTCTGGGGAAGAAGACTTTTAAAGCTAATAGAGTTACTCTGGGAATGTGATAAACTAGAGGGAGTCTGTTGCTAGAAACTTTTTGAAATGGACTGTTAACTGAAAATTTGTTTGGAAAAACTCCTGTGTGTTGTGTTGGTGCCCCCTTCTGGCCAATAGAGAGCAGAGCAGGTGAAATGGTTCTTAGCTTATCAGCCTATCTTTTTACCTTCCTAACGCCTTGGGCTGCAGTGGTGCAAACATCCAGTGTTCAAGGCTAGTGAAACTGGAATTTTCCTGGGCTAAAGTTAGGATTCTCAGACCATGACCCTGGTGGGAAGATCCTCCTTCCTGTTTTCTCTCTTTCACCTCCTTCTGGTTTTTGACAGTTAAATTGTAGATGGTAAGCGGAAGCACTTCCCGAACCTCTCGTTTCCAAGCTGAAGAACTATGAGGTACGGCCGGCTGGCCTGGCACTTTCTCTTTCAGGTCTTTACAGAGCTACCTGGCTAGCAGCAGCCTATCATAGTTCAATTCATTAAGTATTAGTCTTTACACTGTGTGCTGGGCCCGGGTGAGGAGCCGGGGACACAGAGACCAGAAGGGTACAGTCTTCGGAGCAGGGACTAGGGCTTTGGAATTAGAAGGACCCGTCTTTGAGTCCTGGCTTCACTGCTCATTAGCCACGTGCACCGGACTGAACGACAGCCCCTCTGCACCTCAGTTTCTTCATCCGTCAAATGAGGGTAATAATAACAACTCACAGGGTTGTTACGAGGATGAAGTTACATGTAGTAAATCCTCAATAAGTGGTAGTGAATTTAAAAGGGCACTCCCACCCGAGTGAGTGAGACAGACAGAAGCAGAGATGCTTGTAGTTCAGTGCGCTGACCAGTGTGTTACGGGGAAACGTAGGGGCCATGGAAACCCAGAAGTGCTAGTAGCATGGAGTCTGGAACGCTTTGTTTTTTAGTGTGTTTTAACTCTCTATGGGCCTTCTTTTTCTACAGGCATACTTTTTTGATGCACCAGAGATGGAACATCTCCCAACATCTATGGTTGTTCCAAACCAAACGGTGGTAGCAGCCAAGTCCAGCTAAAGAGGAAAGTAAGAGGTTATATTTTGTGTCTGTGCTCTGCGGCGCAGTAAAAAAGGGACAGGCGCGTCAGTGGGTACAGTCAGCACAGGAACAGAGAGGGCCAGACCCTTTCATCTTTTTGCACAGTCTAGTGTGGTGTTTATGTACACACATGTCCCTCTTGCCGAAGTCTTCAGTTGTGAAATCCACATGATCTGACTATAAATTTGGGAAACACAAGTACTTAGGTTCTTCTAGAAGAGGCGCTCCTGTCTTTCGGGCCCAGCGTCCCTTGTCCTCTACTCCCTGTCCCCTTCCCAGTGGCATAATACAGGTTTGTTCCCTTTGGTTACAGTCCTGGTGGGGTTTTTTATTTATTTGTTTTTTTGTTTGTGTTTTTAGTTTCCTTGTGACTTTTCCACCTGGCCTCAGGCTCTGAATGTGACCTCTCTTAAATTATGCATGGCTTCTCCAAAGCTTACACATTCTTACGCCTGATATGTTCTCTGGGCCTCCAGTGACTCCACTGCCAGTGGTTAACTCAGTGGGTGAGAGCACAGGGAAAACGTCAGTCCCTCCACAGCCTACTCCTGGCCTGCCCATTCCACCTCCTCAGCGTTCCAAGGCTGCGGCCATGCCATACTTCTTGTTGTTGCCAGACTCCTCGTGCCTTTACCTTTGCTGTCCAGATGTCTAAACCATTCCTTCACTTCCAACAGTCACCGCTTGCCTTGCTACCCTATTACACCCGTGTTGTATATCACAGAGGGGTTCTTGTTTGAACTGGGTCTTGAAGGTTGAGCAGAAGCAGCTACTCATTGTTCTGAGGAGTAGTCAGCTTCCCAGGATTCGGGGAAGGTGAAGATGTGGGCTGTTCACTGGGGCACAGTGATGCCATATCACCGAGAACAAGAGAATCTGGAGAGAGGTAGAGGTAGAGAACACAGTGGTGACAGTTGCCTGGGTCTCTGCCTTGGCCCAGGACACCTGACCTCCACTTGGTGAGGCTCTGGTGGGGGGCTCTCTCAGCCTGCTCCTGAGCTGAGACTTCATTTTCTTCCTTAGTACAGTTATGAAGGCTCCAGACCAAGTGTCCCAGGTGCTGTAACCTTAAGAGTTAGAAGCTGGCATCTGAAAAGACACTGGTTCTCAGGGCCCTTGTAGACCCCCCATCCTGATTTACAGAGATTTGATACCTCTGGGCTTTGCTCAGATCTATAAACTTGGGTGTCAGCACCTCCATTTGGGTGTCAAGTCTCCAAATGAGATTGTGATAAACAGTTTCTGTGGAGCCTCCCTGGCAGAAGCATCAATCTCTTCGCCAGGGAGAGGGGCTGTCAGAGCTCCCGGCTCTGCAGATTTATGAGCTGGCCGTGCCCTCTCCCGTGATCTCTGGACTTGCAGCTTTCGCTGAAAAAGTAATGGCTTCTAATCTTGCAGATAACCTTCCTCATGTAAATCTGTGCATTGGGGGCTTAGCCTAGAGTGCATTTCTGGGAGAAAAGGAACCCCATTTCTCCCTGAAACCTTCAATTACTTGTAATCAGGGAAGCTACCCCTACATAAGCCACTGATGTTACTAAGATTATCTGGCTTTCTTCTTTCTTTCTTTCCTTCCTTTCAAAAAATTAACTTATCACCTGAGGGCCAGTACAGTTTCTTCTCTGAGCCAAAACCCTGGTAAAGCCTGGAAACTGTACCTACAAGTCTTACTTTGCCTTACGGGATAGAGTATCTGAAGGGCCGCGTGTGGATTGGGTCTGCCTTCCCGGGCGGTGACAAGTGGGGCTGTCCAGAGGAGCGCGGCCAGCAGATAATTATCCCGCAGTGTGAGAAGGGCTTTAATAAGAGATGAGCATCAGGAGACTCCTTTATAATTAAAACCCTCCTGATTCATACACAGGGTTTATACGCAATTATCCCTTCACTCACTCATGTCAAGAGTGCTCATTTTATGAGTCAGAGCTACACTCCTTTTTTACTAGGTTTACACACATCAGTTCTTTTATTCCGAAATCAGCTTTAACTCATTGCTATAATCCCCTTTAACACAGCATTCAAACTGCATGACTTGACACCATGGCCAACAGTACGTTCTCCCAGCCCCTTATTCTTTTCCACGCAGCATCTGAAATGTCCCTGCCCAGGGAATCCATTCTCAGTTCCCGGGCTATTTCTTCCTCCATATTCTTCTTTGTTCTCTTTCTTTTAGGTAAATTGGGAGAACATGGGGTGGCAAGTAGGCCAACATAATAACTTTTCATTCTTTTTTAAAAACTTAACTTTGTGGAAAATTCTAAATGTGGATCAAGGTGGAGTGACTGGTACGCTGAGTCCCCATGTCCTCCTCCCACTGTCAGTGAGTCGCACCTCCTGGCTGGTCTCATTCCACCTGTACGCCCACCTCTGTCACTGGTATTATTTGAAGCAAATGTAAGGCATCCTTCTATTTTATCCATAATATTTAAATTCTGCATCTAATACCATAGTCACATCTAAAAAAATTATAACTTTTTAATATCAAGTATATTAAGTTGGCCAAAAAGTCCATTATATTTTTTCTATGCAGTGGCTCTGATAGTGCTTAGTTGTCTTCAACTTCATTTGACACAATTGTGTTAGGTTGTATTGTGACAGCTGTCATATCAGCGCACACTTAAAAATAATCAAAACTGGTTGTTTTTTTGTGCAGCCATTTTAATATTGAAGATGGAAGAAAATACGCAACATTTTCAGTGTATTATGCTTTATTATTTCAAGAAAGGCAAAAACTCAACTGAAATGCAAAAAAAGATTTGTGTAGTGTATGGAGAGGGTGCTGTGACTGATCGAACATGTCAGAAGTGGTTTGCGAATTTTCTTGGTACTATTGACATGTTAGCCAAATAATTCTTTGCTGTAGGGCTGTCTTATGCATTGGAAGATGTTTAGCAGCACCCTTGGCCTCTACCCACTAGAAGCCAATAGCAGGAGATAGCCAACATACTCAAAATATCCAAATCGATAAAGTTATTCATGAAAATGAAAAATGTGTCTTTTATTTTACAGAAAAAACTAAATGGACTTTTTGGCTAACCCAGTACCTAAGTGTTTGAATTTCATATTGAAGTTGGTTGATGTATCTCTTAAATGCCCTTTTTTAAAAGTTCATTTTTAGAGAGAGAGGAAGGGAGGGAAGAAGAGAGGGAGAGAGACATCAGTGTGAGAGAGAAACATCGATCAGTTGCCTTTCATAATTGTCCCAAGTGGGGCTGAAAGGCATGTGCCCTGACTGGGAATCGAACCAGCAGCTTCTCACTTTGTGGGACAACACTCAGTCCACTGAGCCACACTGGCCAGGGCATAAATGTCTTAAATGTAGAATGCTATTCTGTCTCCCTCTCTCCCTTTGCCATTTATTTGTTGAAGAATTGTCTGTCTTATAGTTTCTTACTGTCTGGAGTTTGCTGATTATATCTCCACAATGTCATCTAACACGTTGCCCTATTGTCTTTTTTCCTGCAAATTGGTGGTTGTGTCTAAAGATTTCATTAGATTCAGGTGTTTTTTTTTGGGGGGGGCAAAACTACTTGGTAAATGCTGTCAAATTCTTCTATCCATAAGCTCATAATACCTGATTATCTTTTTTTTTTTATATTAGTGGCCATTAATAAGCAATGCCTAGATCCACTAATGTATTAGCAGCTCCAAAATGGTGATATTTCAAATCTACTTTTCCTTCTTTGTTTACTAACTGAATGTTTCAGTTATAAAACTTCTCTCCATGTACTATTTGGCTATCCAGTGATACAGTTTATATAAGAAAAGCTGCCTGGGGGCGGCAGACTGCTTTGGTGTTGAAGTTTCGTCTTTAAACATAAATGATATGCTTTTCCACAGTTTAGTTCCTTTCTCTATGAGGGAGCCTTTACCTTGAAAGTTACTCTTTTTTGTTTTTCAGTTCACTTTTTTTTTTTTTTTTTGCAGTCTGGTTCTTTGCGACACCAAAGCCAGCAGGAAAACCAACAGAATGGCAGGAACCCCGCTGCAATCCGATCCTTATGGTGCCGAACTGAAGCCTGATTGCCCGTTTACCAAACAAAAATTAAATGTTTTCGGCACATGTGTCTTTCAGCTCTTCTGTCTCGCCTGTCCCCGGTCGTTGTGACTGTGTACTGATTTGGAGTGAAATGTGAGGGAGGGAGTGGGGTAGGCGGGCTCAGGCGCATTTGCCTCTCCTGTCAGGTGATGTGCTTCGCCCTCCTAACGCCCTTAATTCCTGAGGTGGATCCATCCCAACTTCCGATGTCTTTTCTCTGAATTGTGTACAGATTTCCTCTTCTCTCTGGATGCTTGCCATCCTAAAGTGGCCAAACAGTGTGCACTTTAGTTGGGATTCATTAGGTGCCTGAAAACTTGTCTTTGGTGACCTGGCACTGGGCGACTGAACCTAATGGTTGCAAAATAAATACCTCACATAACAGCTGTGTCTGCACTTCATGCTTTGACCTCAAGTTCCTCCCTGATTTTTGTCGTCAGCATGCCGGAGGCTGCCGAGAATTTGGTGTGATGTGCTAGCTGCTGTGGTGTGGGGGCTCCACGGCACATCTGACTTTTCCACCTGTGAGTGTGAAACAGTTGGTTTAAAGAACATGCTCGTTTACAGCCTGTTTTGACGATGATTTTAGAAATTTCTTTTAGGGCCCTTGCAGTACCTCTGCAAGGTGGCATGCCTTCCTGGCTAGAGCGCATTCAGGGGAGAAACCAGTGACACCTCAAAGATATTTTTTAATACTTTGTATTCAGAATGCACACCATCTGGGAGGCTGAGTTTCTGCCAGGTCGGGATTGCCAGTTCCCTACTGTTGTCCTCTGCAGTTCAGGAATTCCCTGTGTATTTCTGTGTAGGCTACAAAGGCACATTTGTACTTAAAAGGCTGACCAGGCAGATAAAGAAAGATGCGCACAAATTCAGGTGATAGTGAGATTAAGGTCACCTTGGTAAACCTAGGGACATCATCTACAACAGAACTGGGTGACAGGATATCACCACAAACCCCAGAATTCAGGTAGGCGGAAACCACTGTCAGTTGGAAGACTCACATGGTATCAGCAATTTTGTGGAAAGAAGCAGAGGGAAGCAACACGGTATCTGAGAAGTCTAAAAATAAGAGATCTTGCTGAGATCAAAATAGCAAGAACTCCCCGGAAAGCACAGAGGACCAATAGGAGAGCAGCAGCTGGTACTGACTGGGGTTGGGGGAGTTTTGACAACCCAGTTTGCAGCTTATGAGTGCAAGGGCTCCAAAGCAAGATCGGAAGAAGCTGGAGCAGTCCAGGTCTTGTTACCTCTTATACCAGACAGAGAGTCTTTCCAGGACACCAGAGGAAAAAAATCAGGAATGGAATACAGATAGGGTAGAGCAGGGATATCCAGAGCTAAGGAAATGGAAGTCCAGATGAGAGCAGGGATGGGGAACAGAGCCAAGAGATCTCAGAGCATCTGAAGCCATATTTCTGAGCACTTCATGAAAATATAGGAAAGGAAACTGTCGCAGGGGTGTCCGACCTGCTGCCCGTGGGCTGCATGCAGCCCAGGATGACTATGAATGCAGCCCAACACAAAATCATAAATTTACTTAAAACATTATGAGATATTTTTGTGATTACATGTCACAATGTGTTTAATGTGTGGCCCAAGACAACTCTTCTTCCAGCGTGGTCCAGAGACGCCAAAAGGTTGGACACCCCTGCTTGTAGAGCCTTAAATTTAGCAAAGCTCTCTTCCTCCTCCTAAATGTGCAGAAAAACTAATTTCATGTAAAAACAAGCAACTGAAGGGATTGAAAACAAACCTCATAATGAAGTTATTTTAAAAAATGAGAACAAGGAGCAGAATGACATCCCTATTGAATGAAAGTATTCCAGAAACACGTGTCTACAAAACCAGATAAAAACTCTAACAATATTTCAAAATGAGCTAATGCAAATTAAAAACATAGTACAAGATAGAAAGGCACAAATCAGAATTAGAAAGCAGAAGTTAGGTAATAAAACAGTAAAGAAGAGGAAAGAAAATGGGAAACTTAGTTCACAAAAGACTAAACTAGAAGGAATATCACAGTAACATAGCTGTTGCACAGTAGATAATGCCTTAAGGGAGTGAAATTGAAAAGAAGGAAAAAATTTTAATTCCAGAACAAATAAAGAGAAATCAAAGAAAAATGACAAATATAGAAGATAGTCCAAAAAGTTCTAAAAGTGTATTATGCATGTCCTGGAAAAAAAAAAGAATAAATATAAAAAACTATAATAATAAAAAACTTTTTCTGAAAAAAAATTAAAAAGACTTTGACTTCATATAGAAAGAACATACCTTATACCTGGAGATCTCAACCCAGAAGGTCAACATGTACATAGTCTAGTAAAATTAGTGGATTTTAAAAAAATGTTAATCCAACCAAAGTGTTGCAGGTTCGATTCCCAGTCAGGCCACACACCTGGGTTGCAGGCCACGGCCCCCAGCAACCACACATTGATGTTTTTTTCTCTCTTTCTCCCTCTCTTCCCTCTCTAAAAATAAATAAATAAAGTAAAATAAAATAAAATAAAGAAATACTTGCTTTAAAAAATTTTTAATCCTCACCCGAGGACAGGTTTTTATTGCTTTTTAGAGGAAGGGAGAGAGAGAAACATCAATGCAAGAGAGAAGCATCAGTTGGTTGCCTCCCATCTGCGCTCAAACAGGATTGTACGTGCCGGACCTGAGACTGAACCCGCAACCTTTGTATGTGCCCTGACTGGAAATTCAACCAGCTGAGCCACGTCTGCCAGGGCATACAATTAGTGGAGTTTAAAGAAAAAGCATTTGGAGTATCCAGGCTAAAAGACAGACTCACTTATAAGGGAAAGTCACATTGTCATTAGACTGACAATGGCACTGGTTTTGTGCATGTAAAATAAAAACAGCATAGCAAACAAAAATGGAAGAAGGGGGGAACATTTATAAGGCAGAATAAGCTTGCTGATTGCCTTTTAGTTATTTAGTAAGAGAACATTGCTTCAATCAGATACTGGGGAAGGAGGAAGGTATTAGGTAAGTGCCATGTTGTTCATAAGAGAAATGATCTACAATAACTGCCCTCCCCAAACAGAGGGGATTAAAAGTGTTATATAAAGGAAATAATTAGAAAAAATACAAACCCTTTTAAATATTGAAAAAAAAGAGAGAGCAAGCAAATCGATCACACACTAAAAATTTAAAAAGTTGAAACATTCAAATAGATATGGGTGTGAATTCTTGCTTCACTTGAAGGGCAAGTGTGAGAATTAAATGTACATGATATGATTTCTAGTGTCCAAGATATAATAAGAAAAAGATATACATGTTCAATCAAAGCAAGATCTCTAGCCTTTTGAGCCAGGGAGGGAGGGCAAAACTGGGGCTTGAATACATGATTGGTTTCAAACTTTGCTCTTTCAGTACTGTGCTATGCAAGGCAAGACATACCCACTAAATCACAGGTAGCAAAACAGCCGAATCTGGCCCTCCACCTTGTTTTATCCAGCCTAGCACCTTGTTTCTACTCGGCAGCAGCACCGAGCTCCTTGTCCCTAGTTAAGGAGTAGTTACATTTATACAGTCCTACAATTACATTCACCCCTTTGAAGGCAACTGTGAGGCTGATGTGGCCCCCCTGTGAAAATGAGTTTGACGCCCGTGCACTAAATGGTAGAATTATAGGAAAGAGAGATTGGACAGGAAAGGCTTCCTGGAAAACATGTCACTGGAAGAGTCCAGTTTAAGCAGAGGCAATAAGGTGTAAAAGCAAGTCATGTTGGTGAGGAGGTGAGGGGTCTGTTAGCAAGCCAGTTTTAGCTTCTTATGCCTGTACTAATCCTTTCCCCAGGAACAACTTATAAACTAAAAACTGATAACCAGTTCTACCAGATGCATTAGTTGAGGGTGTGGTTTAGGAGAGTGAGTGTCTAGAGGTGGGGCTTGTATACCAGGCTGGAAGTTTCCGACAGCAGGGACTCTGCTCCAAGGTACACACTCCCACAGGGCTCAGCACTGCGCCTGGCCCATACTCATTGCTGAGTAACTGCTGGTGGGTTGAATTTATAAGGTAGCAACATAAAGGTTTTCAAGAGCTTTTCAAGTCTTCCTCATGTGATGCATTTGTTGATTTACTACTTGTGTCATACAGGATTGGTTAGGTTATTCTGCAATAAGAAACAACTTCAAAACATCAGTAGTTTAAATGTGTTATTTCTTGTTCATGTTACAAGTCCATCACAGGTTGGCAGGGAAACTGTTCATTCTAGTCACTCAGGTCCCTGGGGTCAGTGGAACCACCACAATCTCAAATATTGTTGGTCACTGTGCCAGAGAAACAGAGAGCTCTGAAGGGTCTTACAATGGCCATTAAATCTCTCACCCATAAGTCACATATGCTGGCAGTTCGTTGGCAGACACAGTCACATGGCCATACCTAACGTTAAAGAGAGTCGTGAAGTGCAGTCCTATTATATGTCATGAAAGCAGAGGACTGGAAATACTTGGTGAGCAGTATGAATGACAATCACCCTTGAAAGGTGGGTAATGGGGCTCAACTTAGACACGTGGATAAAAAGACAAAACAGTGCACACTATTGTCCCTCTTTGTACAGTTTAGTGCACTAAGAGGTTGAGTTACTTACACTAACTTGCTATTAAACAGGGAGCTGGTATTCAAATCATGTGTCTGACTCTCTAAAATCTTTGCTTAATGCCTCCTAGGCACTTAAGTATTCATGTGAAAAACCTTCGATCCTGCATCTTCCTCATATACTTGGAGATGAGGCACCTAGTACACTCAACTTTGTCCACAGGCTTTGTTTTACTGTCTATCATAAGCAGACAGTTAAATTGGGCTTTGTAAATAACCTAGGCCAGTTTAAAAGGGAGAAAAAAGCCATTCCTGAAGCCAGGGTTTCATACTTTGCTTCCACTATGTGGATATTCCCTCAAGGGTCTCCTTCTCTCTTTCCTTTGAAATCTGATCCCCACGAAACAAGCGGCAGAGGGCAGCCCCACCCAACAGCCAACTAAAGGAAAGCCTGGCTCCAAAGAGGGGGCTTCGAAGGAAGGAGGAGTTTGAACCTTATTTTCAATTTGCTAACCCTTTCAAATTCTTCCCCAAGGTGTTTAGAGTTTGGTAAAATAATAAACAACAACACTAAAACCAACTTAGGTTTATCCTGGGAAATATGTGTTTTTCCTGTCCCCCACCCCAGGAAATATCCACGTGTTTTGAATTTATTTATTTATTTCTGTTTGACTCATCAAAATTCTGATGCACAAGAGACTCTGGATTTGTCCAGGCATTCTTTCAAAATAAATGTCTTATTTGCCTTTGGAAATGGCTAATCATATTTTATCAAGAGTTCACAGCCTTCTCTCTTGGAGGGACTGAATTTGACACTACACAGGTTACAGATGAGGAGGAAGAAGAGTTATTTGCAACCACCACCCCCTAATATTTTCCAGGCTGTAAGATATCCAGAACTATATAATAAGAACTATATAATGTGGTATGGAGGTTTTGAAATGAAAACTTTAGGAAAATGATGACTCATTAACGATATTAGAACAATTTCAGAACAAAAAGTAATTCCCATATCCCTGTACGATGTTGGGAGAGTGGTGGTTTAAAATAAGAGTCTAGTCTTTTTCAGGGACTCCCATTATTTGTATGTTAGATCTTCTTTGCCTATCTTTTTTTTTTTATTTTTTTTTATTAAGGACTTTACTTCTTTTTAGAGAGGGGGAAGGGAGGGAGAAAGAGAGGGAGAGAAACATCCCAGCCAGGGACCTGACCCACAACCCAGGCATGTGCCCTGATGAGAATTGCACTAGTGGCCTTTCACTCTGCAGAGAGATGCCCAACCCACTGAGCCACACCAGTCAGGGCATTTGATCTACCTTTGTATTCCCAGTTTGTCCTGCAGTGCTTCAGACATGAGTGATATTAACTCTTTGGAGGTTAATCTGATGTAATCTTAAAACAACTCGGGAAACCATTATTAGCAAACGTCGCAGAGCAGTATGTGTGATCTCGATTTGTCTCGCTCGACTGAGTTTCTTCAGTTAATCACTGAATCTATGTATGTCTTGTTAGAGTACTGAATGTTGACTGTGGTATGTAATTGGGCATTAAAAGGTGTAGGCACTATTCCTCCAGGTATCTCATTGAGACCGAATACAATCAAAGACTTCATTAAGTGGGAATTGGGTTGGTAAAAAGCTGTTTTCCTCACCAGCAGGAAATTAATGATAATATTTATATAGCATTATTACATCTTTATAACATCACTGGTTGACATCTTTATTTTTATTCTTATTTTATAGATGAAATAGAGGCTCACAGAGGATCACTTCTTCTTAGCAAGTGACCGAGCTGGATGAAACGAAAAACCAGATTTTACAAAACTAAATGCACCTCAAAGGAAAAAGAATTTTCCATTTCCGTAAAATTAGTGAGCACCTTTGTGGAGAGGGCCACAATATGCTTTGATCTCACTTTCAAGAGGTCAGTAAAGCAAAATCCGGAGAAAGGGCAGTCATTTTGCCAGATCTTTCTAACTGTAGAATTCCCATCCTTCAACACTGTGGCTAGTATAGGCCTATAAAAGACTACGAATCCCAGCAGGCTACAAGGTACCTTGGGAAAGACTTCCGCTCCCACTCTGCTGTACTTTGGACCTCCGAGTCCCAGAATGCAACGCTCATCCCTGCTCCCTGAGGACCTCCCTGAGGAACTGTAGGGCCGAGCCTACAGTTCCCAGCATGCAGCGGCACCGCCCCCAATTTCTGGTGCCTCGCTGGACCCTGCTTCGAAGGGACCTTTTCGATACTAGAGGTCCAATTCTGGAGTCCCGGGCCGCTTTTGGACGTGTGTCTCCGGGGCAATTCTGGCCTGCTGGGCCTGTCCAGACGAACCCTGGAAGGAATGGGTTGGGGCCTGGGCCGGGCTTCGCTCAGGCGGCGTTCGAGGCAGCCCCAACGGGGTCCTCCCGGGGCTTTCCTCCCTTTGAACCGCAGTGGCGGGCGGGCTCACAGTGTGCTGCACCCCTCAGAGTAGGGGCCGCCATCACCATGGCCACGGTTGCGACTCAGCCTTGCGCCAGCGGGTCGCGGGACATCTTGTGGCGCGTGAGTGCTGCGCTCACTGTAGTGTGCGTTTGGACGCTGCTGGGGTCCGGCTGGACTGACGGGCGCTGACCGCGCTTGCGCACTGGGCGGGGGAGGAGCCGGCTCGAGTGTTGTGGGGAGCGCGTGGGGAAGGGACCTCTTGCCGGGAGGTTCTTTGCCGGGTCTTGGGGGGGTGGGGCGGGCTTTGTGAGTGGAAGCTGTTGGGAATGTTGGGAAGAGTATGCTAGGGAAAGCTGGGTATTCAGAGTGGAAGCTAGTTAGAGTCGGGGGCTGACCTGGATGGGAATTGGGGCAGGGAATAGAGGAAGAACCTATGCAGGGGTGGTGTACCTAGTAGGTGTAACTAAATAACTTGTTTACTCCTTTGGATTAGAAGCGCAAAGAGTTGGAAAGAATGTGAATGCGAGGCCTTAGTAGAGGCTGGGGTTAGGAACTAAGTAAAGTAAGCAGGACAGGTATTCTTTGTTAAGTTAGAGGAAATGTATGCACCGTAGGACTGAGGTGAGGAGGTACTTTCTTGTTAAAGTTGAGTCAACAGTTCTGCATCCATTCTGTGCAGGGCAAAGAGAAATAGGAGTAATATCCCTTTAGGCTACCACAACGGCACAGCAGCCTTGTATCCCAGGCTACAAACTTTGGAGTCAAGTCTTACATAGCCTTTACTACCTGTATTATCAGCCACCGATGTCGCGTAGATTGTTTTTCGCAAATGTGGCTGCAATTATCCCCCCCGCCCCCTTTCCTTTTCCATTGCCACTGGCTACCTTCAGACACTAATCTTTGGTTTGGGCAATTGCGGTGGACTGCCTCCTGTCGGGGTCTTGTTCCCTCGAATCACTCTTCTTCATAGCTACATTCCATACACAAGGGTGTTTTACCTTTCAAAAAATAAATTCGATGGTCACTTTCATGCTTAAAACCTCTCAGTATTCACTTATTCAACAGTAAATCTTGTGCCTCTAATATGGTAGGCACTGGTGATTCAGGCATGAAAACCGTGTGTCAATTGCCCAATAAGGAGTGTGTATCTCATCATTGTAAACAGTTACAATATACAGTTGGTTCTTAGAAAATGCATACAGTTTTTTAGATATTGATGCATCTGCCAATTAAGCCTACAGAAAGTGTAAGTTGCTGTAAAAATGCAGTTGTAAAAGTTAAAAGATACGTCTTTCTTCCCCATTCTGGATTTTTAATGTGGCACCTGACTCGACTAATATAGCCATCAGTTCACTGATATTACAAGATTCTGTAATGGTATGTAAATTAAAGTATTAATAGTAATAACCATTGAGGCTTATATATACTTGCATGGACAATGATCTGGGTGTAAATATTAGTAATTAACATCCTGTATGAAAAGATAGGATTTGCATAACTGGAATAGTTTAACTGACTTCATGAGTGAGTGATTTTGTTGATTTTGTTTGTTACAGGTTTTGGGCTGGAGGATGGTTACAAGTATTGTCTGGTCAGTGCTGCTTCTACCCGTCTGTACCACAGTATTTATAATCTTCAGTAGCATTGATTTATTTCATCCTATACAGTGGCTGTCTGGTAAGTGATGTTCAATTTGGGAAAACAAATTTACAGCATCTACTTCTCAACATAAAAATTGCATTATTTCAAATATATTGTTAGTTATTGCTTATATTCACATGGGAAAACATTCGCTTTGGGGTAATCTTAAGGCATTCCCTTCCTAACTTAAACCACATTTTCCTTATGTAATAATAAGATTAGTAAACCTGTTAGACACTTTATTATCACATGAACAAAAAAAAATCACGAGAAGAGCATGTAAATGAAAACTTAATTTTTGTTTGTCTCTTTGATAGCTTTATTGAGGCTGTCTTTTTAAAAAAGATTTTATTTATTTTTAGAGAGAGGGGAAGGGAGGGACAAAGAGAGGGAGAGAAACATCAATGTGTGGTTGCCTCTTGCATGCCCCTCACTGGAGACCTGGCCTGCAACCTAGGCATGTGCCCTGACTGGGGATCGAACTGGTCAACCCTTTGGTTCACAAGCCCGCACTCAGTCCACTGAGCCACACCAGCCAGGGCTGAGATTGTCTTTTTTAAGGAGAACTGCTTCTTTTACCTATTTAAAAATTGTTGATAGAAAATATGACATATCTTTAAAAACCTGTGTAAAGTTATGAATACTTCATTTCTATATTGTAGCTAATAAGAAAGATGAGAGAAAAGGACGAAAGTTAAAGACTAAAGAACATAGACTTAAATGTGAGGATTGATGAGGAATTTTCAGTTATTACTGTCAACTGTGTGGTAGGCACTGTGCTAACCACCTTAAGTAAATTACCTCTTCTTCCTACAACTCTGTGAAATAAAGAGCTATTAACCTCTACTTTATAAATGAGGAAACTGAGGTTAAAGTCTTTGGAGACATGTAGCTGAGAACTAACTGAACTAGGATTTGAACATTGGTCTCTGACTTCAAAGCCCATGTCTTTCCACTGTGCCACATTAGAATTAAAAAAATAAAAAGAGAAATGTTGCCAGACTACGTTTTGAAGTCTTTAAAGTCTTGCCTAAGGCTAAGAAACAAATACTCTAGAAATACTTTTTACATCCTCTCAACAACAATAACAGTAAATTTTTTTGCTTTGGAAAGTGGGAAGTGTGTTCTTAATTTTCCAGAAGAGAATGCCAATTTTCAAGGAGTTTGAAGCTTTACTTTGTGGCCTTTGGAGATAATTTCTGCTAAAGAATTAAAGCCACGTTACATTTTTGTTGAGACATATCAATCACTTCTTGGATGGATCCCACAGGTCAGATGAAATTAAGCCATAAAGTATAACCGAACACAGGTCCAGCTGCCCACTGATTCAAAAGCCAATACTTAAGAGTTCAAGAGGCAGGTGCTGATGTGAAAGGAAAGTGGTTTTATTTCAGGTGCTGGCAACCCGGAAGATGGGAGACTCATGTCACAAAGCCCATCTCCCTGGGAAGATAGGGGACTCATGTCTCAAAGCCTGTCTCCCTGAGAAGATGGGGGACTTGGAGCTCTGAGTGCATCTCCACCTGTCATTGGAGGCAGAGGTCTTTATAAGGGGGGAGAGGGAAACCGAAGTAGAACAAAGAGATCAAGGGGGGAGGGGGTTGCAAAGTTCTCCATGTGCAGATGAGCACAGTCCATTCCGATGAGAAAAGTGATGGTCCGGTGGGCATCATCCTGGTTTAGTCATCCTGGCGTCACGTCATCCAGCTTCACGTCATACTGGCTCCATGGTCGAAGGTCAGCGAATCTGGAGCTGGGATGCCTGGAGGTTGGGGTCTATCTTTTGAAGTTAGTTCCTAGATTCTTATACAAACATTCTGTTTATCTACAAGCTACATACTAGAGTCAGCATTTACAGAAACTGTCATAAAAAGGGTAGGGTGGCTTACAGTTTTCCACTGTTAATGCCCACTGTTACAGAACCAGTATAGGGATGGCAAGTGTTTTGGTAACTGCTGTGCCTGAACCTGCATTACTTATGCTCTTTTAATCATGGCTGTCTGGTCACAATACACTCAGGGTATTCAGTACTGTTAACTAGAGCCATTCTCAGTTGTTCAGAATTGGCACTCAAGATAAAAAACTTTGCCATTTCATGGGCCAAGTGGTCTTTAATCCTAATAACAGTTTCTCTTCAGTCATATAAATTGGATTTGATTTATGTCTTTATTCTATCAAATGCTGCTTGTTCTCCTCAACTTTTGCTTCACAAAATCTTTCCAGAGAAGTTGTACTCTTTTTGCTTATTCTAGTCACAGGAATCAGTTCCTTTTTTTAGCAGAGTACAATGCTTGGGTTGAATTGTGAATGCTCAGTAAATGTTGTTGACTAATTTAGTTAATGAATTATGCATTTTAAAAAATAATTTAAAAATTATTTTTGCATTTAAAAAATAATTGTTTTATTAAGTGGTAGTCTATTCAGCAAGCATATGTCCTTGCAGTTTTTATTTCTTTTGATCATGTTTTTAGGCATAGCATATACATATTTTAAAGTTTGTCATAGTTTTGGAATGAATGATTGTTGAACTACTATAAAATGTCAATGCATTGGTATTTAACAGGGATGTCCTGATTTTTTTTGTTTTTCAATTCAGCTAATTTAGATGATTTATGGATTTATTCTAGCTCCAGAAATGATATTTTTTTTAGCTATAGGGGTTAATTGTATTTTTAAAGAAAATATCTGAAATATATTTACATTTTAAAAGGAAACTTTGTTGGTATATTACTAAATGTGGTACTTCTCTGTTTCACATGATGAAATTATGTTTGCATATAATAGTATTTTGTCTGATGTTAACATCTGAATCATTGGAAAGAAATTCTAGTATAATTTGAAGGACCCAGAGCTTGGTCCAAATAAGTCTCATTGTAGTTCTTGAGTGGATGTCCTATAGGACCTGTCAGTGTACGAGGACACTTTTTAAAAAAAAATTATTTATTTATTTATTTTTGGAGAGACGGGAAAGGGAGGAAGACAGGGAGAGAAACATCAATGTGTGGTTGGCTTCCATGCGCCCCCTAATGGGCCCCTGACCTGGCCTGCACCCCAGGCATGTGCCCTGACTGGGAATTGAACTGGTGACACTTTGGTTTGCAGTTTGGCAGTCAATCCACTGAGCCATGCCAGCCAGGTTACAAGGACACTGTTAAAGAAGACAACTTGTAAAGTTAAAATTATATTTATGATTCAAACCCCTCTTCTATTGCAGTATACTGAATATGACTACATGAATGAATGGTTCTTACTAATTCCTCTTTCTTGTATTTTAGATTCTTTCAATGATCTATATAGTTCCCGTGTAATCTTTTACCTCTTGCTGCTGTCAGTGGTAGTAATAATAATAAGTATTTTCAATGTGGAGTTTTATACAGGTGAGTTTTCAAAAGTTAATTATCTTAAAAATAACTGAACTTATTAAGGGCAGACTCAGTGTGTTTTGTATACAAGTGTGTGTAATATAGGCTCTGTTTTGTGTCAGTTTTACAAATGCATGCAGAATCATACGCTTTGAGTAACTTACCTTAAAATTTGAGTGCTAGTTTCTCTGCATGGGACAAACATATGATTTTACTTATGAGAGACCTGGAGTAGTCAAATGCATGGAGACAGAATGCAGACTGGTGGTTGCCTGGGGCTTTGAGGAGGCGGGTTGGGGGAGTAGCTGTTTAACTGGGACAGAGTTTCACTTGGGGAAACTGGGAAAGTGTGATGTGATGTGATGTTTGCACAACAGTGTACATGTACTTCTGCCACAGAACTATACACTTAAAAATGGTTAAAATGATAAACTTTATTTTTATTTTTTATTTATTGATTTTAAAGAGAGGAAGGGAAAGGGAGAGAAAGGAAGAAAAAGAAACTTTGATTTGTTTTTCCACTGATTCATGTATTCGTTGGTTGATTTTTGTATGCGCGTTGACCAGGGATTGAACCTGTAACCTTGGCAAATTGGGACAATGCTATAACCAAGTGAGCTACCCAGTTACGGCTAAACCAATAAACTTGAAGTGTATTTTACCACAAAAAAACTTAGATCTTTTAATTTTAATGGTTCACAGCTCATGTTCAAGTTGTGATTTAGCCGATGTAAATATTATAAAAATAATGCATTTATAGGATATGAGATCAGGACCAGGTGATTTCTTAGGTCTTTCTCAAATGTAAAAGTCTATAATTCTAAGATTTTCCAAAAAAAACCTTAAAAATGTTGTGTTTTGCTTGGGAGAATTACCTGCTAGATTCCAGAGAGTTTTTTCCTCTCAGTCTGCCTTTCAGATTCCTTGGGTCTTTCCTTAAGATACAATAAGTGTTTTTCTGGCAGTACTTGTTTTGACTGTAACATCATTCCTCTTTTTAGCTCTTCCACAGTTTGTTAGATACAGTATAACATTTCAAATCTTACTGTGGATTTACAATATTTACCTGTTTGCTTTGTTTTCCTAATCTTACTACTTGTTAACGGACCTTTTTTCTGTTTAAACCATGTGCAGAACTCTTCAGCTTACAGCATGCGTTGGTTCACACTGCCCTCTGTGGGCTTCTCTAGTGAAGAGGGAGAGAGGATAGCAGCGTCTTCCCCGAAGTGCAAAGCACCTAAGCCCTTTCCCTTCACACTTAATTTTCTACCTCACCCAACCGCTCCACTGTGAGTGCATTAAAAGGGGAGTGCCTTCAGAGATAGGTTAGGGAACCCTGTCGTAGCTGTTTAAATGGCCAGCATCCCTCACCTCACACCTACACTCACCACCCCCAGCTCTTGTCCAGAAAACTTTTTTGGATTATTAGAAAGGTAATAGAAATTCCCGTACAAACGTTGATTTTTGTATTCAGTGTTGTCAATATTTACCTAGTTTTTGGTTTGTTTTTCACAGATTGGCTGTATATTGCTAATTTTAAAATGCTGAAATAGAGATAACTTGCTGGAGGGCTAGCACTGTCTTTTAAAAATTATTTATTTTTTATGGCACTTAGGAGATTGCCAGGGTAGGCGCTGTTTGAGCTATCAAGAATTTTAAAAAGAAATGAAAGCTGTTAATCATATTCTCCTTAGATTTCATCTCTCTAGATTCTTTGTTGTGTGTGTGTGTGTGTGTGTGTGTGCGCGCATCTCCTTTTATTTAATCTTTTCTCAAATGATTTTAACGTAGAATTTTTAAGTAGGAATTTTTTGCACCATATTTTACGTTGACTCTGGGTTTCTTCCTGCCCTTTGGAGTATTTGTGCAAGGATGAGAGGGAATCATTTAGGTCCTCTGAGGCCACCTGGCAGATTATAAAGCCACACTGATGTGTTCTGTCTGCAGTTGTGCCCTCCATCCCCTGCTCCAGACTGGCACTGATAGGGAAGATCGTCCATCCCCAGCAGCTCCTGCACTCGTTTGTTCATGCCGCGATGGGAATGATGGTGGCTTGGTGCACTGCGGTGATGGCCAAGGGCCGGTACAGTTTCCTCGTGGTTCCCTGCACTTGTACTGAGAGGTAGTGTTATTAATTTTTTTCTCTAAGAGATCTTGTTTAGTTACTAAGCCAAAGATGACTTGTATAGTTTACTAGTTTATGGACATTGTTTGCTTTCTAGGCTTCTGTAGAAGGGGATTTTCTACATACATCAAATGTTTTTGATGTTTTATATTTTGAATTCAACAGTTTTTTAGAACCATTTTGTCCTATGCACAGTCCTATATTGGGTGCTGTTGGATTTATAGGAGTGATTCACACATAGGCTATACAAACTCCTTGAGAGTTGAGAATGAGAGGGGAATTAAGCTACAGACCCAAATGGATATATAGAGAAATAGCAATGTGTGAGAAATAAGCAGTATTAGGAAGAAAGTGAGATGTGTAGATAAAACCTGTGGAGAGTTCAGAAAGCAGGGAGGTGGCATTTTTTTCTTATAAATTTGTTTTTGTTGAGGTATACGAGATGGGTGGGATGGGCAGTACCCCACTAGGGAAATGTCCATTCTGATCTTCCTGGTATACTTGCTAGGATTTTTTCTTGGAGCTGCTCCTCTTGCTGCCAGCAGCTTTTTCAGTTCCACTGCTGATGGGCTTGTCCTTGGAAGAGAAAGTCCTCTTTTTCTTGGACACATTCCTGTTACCTGCCTCTTCAGGATCACTAACTGGTTTGTCTTTGGGGAAAGATTTCTTCCTTTTGGAAAGACTTCCACTGCCAGCTGTTCCTTCACGATCACAACTAACCACCTCCTCCGTGGAAAAAGATTGTTTTCCTTTTTGGTTTGGAGAAAGCACAGATAGATGGGTCTTCTGTTTCACTTTTCTGAGGAGCCAACGATGTGGCATTCATATTGGAGTTTGGAGGAAGGGTAGTATGGGAAGAATGAAGAAAAAAAAATTATAACTGTCCCCTCTAGTAAAATGCTTTCATTGACATTTATACAGTTCTTGAACACATGTTCATTGATAAAATTGCAGATCATTCTGTGACTTTAAAAATCAAAAAAGAGGCCTGGCTGCTGTGGCTTAGTGGGTAGAGCGCTAGCCTGTGAACCAAAGGGTCACCAGTTCAATTCCCAATCCGGGCACATGCCTGGGTTGTGGGCCAGGTTCCCAGTAGGGGGTGCATGAGAGGCAACTACACATTGCTGTTTCTTTCTCTCTCCCTTCCCCCTTGCTAAAAATAAATAAACAAAATTTTTTTAAAAATCAAGTAAGATTACTGAAATAATCTTAAGTTCCCTATTCTCCACTGACTTTAAAACAGTGTTCATGAGTACTACTGAATATTTGATTTGTTTTTGTGCCCCAGCCACTATCATATAAGGCAGTTTTTTTCTCCCCTAACGGTGATATATTTTCTTTAGTGAAGAGGGTCCCCATGAGGGACTGCCCAGCTATAAGGGAAAACACAGAGAGAAGCTCGAGTTGTGGCACCTCTGTCAGGTGTGCAATATGTAGTTTATAGTTTCTCTCAGTGCAGGTGCAGTTCACCAGTTTGTAAGTAGCGTTGCTTACTATCGAGGGGACATTCTCAACCTTACCAGATTTCCAGAAGACAGGGATAAAGAGTTAACTAAAGATCAAAATCTCATGTATCAGGGAAAAGGGTTTTGTTAATTTTTTGCCCATATTTACCTGAAACAAATGATTTTGCTAGGATTTGGGGCATTTCTTAAGTAATTAAGTTAAACCTTTGTGTTAAATATTGAGCCTAAAACGGTGATATGTATCCCTGACTGTTGAATTAATAACCTAACTTTTTCTTTTCAGCTTAGATGGCCCTGCTGCACAAACCTGCTTAAATGAGTATCATCTTTTTTTCCTACTGGCTGGAGCATTTATGGGCTATAGTTACAGCCTCCTTTATTTTATTAACAACATGAACTATCTTCCATTTCCCATCATACAGGTAAGCTATCATTTGACCATTACCTTACGTCAGAATTTGGCATAGTTAAAATTGCCTCGGTGTGTGTATTATATATATAACTGGCCCCATCTGATTAATTCAAGATTTGACCAGCGAAACTTAGGACTTGAAACTTAGATCCTAAAAACGCCATTTGGAAAGGAGAGGTTTGTTTTCATGAGATTTTAGCATGTGTTTGAGAGCTGTAGCCACCTTTCCCGCTGCCACTCTCAGAATACCGCTTTGCTCCACTCTTTCCCTCCCTGCTAGGTAGTGGCAATTGCTGTGACCTAGCAGGGCTGGGGGAGGATGAGGATGACACTCATGCAAAGTTCCTCTGTGCAGCTGCCAGCTTTTTGAACCTAAGAACTTCATGAGCTTGAGGATGTGCAAGTAAGTATAGAGTATGTCAGTTACTGTCTCAAATTATCTTCAGAACAAAGCATCATGTGTATAAATAAAATAGTTTCTGTTGGTTCAAGTGGGACAATTCAAACTACCTTTTAGTTTGGTTTTTTAAAGTCTAACTAATTGGGCAGGAGCTATCTCAAACTCAGAACCACCTCCTCTGGCAGGGGAGAAGGAGATCACTTGAGATTTCTCACTGTGGCATCGAGGCTCTCCCCAGCCCATTCCCACAGTTTCCTGACTGTGCTGTTACTTGCTTCATTGCCACTCTGGCTGGCTGAGCAAACATTAGAACCAGCATCTTCCCACTAGAACCCAGTTTGTTGAGTGGGGAGGGATATGTAAACAAATTATATGTCATGGGAGCATGAAGTATGAGTGTGGTGGATTAGGGTACTCTTGGTTTAACTAACCTTTTAACATGCCTGTGCCTGGGCATTTACTAGGATAATCTGATGAACATACACATATATCGAGGAGGCAGGGCACACAGAAAAGGGTCTGGCCCTTACCCCCCTGTAGTTTGTGAGTGTGTAGATAAAAAGTCCTGTTTAGTGATTCTTCACAGCTCATGAAGATGAATTAAAAGTCAGCTTTGCCACCTCAAAATTTCATGAGGAGAAAGACTCCAAAATTCTGTATAGAAATATCCATGGTAAATTATCTTTGATCCAAACATAATTAAGAATATAGAGAATGGAGAAAAGAAAATGTTAGAGACAAGTAAGATACCCTAAAATCTGTTGTTCCTCTTTGGGCCTCAGTTGGAAGTGGCCATTTACTTAACATCACAGACAAGCAATGGTGTGAGCATAAGAACAGTCCAGTAGTCCGCAGTTCTAATAAATCATTGTTACTACCATATAATGTCACATTTGTAAAATTTGACTACTAAAGTTTTCTGTAATTTCTTTGGCTTCAGGTTCCACTTTTGCAGAATGTTGATTTTTAACGTTTAGCCATTCAGTATTTGGCCAAAATCTGGGGATGTCTCTTGTAACCATGGGTGTACAGTGGTGCTTAGTCTGCCCAGTTGGTGCTGCTCCCTGAGAGGTGATGGTTGGTGCTGCAGGGGTTTTGGTGGGTGGACGCAGTGGAGTGCAGGAGGCTAGATTTTGGTAAGAGTAGTTGAAATGATGGCTTTTGTGCTTGGGACCATAAAGTTTTGATCCATCGAGTTTGTAAGTGTCTTTGTTTGCCTAGTTGGGTAATTTGGCCTCTTCAGAAAACGAAGGGAGAAGGAGGATACCACAGCTTTGCATTCTTTCATTAGTCCTAAGAGCATGGTGCCCAGTGTATGGCTGTCCTTTAGGCATTTTAAGTTGCTAAGGCAAGCAGGGTTGGTTTTCAGGAACTTGCAAGCTTGATGTGAGAAATCAGGCCCATTCTTCTGAACCTCCATAAACTGATGTGAATGTTATAGCCATTTCTTTATTCATTTTTAATAGCTAAGCTGACCAGAGAAAGTTAGACCTTAAAATTTATTATTATTATTACCATCATCATCATCATCATTATCATCCTTATTTTGGTGTTCCCTGTCAGCTAGCTTCTCAAAAGTATAGGGGTGTCGTTTTTATTATAAACTATTCAGATAAACTGGAGATAAAGTGAAAGGTCCTTGGCCACACTGTGACCAGTCTCCATCCTTGCCTCAGAGACAGTGATTGGTTTAGTATATATTCTTCCTGACCCTGGACTGTACATTTACACACACATATATATATATGTGTGTATCTGTAACATACATTTCGTGGGGTGAAGTTTCCATAAATAGTTTTATATTGTGCATATTATTCAGTAACTACTTTTTTAATGTAAAATATAAAAAATTAGATCTTTAGAAAAATTATTTTTAACCAATTTGTATTAGCCCATTCAATTTTTTTCTTTAAATTTGCCTACACTACTAAAAGCAGTTGTATTGCCCTTATAAAATTATTAATGATAGACAGGAAAAGTGGAAAATTACAGGAAATAGAGGATAAAGAAATGGATGTACACCAAGATGGGGTTTGGCAAGCTCTAAGCCAATGAGACTGTTTGAAAGTATTAAATAAGATGAGACAGATAGAGCCTGGCACGTACTAAATATTCAGTAAAGGGTAGCTCATAACCAAACCACAGAAGAAACCCAGTAGGGAATTGAAAAATGCTTCAGTTTAGGAGTGTATCTACCGAAATGTCTACTTGCTTCCCTAGCCTCTCTATGCCCTGTGAGTAATGGTTAAAGCAAAAGGTGCAGTAGTAGAAAATAGTATGGAAACTGTGATGGTTTTATTGTGGGGGAGGGGTCAAAGGGAGAAGGTGCTAACACCCAGGTACTGCACAGAATAGTACAGTTACACATCTTGCAACTGGAAAATGTTTGAGTAAGCCAACGTACTTGAAGTTGTATGGTGAGTGACTAAATACTTGTGTGGGCTGCTTTTAGTATAATACTGTAGGAAACTGCAGACATAGTATGAAGGTACAGCTTCCACCTAAGTACTATAAATTTTACTGTTCTTTAGCTTCTAAAATTCCTTAAAGAAGGATTGGCCCTAATATTTTAATAACCACAAAATAATATGTATCCTCTTTTATATATTATGTATTCATGTATGATATATATATTCTTTTATACATATAAGAATATCATAAATACAAAAGACCAGAATTTGGGAAGATTATCTATTGTTCAGTAGGTTTCCTTAGATTCTTTCTAATAATTTAAAAATATTTTTTTATTGGCATTTTAGGGACAGGGATGGGGGAAGGTCAAACAACTTATGTTTAATAAGTATAGTTTTTCCAGGAAAAATTTTATATTTTTCTTATTTGATTCCTTTGTTTTACATCAGTGATTTTCAGTCTTTTTCATCATCTCATGGCACAAATAAACTAGTTACCTTTGCCAACCTGACCAAAAAAATAAGTATAATTTTGACTCATTCACACCAGCTGGCTATTTTTGTGTTGGCTATTGTGATTTTTTTTATTTTTGTTTTTATTTTTGGCAATTTAAGTAAGGGAAAAGAGGTCATTGCCCTTGACTAAATAGTCAGGTATTGCATGTTTTAAAAATTCTTGTAGCACACATGCTGAAAATCACTGACTTAGATTGATAGAATTGGAAGGTATCCACTAAGGAACCAGTGGTTCAGCCACCGTATCTCACAGATAAGTAGAGGAGACAGGACCTGCTCGGTGTTGTACAGAAAGAGGAAAGCGCTAGAACTCAGGTTCCCTGGCTCCTAGGCTAGTGTCGTCTTCACTGCCTACTATTTTTCTGAAAATAACATGTAAAAAAATTTAATACGGAGGCAATATATGTTATCTTGAAGATTGCAGGCTCTGAAGCCAGCCTACCTGGATTAGAAATCTCAGATTTTCCTTTTTCTAGGTGGTAGTATTTGTTAAGTTATTTAACTTTTCTCTGCCTCCTTGATTTTCTCATCTGTAAATTGAGGGTAGTGATAGAACCTCCTTCATAGAATTCTTGTGAAGTTTAAATGGATTAGTGTATGTAAAGTGCTTAGAATAGTACTTGGTACATGTTAAGTGCTCAAAGAATGTTAGATGCTATTATTATTATTATTATTTTCTTCACTACTGATACTTTATCTCCATAGTCCTTAGTATAGTTTGATATTGTTAATTTTCTCACTGCTGATCTGTATCAATGAGATGTTATATAATAAAAATATCTATTTTAACATCAGAAATAGTTGATATTTTGCTTCTACAATAGAATGAACTTTGTCTTTCATGCAATGATTGTAGTTTATGTGTGAACTCTCACAGTTACGTGCTTACTTTAGAATGGAGTAGAACCTCTGTTTGGGTGTGTTACTTGATTCTGTTTTTCTTTTTCCACAGCAATACAAGTTCTTGCGCTTTAGGAGATCTTTGCTCTTACTAATTAAACACAGTTGTATGGAATCACTGTTCCTGATTAGAAATTTCTGCATTGTGTATTATTTTCTTGGTAAGAATTTATGCTTTTTATAGTATATATATTAGCGTGTAGCTCAGAAAATGTCAGTTACAGAGTCATTTTTTGTTTTTGTATGTTTCCTATATTTGTATATGTGTGATTAGCCTAACTGATTCATTATTTAGATTGTTGAAGAATATTTAGTTAAGGGAAAATGTTGTTAAAGAAAATGTGGAATATACATACAGTGGAATATCATTCAGCTTTAAAAAAAGAAGGAAGTCCTGTCACATGCTCCAACATGGCCGAATCTCGAGGACGCTATAGTGCATGAAGTGAGCCAGTCACAACAAGACATGGTATATGGTTCCATTTGTATGAGGTGTCTAGAGTAGTCCAGACTTTTAGAAACTAAAACTAGGATCTGGTGGTTGCGGGGGCTGAGGGGAGGGAGAAGAGGAGTGATGTTGCTCAGTGGTTGTCAAGTGTCAGTGTTGTGAGGTGAAAAAGCTCTGGAGAGCTGTCATACAGCAAGGCACGTACAGCGTGTCCACTTAAAAATGTGCCCACTTAACGAGTTAGATGGAAAACATTAATCTCAGTAGTAACACATAATAGTATAACTAAAATCCAATGTTCTAAAATGATTTTCAGATTATAACTTTTTCTGATCCTATTTTTTTCTGTGGATATAGTTTTACAAAATTGTTCTCATTGTGGGTAGGCCATTTTGTTGTGTACTTTTTCAGTTGTAGTTTATATAATCCATTTGTCTACATAGTTTTCAAACATGGCATTCTAATGTTAATCCTTCGTTGTCTTAACCTACTACAAACAGCCCGGCTGTTCTCTCATACAGGCATACCTTGTTTTTTTAATGTGCTCCACTTTATTGCACTTCACAGATGTTGCTTTTTACAAATTAAAGGCAAGACTCTCCACTAGCAAACAGATTATGTCTTGCTCTATTGCAGTGCTCTGGAGCACCTAAGCATCTCCGAGATGCGCCTGCAGTTGTACGTGTGCCTGCAAGTTGTATGTTGGGCTGAGGGAGCAGCCATGTGGATTTCCATGGTCAGCTTTTTCTTCCCTTTCTTTCAAATTTTATTTCCATTGTTAACACTTTTCGTTTTTTTGTAGTACTTTGCGTTTTGGGGTTTTTTTTTTTTTTGGCCATTTTCCTCTTTCAGTTATTCATATTTGTAACATGTTATATGGTGATGCGGACTCGGCTGGTGGGGTCCATGTGCTGTGGCTGCAATGAACAAATTCACACCGTCTGCAGAAGTCTTGAGGAGAAAAAGGGACGGCATGGCTGCTCTCTGAGTGAGAAAGAGAACACCCTGCCCGGACAGGCTTTTATTGCTTTTCTGGGTACATTACACTGAGGATGGTCCTTATTTACTATGCACAGGTTCAGTTTAGGTGGTTATTTTTTACAGATAACAAAGGAGAGGAAGTTGCTAATTACTACAAAGAGAAAGGATATTTGCAAATGCAAGGGAAAAAGTGGTTGAACTGGTTACACTCCATACTTGGGAGGTTTAGCATAGATTTTAGGAAGTTACTTTAAAGATATGCAGTAAACATTTGCTGCCTCAATTCTGGGTGACGGAGTTTTAGCAAAAAGGAAGCCTCAAAGTAGCCTATGTACAATGCAGGCCTGATTCCCCACAGGAAAAACGATCCATGGGCTTAGTTCCTGTTTCCCGACTCACTCCCCACCGGTTTTCCAAGTCAGGGCCTGGGCTACCTTCACCATGCCACGTGGAACGGTTCCTTATAATATGGGTTTGCCATGGGAGACAAGGAGGCAACACAACTACATGCCTTGTTGTCTGTGCCAGAGCTAAATAACGTGAGCGACTGGTCACAGACAGACTTTGAAAGAAGAGATGTAAGTGGTCATTGATCATGGTGTGTATTCATTATCTACATACTGATTTGTGTACTGAAAAGCTAGAAGTATTGTATTGAGTCAATGACAGTGAATATGCCATGGAAACTGAAATTTGAATTGTTGGAGGACTGGTCTTAGTGAATAGACCATGGTAACTGAAATATGTACTTATTGGAACTACAAAGCAAGGATTGCTTGTAATTAGAAATTATTATTTTTTATTTCCCATTTCTAATCAAACAATCTAGCATTTAAACTGAAGTCTTGGTGTCTAGTCAGCTATGTCATCAATCTCATATTTCAAAGCATGATTAAGGCCTGGCTGGTGTGGCTCAGTTGCTTGGGCATCAGCCTGCCAACTGAAAGGTTGCCAGTTTGATTCCCGGTCAGGACACATGCCTGGGTTGCAGGTCCAGTCTCCAGTTGGAGCGGGTGCAGAAGGCAGCCAATTGATGTTTCTCTCTCACCTCATTGTTTCTGTCCTCTTCCTCCCTCCTTTCCCCTCTCTCTAAGCTCGGTTAAGGTTTGCTTTTACAACTTTTTATGTTCATAGCTATGTATTTTTCCCCCCTCAGGCCATATTCCCAAAGCTTGGATTAGCACTGCTATGGACCTTCAAATAGATGAGTAAGTGCTCTATGAGAAGTCGAATTATAATTCTTCTTAGATGCCTTCATCCTTTTAGATGTTTGCTTCTTTCCAAATGTTTTGATTGGTGTAGCCTTTAAGATTTTCAAAAATTGTATTCATTTTTGAATAAGTGTAGTTCACATAGTCTGAAATTCCAAAGATATATGAAAGGGTATGTGGTGAAGAAGATTCCTTTTGCCCTGTCCCCAGTCACCCAGTTACTGTCCCCAGAAGTAAGCAGTAATTCATTTTTTGTTAGATACAGCTCTTACGTAAAAGGAGACTTCTTGAGTTGCATGGCATGCCTCTCTTTTGTTTTTCTGCATTACTTAGTAGTAATTCTATGCTGTATTGTGCCAGACAGCTGCAGTGCTGTGGGCATTATTCTAATTTTGCCTATGAGGATACCAAAATTGAGGAGTGTCATGTGACCAGTTGAAGGTCTACGTGGCAATCGGGTGTATTCCCGATGCACTTTGTACATAGTTAAAGCTTTAATCTTTATTGTGCAAATAAGTGTAAATTTCTTTATTAGCATTTGTTCTTTTAAATATTATTTCACTGTGAGACTTTTTGTGTCATATATGGACTGCACTAGTTTTTGGGAGTGGGAGCATTGGCATATATGGGTGTTTATGAGACATTATGGTTTCTTCAGTGTAGATGTCAATCTCTAACTTAAAAATCCCTAGGTAAAATTTAGTTTTGTCTTTTGCTAAATTGCTAGATGTGAAACCAAATGCATAATATGTATTATGTTAGCCTAGTTTTTAAAGTGGGTCAAATAGAAAAAGAAGAAGAATAATGATAATTGATAAAAATTTAATGTAACACTTTTTTCCTCCTTTCACTTAAAAAATGTTTTGTTTGTACGTGACCGGTATTCTGCCCGTAATGTATGCCAGGTCCTCAGTAAATATTTACTTAAAAGCTGAAAATAACTCCATTTAATGTGCCTACCACTCCACAAAGTGAATGTCAAATAACTATGCTGAGCTCTCCTAACATAAGGTGTTTTAAATCTCATAACAGCCCTAAGAGGCAGAACAAAGAGATTACGCCTTCATTACACGATGAAGAAACTGAGAATGGTGTGGGTCAAGAAATTTATGTAATCACAACACTTATAAATGGCAGAGTCAGAGGTTCAAATCCTTTTTCTCAGTTGCTTGTTGTGTGATTGTAGGATTATGATGACTTTGCTAATTGATCTATTCAAGGTTTTGGTAAGATAGCATTTGTTTTATTTAGCATTCCAATAGGAGTTTCTTATTTTAAAAGTAAAGATTTTTTAGATAGTACATGTGCATTTAACTAGTAAGAAACTCTTTATAGGCTGTACAGATAGAGCTGAAATGTGGTCCAGGAGAGGTGCTATTTATGTCGAATGACTTTTAAGTGTCAAACTACAAAAGCAGCAATAATAAACTTTTACTCAGCCTCCAGGGGTTGGCTTATAGGCTTGGCATATTCTTCCTCCATAGTAAATGGCAGTGAAGGTTTTGAACACAGGGAGCTGTGTGCCAGTTTAGTCTACTCTTCCCTTTAGGCTCTTTTGATGCTCCCTGTTAGAAGGTAGTAGGGAAAGGACTCTGTAGGGTACAAAGTGAAAGAAGCCCATTACCATTATCATTTACAAATCAGATTTGTTTGTTTCTCAGTGTTGAGCCTCAAGTCTTTTAAATGCTTCGATTGTGTTTCCCATGGTATTAAACAGTAATTTCTGCTTTCATAGGCAATTTCATAGGCCTCTTGATACTGTGAGTGGCCTCTTGAATCTCTCATTACTCTACCATGTCTGGTTATGTGGAGTCTTTCTCCTGACGACTTGGTACATCTCATGGATACTCTTCAAAATCTATGCTACAGAGGTTAGTATTGAGTTTTTTGTTATTATGTTCACATTTTGGAGGTCACAGATTTATTTTTAGTAGAGCACTGATCAGCATGCTATTTTGCCCAAAGCCATTTTGGTAAATTGAGTTTTGGTCTTTCTTCCGACACTTCATTAGGGATGTATCATTTATAATCATTTACTTTGTTATTTTTTTTATGAGGAACAGTGTTAGTATTCTTAGTTGTTGGAAACCAAACTGAATGGATTGCTAGTGGTATCTATTTACTATGCTTTATCTACTATCTAATTCTTTTCTGAAGGTTTTCCTTTCTCTCCCATCTAGTATGAATACATATTGAATTTTAAAAATTTTTATGTGCTGTTGATGTAGATACTATTAAAATTTTTAAATGTACAACAATAAAATATTTGTTCTTTGAAACTTTAAAAATGTATATTGAAGAAATGTTTTTTAATGAATGGGATTTACATTGTTTTTATCATCCAAGTGTTTGTCTTGGAAAATGAGTGTTTCTGTTTCATTTTACCATTTCTATAAGTTTATATCCTTTAGTGGCTTCAAAGAACCTTTGTTTCTAAAATTTGTTTCTATTATTGGAAGCCAGAGATCTAATAAAACTGTGAGAGTAACATTTTAGAAAGTAATATGTTTGGTTATATAACTCTAATACAACCTATTTTTTCAAGGAACACTGAAGATGTTAATTTGGTTGTATTGCCTCCTTTTCTAATTAATTTCAATTAGTACTTAATGTAATAAAGTCATGAAAATATTCATTATCATAATCCTTTTGATTATATTTGATAGGCTCATCTGTTCCCTGTTCAACCACCATTTGCAGAAGAGTCAGATGAATGCCTCCCAAAAGTTTTAAACAGCAGTCCACCTCTCATCATAAAGGTACCAGAGCTGTCCATCTTGTGTCTTTACACAATCATGTCTAACTTATCTTATGGAAAGACTTAATATTTAGTATATTTAGGTATTTAGATATATTTTTTGAGGGCCTAGACTATTCTGGTACTGGTATTATAAAAATCACTTACATGCTACATTGAATGCAGTTTCACTTTTTCACTTTTCTTTCCAAGTGACTAAAATGAAAGTGTGTACTGCAGTGTATGTGTACATGTTAATTCTATATTCAGGATAGATATAAAAATATTTTCAAGTATGATGTACGATGATATTCATTAGTTTTTCATAAACTCTTCATGGTAGCAAAACAAATCACTGCTAACTATTTTTATCATTGGGTCAGTATGTGTTTTTACTCCTGTAGTCTTGTTGGCCGTTATTATCAAAGGTGGTGCTTGGTAGTGTGTAGACATTCAGTGACTTACTTAAGATACAAATAGTGATAGTGATCCTAAAACAAATTTTAATCAAAGAATTTAAAGTAGTTTCAATAAATTTACAAATTAAATTAAGTGGAAATAAATTGTTTTGAATTAAATTGCATTTTGAAATTTTAAAGTAGATCTGTAATATAAGCAATCCTGTTAAGAAGTCATAGTAATTAAAAAAGAATTGAAATAGAACCCACAGTTTTGATTGTACTCTGGAAGTTACAAATCAATAAGAAAATGAACCACTAAGGCTCTGATTACTGTTAAATATCAATTATGACTAGTTTAATAGATAAACAAAAGTACCTGTCATTCATTAGGTTATTTAACAAGTCTATTTACTGGGTAGGTGTTAGTCACTGCTAGTTACTTAGGGTATAATGATGAATCAGATGTGGAACAGCTTAAGGGAAAAGGCAGACAGACAAAATAATGAAAATTTACTATGGTAAGTACCATGGGAACCACTTATTCTGCTTGGGACCAATATGAGAAAGCTTCACAGAAGGGATGGTCTCTTAAGTGATGAATGAGAAGTCAGGGAACAAAATGAAAATTTTTGGTGAAAAAGTACAATGTCTGCTGTGTGCTAGACACTACCTTTGAATGTGGAAGCAAGCAAGACTTTGTTCCTGCCTCACAGTTTGGTGGGTGGAACCAGATGAGAAAAGTAAACAGGCAGTAGTAATAAATTAAGCACCACAGTTGAGAACTGTGTGTGTATGTTAGTGTGAGGGAGGCCATGGAAAGGTCCAGGAGGAAGTGATATTTGAGTTTCCCGCCACAGAGGTAGGAGAACACAGAGAGTTCTATAGTTCGTTGTAGCTGGAACTTATAGTGGGTGGGGTAGCCTACAGAGGGTAGGGGCAAGGAAGTTCTGGAAGTCTAAAAAGGAAAAATAAGTATTATTTTCTTTATGAAAAATTTCAACTAATTCCCCCTTAGATATATTAGGTTGAGCCCAATTCATAGATAAGATTTTGTATAAAGATTTAAAAAGTTAAACAATATGTATTTTTTCCCTTTTAGTATTTGGCCTTGCAGGACCTGATGTTGCTTTCTCAATATTCTCCTTCACGAAGACAAGAAGTTTTTAGTCTTAGCCAACCAGGTAATGCTAAAAGTAATAGACCTGCCCTGGCTGGTGTGGCTCAGTGGATTGAGCGCAGGCCTGTAAACCAAAGGATCACTGGTTCGATTCCCAGTCATGGCACATGTCTAGGTTGCAGGCCAGGTCCCCAGCAGGGGGCACTTGAGAGGCAGCCACACATTGATGTTTCTCCCTTCTCTTTCTCCCTCCCTTCCCCTCTCTCTAAAAATAAATAAGCAAATAATTTTAAAAAACAAAAACTAAAAGTAATAGACCTGATTTGGCATGTGCGTAGAAAGTGTTCCACTTTTGGTGAGGTAGGTATATTTAATAAAATATCACACATGAGTGAGCCCATTAAATGAAACCATGATTTAAATCTTACAGAACAAAATGTTGGTGTTGTGGTTAGAAGTTACATCATTAGGAAAGGTATTTTTAAACTTTTACATTATTTGCTTCAGTCCCCTTATTCCCTTAACTTGGTAGGTTGACAGTTTTAGAGCAGGAAAGCAGTTTAAGAATCCTAAAAGTTTTAATGCTACCGGGTATCTTAAATATCAGGTATTCTTATTCTCAGAGAGATTAATGGTTTAAATAAAGTTAGTGTCAGAGCTGGAGGAAGAAGTTCCGTCATTGGACTCCAGGCGCAGAGCTCCCCCTTCCTGTCGTGTTCCTCTACCTCCCTTGAAACAAAGTAGAAAGGAACTAGATTAGATGGTGACCCAAAGGTGCTCTTGGCGACTCTGTTACTTGCCAACTTCCTCAAGACTAATGGAATTGTACCAGTGCTCTGTTTATTCCTGGGAGCGGAAAATTCCAGCCCCCGCCACTCCTGGGGAACAGAGAACTGGTAGCTTTTCATCTTCTGTCTGATCAGCTCTTCATTATTTTGCCAAACTTGCCAATTCCCAGATTGTAAAATAAACCTTACGTATAGTTAAATGTTACATGGAAATAAAATCCGGTTATATAAAAATATAAATGATTGAAGGTTCAACTTTACTAGAATCTAACATGAAAAATGTGGAGAATAACTAGCAATACTTTTCTTGTAAGATTTTATTTATTTTTAGAGAGGGGAAGGGAAGGAGAGAGGGAGCAAAATATCAATGTGTGGGAGAAATATCATTTGGGTACCTCTCGCATACATCCTGCCCGGGACTAAACTGGAAACTCAGGCACGTACCCTGACTGGGAATTGAACCCGTTACCTTTCCTTCACATTGCAGGATGACGCCAGACCAACTGAGCCACACCAGTCAGGGCTGTAGCAATACTTTTCTATCAGACTTAGGTTCACTTAGGAATTCTCTATACATTAAATATTTTCACCAGATCTTTAAGGAAACTGTAACAGGGTGGCGTGTTCTCTGCCAGAGAACTAGGGCATATTATTAAAATTTAACTCGACCTTTAACATGGTTCTCTTGTGGTCCTGAGTTATAGCAGTACAAAACATTCATTCACCGATGAAGCATTTTGTGTGCAAGTGAAGTGATGCTCCTCTTGAGTTGTAAACGGGAAATGTTTAAGGAAGGCTCTAAGTAAAGAGAAGGATTATTTGGCACCTAGGATGGGGAAGCCAATTTTCAGTGGATTACTGCTATTCTTGACACATAATGAAGCACAGCTGATTTTCACAGACAGCTCTAGGACATAAAAGTCTTAGAAAATCAAAAGATAGTGAGAAGTAAGGGAATGAGAGTGTGGACCAGAGTAGTTTAAGTTAAATAATCAGCAGATATGTAAGCTCTTCAAGTATAAAGTATTATCATTACAAAATAATATGTAACTCTTGTGGATATAAGAGCAGATAGGGAGTGTTACACAAATGAAAATATAAGGAAGCACAGTGGATCAGAAGCAACAGTTTCGAGGTCACCAGGGGCCACGGCATGCACCCCAGTAGACATGCTGGTGTTTGTTGTCTCAGTGTGTTCAGCACTGCTGGTGAAGCACCTGGGCGTCTGCACTCACACCGTGCTCTAGTGCTTGGCTGTATTATAGTGATCAGTTTGAGAGGTTTTTTTTTTTTTATGGTAAAATAGCAGTGCTTGTAGACTTCTGGGGAAATTATTTCTTCTAAATATTTATTGAACTCCTGCTGTGTATTAGATGGCATGAATATAAATAGTAGCTTAACTGAGAAAAGGGGGCCCTGATACAAAGCATTTCTAATTGGTTTTTCTCCTCATTTGAGAGACTACAATTATCTAAGTTTTAAGATTTGGTGTTTGGACCTCTTAGGTGGACACCCCCACAACTGGACAGCCATTTCAAGGGAGTGTTTAAATCTTCTAAATGATATGACTCAGAAGCTGGTTCTCCACCAAGAAGCTGCTGCTACCAATGGAAGAGTAATGTCTTCATCATACACTGTGGAACCCAAGAAAGCGAATTTTCCAGGTAACTGCTTGCATTACTAAGAGAGGGGAAAGCTTTTGCATTTTATTTCGTAAGAAAGATGATAATTAATCTAAAGATATGTGTGTCAGTGTGAGATACACATTTTTAGGGAAAATTGATCTAATATATGGGATATTGTACTGAACCAAGCAAAAGAACTTAGTATTATGATAGGTAGAAAAAATGAAGTCCAGTGTGGTGATGGTATTAAAAGGATAAAAAAAAATGTTGGTTATCAAATAGGAGACTTCAACTTACCCTAATGCAAAGCCAGGTAAATCTTGACAAATAATACTGGATGCTGTTCTAATTGCAGTATCCCAGAGACACAAAAAGTTACTGGAAAATGTCCAAAGAGCAGTTGAAAATGATGAGTAATTTGGTAATTCATTGTTTTAAGATACATTCTTATACATAGGAATACATCTGCACGTTTTAAATACATTCATTATTATAAGATAGCCTAATACAATGTTAGTACTACTTCAGTTTGAAAGATGAAAGTTGTGAGGAAGAAATATAGGTGGAGAAACTTAATGCTATTTTATTTTACCAAATCCCTTAAGTAGAAAATGCCTAGGAATGTAACACTCTTCATTGCCTTTTGGTGCTAAGCATTTACATAATACAAATAGGTGAGGGTGTGGTAAACTTGAGAGAACAGGCATCATCTGAAGGGGGAATCTGAACTCCTGTTGTTTGTCTTTAAGATTTTATTTATTTATTTTTAGAGTGGGAAAGGGAGGGAGAAAGAGGAGAGAAACATCGATCTGTTGCTTCTCATACACACCCTGACTGGGACCTAACCTGCAACTGGTGACCTATCGCTTTGTGGAATAATGCCCAGTCACCTGAGTTACTATGGTCAGGGCTGAACTCGTGGTCTTTTTTTTTAAAGAGAAGCCTAAACCCTAAAAAAATCTTATGTAAAATCTTCCATTTTTTAAACGTCAGTTAATCTTGATAGTTAAAATAATTCCTCTGTGGACCAAAAGACACATGTTTATGTTATTACTCTAGAGAGACCATATACCAAAAACAAATAGATTACAATTGAAAAATGTTTGAAATAAGTTTATGAATGTTAGATTTTAAACAATGGCTTAATTTTTATTTTTTAATTGATTTTACTTACTTATTTTAGAGAGGGGAAGGGAAGGTGAAAGAAACAGAGGGAGAGAAACATCAATCGGTTGCTTGTATGTGCCTGGATTGGTGTACTCTGACTGGGAATCGAACCAGCGACCTTTTGCTTTGCAGGACGGTGCCCAACCAACTGGGTCACACCGGTTAGAGCCATGAATGTCAGATTTTAAAATATTCTAGAATGTTTCAGACGTTATCAGCTTTCAGATTAGTATTTATATGAACAAATATTTACTGACTGCCTTCCACATACCAAACAATGTTCTAGAAGTCAGAGAATCAAAGATGACAAAATATTCTTGGAACTGACTTTTTAGTGGAAAGTGCACAGATAGTGATAAGACAATGTTACAGCTAAAAAGAAAGCTGTCAGAGAGGAGTCTGCATGGGTAAGGATATTTTTGATAATAAAAGGAGGCCTTGTATGTTATAAAAAAAGAGATTTTTATCCCATAGGGAAATGGAACCAGTAGAGGATTTTGAATAGCCTAGTTACATCAAATTAGCATTTTACAAAGATCATTGTAATTTTGGGTTGGAGGATTTATGGTATTGTAATTATTTTATTTTATTTTTAAAAGATTTATTTATTTTTAGTGCGAAGGGAAGGGAGGGATAAAGACAGGGAGAGAAACATCAATGTATTGTTGCCTAGTGGGCAACCCAGGCATGTGCCCTGACTGGTAATCAAACTGGTGATCCTTTGATTCGCAGGCCGGCACTCAATCCACTGAGCTACACCAGCTGGGGCAGATTTTCATTATTTTAAATTGTCTTCCGATTCCATCATGCAGACAATTCACCTCTAATTTTGAGGAATTTTTGCTGAACTTAAAAACCCCAGTATCACTTTAAAAATTGAGTATTTGGGAGGACTTCTGGCAAGATGGAGGCATAGGTGGATGCACCATACCTCCAAGCACAACCAAGATTAGAACAACAACAATTTAGAGGCAGAATAACACCCAGAACTGACAGAGAATTTATCTGAATGGAAGTTGGACAGCCAAGAAGTTGAAGTAGACCCGTTCATCCAGACTGGTAGGAGGGATGGAGATGAGCGCGGGTTGCAGCTCGCGGAGTGCCGGGAGAGCTGGGTGCCTAAGGCAACCGGGAGCATGTAAGCCATCTGGGGCGTACAGCGGGTGGACCCTGAGTACGCAAGCGGCAACTGGCGGACCCAGTGAGGCTGCGATTGTGGACCAGGGCGGAGCGTGCAGCCCAGGATCCCAGGGAAGGGACTGAGATCCCAGGAGAGTGGGGCTGCCGTCATTGTTCCCTCCCACTCCCGCCCCCACATACAACATCACAATCTAGCGACTGGGGTGCCCAGCCCCAGTGAACACCTAAGGCTCTGCCCCTCACCATAACAAGAGTGACCAGATGGGGGAAAAAAAAAGAGAGAGCGATGGCTCAAATAGAAGAACAAATCAGTTCCCCAGAACTCATCCTTTTGAGCGACCAAGAAAGAGCTAACCTATCAGATGCACAGTTCAAAACACTGGTGATCAGGAAGCTCACAGAATTGGTTGATTTTGGTCACAAATTAGATGAAAAAAATGCAGGTTACCATAAAAGAGATGAAGGAAGATGCATGGAGAACCAACAGTGATAGGAAGGAAACTGGGACTCAAAACAATAGAGTGGACCAGAAGGAAGAAAAAAACAAACAAACAGGAAATAATGAAGAAATAAGAATTCAAAAAAAACGAGGAGAAGCTTAGGAACCTCCAGGACATCTTTAAATGTTCCAACATCTGAATTATAGGGGTACCAGAAGGGGAAGAGGAAAAGCAACAGATTGAACACGTATTTGAACAAATAATAAAGGAGAACTTCCCCATTCTGGCAAAGGAAATAGACTTCTTCCAGGAAATCCAGGAAGCTCAGACAGCCCCAAAGAAGTTGGACCCAAGAAGAAACACACCAAGGCACATCATAATTACATTAGCCAAGGTAAAAATGAAGGAGAGAATCCTAGAAGCAGCAAGAGATAAGGGGACAGTAATCTACAAAGGAGTTACCATCAGACTGTCAGCTGATTTCTTAAAAGAGACCTTACAGGCAAGAAGGGGCTGGAAAGAAATATTCCAAGTCATGAAAGACAAGGACCTATATCCCAGATGACTCTATCCAGCAAAGCTTTCATTTAGAATGGAAGGGCAGATAAAGTGCTTCTCAGATGAGGTCAAGTTAAAGGAGTTCATCATCACCAAGCCCTTATTTTATGAAATGTTAAAGGGACAGATCTAAGAAGATAAAGAAAAAACATGTATAGTAAAAGGACAGCAAACTCATAATTATGAACAACCACACCTAAAGCAAAACCAAAAGAAACTAAGCAAACAACTAGAACAGGAACAGAACCACAGAAATGGAGATCACATGGAGGGCTAGCAACAGGGGAGTGGGAGGAGGAGAGAGGGGGAAAAGGTACAGAAAATAAGTAGCATAGAATGTAGGTTGAAAATAGATAGGGGGAGGGTAAGGATAGTATGGGAAATGTAGAAGCTAAAGAACTTACAAGTATGACACATGGACATGAACTAAAGGGGGGAATGTGGGTGGGAGAGGGTGTACAGGGTGGAGGGGAATGAAGGGGGGAAGATGGGACAACTGTAATAGCATAATCAATAAAATATATTAAAAAAAGAAAAAAAATTGAGTATTCAAAGATTTCTAATTGCCACCAACTCTTAAAAAAGTTATGTAATGAAAATTTGCTACTTTAAATGTTTAATGTCTGATTGTGGTTGTATTAAGAAGATAGAATACTAGTATATGATTTATCTTTTTGCCTTCTACTGTAGTGGCAGGGAAAATGTTCCTTTGTTTTTGTACACCAGACACTATAACTAAGTTGATAGAGTTAATTTGTGAAAAAGCTGTTTACAGATGAGATTTGTAGAGTCACATGTGTACGTATTCTGGACAAATTGGTCTTTGGTATGACTTCTGTTAATTTGAAAGAACTCTGGGGAAAATGGGATAAGGTTAGCTCTCTTATCTATACATTTTTTTCTGTACATCTTTTATTTTTATCATTTATGCTGTTTTGCAGTTGCTCTCACTCTTTCTCCCTTTCCCCAGCTCCACCCAGCCCCATCCTTGCCCTTTCCCGGGCCAGTCCCCGTATTCTTCTCCATGCCCATGGGTTGTGCATAAATGTTCTTTGGTTAGTCCCTTCACCATCTATCATCCTGTCCTGCCACCCACCCCCCTTTCTGGCTGCTGTTGGTCTGTTTTATGTATCTTAACTTCTGTCACTATATTGTTCATTAGTTTATTGTTCATTAGTTCATTAGATTCCATGTAAAAAATGAGATCATGTGGTATTTTTCTTTCACTGACTGACTTAATTTACTTAGCATAATTTTCTCCAGGCCATCCTTGGTATTTGGAAATGGAAGAGTTTCTTCTCTTTTTACAGCTGTGTAGTATTCCACTGTGTAAATGTTCCACAGATTTTTAATCCACTCATCTGCTGATGAGCACTTAGGCTGTTTCCAAATCTTGGTTAGTGTAAAAAGTGCTGCTATAAACATAGGGGTGCATATATTTTTTTGTATTGCTGTTTTGGGATCCTTGGGGTCTCTTCCCAGAATTGGAATTGCTGGGTCATAAGGGAGCTCCATTTTTAATTTTATTTCATGCTGTTTTCCACAGTGGCTGCACCAGACTGCATTCCCACCAACAATGCATTAGGGTTCCCTCTTCTCTACATCCTCGCCAACATTTGTTTATTGATTTATTGATGGTAGCCATTCTGACAGGTATAAGGTGGTATTTCATTGAGGTTTTAACTTGCACTTCTCTGATGACTAGTGATGTTGAGCATTTTTTCATATGTCTACAGTCCCTCTGTATGTCCTCTGTGGAGAAGTTTCTATTCAGGTCTTTTGCCCATTTCATAATTAAGTTTTATCTGTACATTATTATAATATAAATTTGATTATGTTTAGCCAAGTAATAGTTATAGTAAGAGCATGCAGTAGAACTGGAAAGATTCTATTGCAGTAATTAAAGCTGTTGCCATATAAAAAATAAAATATAAATTGAGAAGTTTATTCAAAACACCTTGGAGAAACTGACCTTGAAGATGAGGATATACATGAGGGGGAAAAACAAGAGAGGCCATACCAATCTGACAGAAAAAGATGTTTCAAGCTCCTTGAGTGGCCATTGAGTTGCAGTAGTAAAAACTGGATCTTGAGAATATAGATCTAAGTGGAAACAACCTACTGGGCCTTAGGACATGTATTAAACAAAAATTGAGAGGCATAAAATTTGAAAACTCCCATATTGGCCTGTTTGGATTAGGTTGCCCTTTTAGCACTGGATCTGTTCTTTTGCAGAAGAAACGACCTTTCTGACCCCCAAATCTAGCCAGATGCCTCGGCCTTCAATGCCACCATTAATTAAGACATCACTGTTTTCCTCGAAATTATCTACACCGGGTGTTGCCAGTCCCCTTGGGTCTCCATTCGGGTCTAGTGTAATGAATCGGATGGCTGGAATTTTTGATGTAAACACCTGCTATGGCTCACCGCAAGGTTCTCAGCTAATAAGAAGAGGGCCACGATTATGGACTTCTGCTTCTGGTGAGGACTGTTTATTTTGTATATTTTGGAATGTCATAGTTGCAGAGAATCGAATAGCCTGAGTTTCACCTTGTTTTGTTTTGTTTTTTTAACAGATCAGCAAACAGAACTTTCTAATCTTCCGTCTCTTCTTAGAGCTGAGGGTAAGACAGTGAGACAGCCCAGTGTGATTTATTCATGGATTCATAATAAACATGAACAGGTATGATATTATGGTTATAGGATTTATATTTGCATGTGACATTGAGATTATCAAGGATCTCACATGATTAAGCTATTAGGAATAAGTAGGACTTTTTTGATGCTTCATATATTCAGTTGTCCCATATGAAATGACCAGTTAACTGGTTTTGAGTTGTGTTTGGTTTGTGTGAGGAACGCGGACACTAGTGTGGCTGGAGCAGAGTGAGAGAGGGGAATGTGGCAGGTAGGTGGGTGATGAGGTCAGAGGGGTAGCAGACACCCAGAGCTCATCGGGCCCATTACTGTTGTATAGGACTGACATTTTCTGAGTGAGTTGGAAAGCCACTGTATGGTTTTGTCCTTATAAATTGAAAGTGCTGCTCTACCTGCTGTGTTGAGACTACACTCTCAGAGGGCAGCAGGAGTGGAAGCAGAGAGCTAGTAGTAAAGCTATTGAAGTATATAGTGCAAGATGGTGGTATCTGTGACCAACTTGAGTGAGTGTAAGATGTGGTCAGGGTTTGGATATATTTTGAAGGTAGGTGTAATAATAGGATTTGCTTGTGATTTGTTTGTGGTGTGAGATATAGACTAGATGTTGACTCTGAAGTTTTTGGCCCAAGGATCTGAAATAATACAATTAAAATTTATTGAGTGCAATTTGCTAATGATTCTGGAAGAAGGGATTTGATGGAGGTAAGGGGGAGAAATCTGGAGTTTGATTTCAAACATGTTAACTTAAACAAATGTTGGTAGATAGTCAAGTAAAAATACAGAGTAAGAAATTAGACGTATTCTGGAGTGTAGGGGAAAGTTCTGGGATGGAAATGTAAATTTGGAAGTCATCAGAGTATAGACAGTATTTAAAACAATGAGGCTCCAAGAAAACTCTTGGAGAGTGTAGATACAGAAGGAAGGAGATTCAAGAATTGGAACCTTCCAGTAACGAAAGGTCTGGGAGGTGAGGGATAGCAGAGGAGACCAAGTGGCCATTGAGGTGAGAAGAGGACCAAGAAAAAAGTGTTGCAAGGAGAAGTGTCAGATGCTGCTGCTAATAAGCAGCATGAGAGTCAAACTGATGATGAAATGTTGCAGTGGAAACGTGGAGGCTATCGAATCCTTGTCCGGGGGCTGTTGGGTGAGGTAGTGGGGATGAATGCCTGAGTGGCATGGGGTCAGGAGAGATTGGGAGAAGGAATTGGAGGCCATGAGAAAAGCCACATCTTTCTAGGAGTTTTGCTCTCAGGGGAGCATAACAATGGGGTAAATACCAGGGGGAGTTGAAGGTTCAAGAAAGCGTTTTACCTGTTAATATGGGAGGAATAATAACATTTACTGATGGAAAGATTAATTAATAGAGGGAAGAACTGAAGACATTTTATGGACTTCAGTATCTAATATGCTTATGTGCCTTAAATACTGTCAGCTTATAATAATACTAAGATATTTTCTCTGTAAATGTCAACTAGTAGAAAACCATTCCACATCTTAAGATTTGAAGATGGGGGAGAGGAATAGGGAAAACATGTACTTTTTCAGTATTAAGAGATTAAAGGACAAGACAGCTGTGGAGAATTGAGAAAGAATGTGGTCTTAGAAAATATTACCAGGTCCAGTTAGACTTCCTTTCATTATGGCAGGTCTTTAATTTGGAGGTTATTGTGTACATGCGGTGCAGTTTAGGTTCGATGGCCTGACCTGTCTTGGTTATCCAACTTATAATACAAAGGTATTTCCTTATATGGTTTATTGTAAATACTGTTCATTTTCTGTATTTTGTTTATTTTATTCAAGTTAATGTCAGGAAGAATCTGAAAATGTATGATATTTGAATAGAATTAAAAACTGTAAATGTGTTAATTCTTTCTTTTTTCCAATTCAGATTAAGAATTTCTTGTCAAAACGGGTGCTAATAATGTATTTTTTCAGTAAGGTAAGAATACATAGATACAGCATTGGGGAAGGGGGGAGAGGAAATGAAATAAGAAATGAAGTAGCAGATAGGATTGGTCTTCTAAATGTTTAGCTTGAGCCTAGCAAGCCAAACAGCTTTGCATTAGTGCTTCACTGAACCTCCATTTTAACCATAGCTGCCCATTGTCACCTCACATCTCACCTCAGTGGCCTCCTGGGGCTTGACTACAACTTGCCTCCTGAATCTCTTGACTGCAGGCAGCTTTGTGTGATGGCAATCCCATCCTGCAAAAGGAGCAAATCTATGACAGTCCTTAGTGGCTCATGGTCCTACTAACATCTTTGTGGCTAATTTGCTCTTCAGCAGAGAGATGACTGGGTTAGATAGCAGATGTTAAACTTGTGTTAGATAAAAAGTTGTAATTCAGGCCACAAGCTAAATGACTTCCCAGCTTCTCTCTTAGCTGCTTGCTCCCACTGCCACAGGAGAGTAAATCTCAGTTGCAGAAGCTAAAAATCCATTCTTGTTTTCACTGCCTACAGCTGTTGTGTGTTAGCTAATCCTTTGATGAGCAAAACCTTTGTCCATATGCAGGGGAAAGAATTTTTGTTTTGTTTTTTAAATCTAGCTTTTCTCTTTCTGAAGATACTGCAATATTAGCTAATAATGGATGCAATTATGCCTTCAAGTGAAAGTTTCATTGATATACATTATTTTTATTCATTTGGAGTCATACTTTGGGGGTGAGAGATTTGAGTAGCTCTGATAGCTTTGCTATCACATAACAAAGAATCAATTCAAGTTCGTAGAACTTTTTTCACTATGGTGGCAGGGAAGATCACCCCCCTAACAATTACTACCTTTATCAAAAATAATCTTACCTTAGACTGTCCAGAGTTTTGGGGAAACTAGTTGACCCCTGCGGAAGGCCTCTTCCACAAAGAGGAGCAGGGGTTGTCTGAAGTTTTACTTAGTGCTTTGTTTCACAAGGATGCAGAGAACTCACTCTTGCTTGCTCTTTTCACTTAAGTTCCCTCATTTATTTCTAACAACATTCCTGTGAGTTGTCATTTTGTTCTCATTTTACACATAAGGAAACCTGAGGCTCAGAGGGGTCAAGTAGGGCATAAAGCCAGTAAGTGGCAGAGCAGACACCGAAAAAGATTTTCTTTTTCCTAGGAAGTGAACAGCTACTTTTGATTCTGACTTTGCACATGGATCTATTGTATGATAAGGAGTTATGGGCAGTGCCCTTTGATGTTGAGGAGTATAACATGCTGTTGTACTTAATAGGCTACATTGGTTGCGTCACCAAAGCCAGCATTTGTTTAAATGGGCCAATTTTTGCACCACACTATTTGGCCTTATTATTTTAAAGAAGGTTAGGTGGTTTTTCTTTGGAGTAGGGTTGAGATAGACAATCCAGGAGAGGTAGTATGTATTTAATTAGGTTTGTGGGTTTTTTTAAAGCTTTTATAATCATTCTCCTAAGTGATCTCTATACTAATCCTTTGTGGTGGGTTGAGTGTGTTTTTTATTTTAAATGAGAAACTGAGGCACATAGAGATTTACAGATTTGGCAAGGGTCATATAGTAAGTTGGTGGCAGAATGCGTTATTGTAGTTAAATCATATTGTATAAAAATTTCAGATTTTATAGCTTTGAATATTTTATTGTTATAGATTGCATAGTTGATCAGATGAAGTAAGGAGTTTTTGCGCAGGAGAACTTGCTTAAATGTTTTTATTTGTATTTGTAGCACCCAGAGGCCTCCATTCAGGCTGTTTTCTCAGATGCCCAAATGCATATTTGGGCTTTGGAAGGTAAGCACTTTAAGTGAACTGCAACTCTGATTTTAATTATCAGTTAAATTTTGAAGTGTGATCCATGAAAGGTCAGTTTTGGACTTAGATGTTAACCTTTGAATTTTAAGATACATTTTTATATCTTTGCTTTACATAAATTATTTTTCTTTTTTTTTTTCAAGATTTTATTTATTTATTTTTAGAGAAGGAAGGGAGGGAGAAAGAGAGAGAGAGAGAAACATCAATGTGCAGTTGCTGGGGGTCATGGCCTGCAACCCAGGCATGTACGCTGACTGGGAATCGAACCTGCTACACTTTGGTTCGCAGCCTGCACTCAATCCACTGAGCTACACCAGCCGGGGCTATTAAATATTTAGATGCACTTTAATCTGGGCAGAAATTTTCCTCGTATATGAGGTCTGTCCAGAAGGTTTCCAGCCATGTAATATAAAAAATAGAGACATTTATTGAAGAAGATATACAAGATTGAAGAAACATTGTGCATAAGACAATGATGTCTCAGTCCCCTTCCAAGAAGGCACCTTGGGACCTCACATAGGTTCTCCTAATCGTCATCAGCTATCCTGTCATATTTTCCTGAATCTCATCAATGGTCTGAAATCTCTTCCCTTTCTTTTCTTTTTAAAAAAAATTTTTTTATAAAGATTTTATTCATTTATTTTTAGAGAGGGAAGGGAGGGAGAGAGAGAGAAACATTAACGCATGGTTGCTGGGAGCCATGGCCTGCAACCCAGGCATGTGCCGTGACTGGAAATCAAACCTGCAATGCTTTGGTTCGCAGCCCGTGCTCAATCCACTGAGCTACGCCAGCCAGGGCATCTCTTCCCTTTCAAAGGTGATTTAAGTTTTGGGAAAAGCCAGAAGTCACAGGGTACCAAATCTGGGCTGTAGCGGGCCTGAATCACCTGGGTGATTTGATGTTTCACCAAAAACTCTGCACAAGACGTGATGATGGGCAGGCATGTTGTCGTGATGAAGCTGCCAGTCACCAGTTGCCCATAGCTGTGGCTTTCTGAATCATCTGATTAGATTCCGTGGAGGAATGTTCAAGGTTAACACAAAATTTGATGCAGAGTCATTGCTGTACTTGCTCAGTCATTTTGAACATGACGGCCACACAGCACATACGCTCACATGCCACCACTGACTAGTACAGTGAAGTAGTCATTGTTCACACATGCACATTCCAGCCCACTCCTTGGCTGCCAGGTTACAGGATGTCACGCAGTTCTCATCACATTAACAATGGCTGTGCTTTTTATGGGTAGACCTCACGTAAGCAGAGAAACTGAGCCTGGTATTTTTGCATATCCTTCCTTCATAAAAACTACAGTTAATAGAATGTTTTTACTGTTCATGTTGACGTAACTTATTTAATATATTTTAATATATTTAACTTAGTTTAAATATGAAAATTTAGTTGTTAAAGAAACTATATGTTATAGATACTTCCTTTTGAAAGCTTAAATGATACTTCTTCAGGGACGTCTTTTCTGACACCTAATGAAAGTACCCTCATAACCTTCAGTCTTCAGGGGCTTTGTTTTTCTTCCTAGCATTGAACACTACCAAATACAATATTATGTTAAAAAACGTTTTTCCTGCTAGAACACAAAGCAGACAGATAGTGTCTTATTGATCCCTGCTGCAGTCGAGCTACTTTCCAGCGCCTCTTGATCTTTGGCCCATTTTTCTGCTGCATTACTTCTCTTTTATTTAGAGGTTTTTTATGTATTCAGAAGACCAATCCTTTGTCAAACAGATATATTGCAAATCGATTTGCCTAATTTTAATTCACTTTTAACTTTTTCTTTTTCCCTTAAGGTCTCTCTCACTTAGTAGCAGCATCATTTACAGAAGATAGATTTGGAGTTGTCCAGACTACTCTACCTGCAATTCTTAATACTTTGTTGACGCTGCAGGAGGTAGGCCATACGTGGGTCGGGTGAAGTAAAGGTCCTTTTCCTCCTCCTCCTCACTCCACCCCAGCCCAGTTTTTCATTTGTTTTTTTATGTATCATATTTATTGAGTAACAAAACATATGTTGGAAGTTAAAATAATGGTACTATTCTCACCCTCAGGAAATTGCTAAGAGAGACTAGGAAGAGATAATTTTAATTCACATATAAATAATGATTTCGTAGTTAACCAAAAAAGGAATTATGTATATTAAACCCATTGGTTGTACCTCTGGTATGAAACAGATTATTTAGGAGATTGCAGTTCTGTTCAGTGATACAAGTTTGGATCTGTACACAATTTGTAGCTACTGAAAGTGACCGTAGTTAAATTACCCATGAAGATGATAAGTTACCTATTGGCCAGAGGCTGAAAAAGATACAGATGAGGCTGGTGGATTCCCTGTCATCAGGATAGGTGCATAGTTTTAAACTAACAGGTCTTTTTAGTCCTAGACTTAAAGGCAGAAAAATAAAATGTATACTTCTTACAGGTGGCTGCTTTTCCTAACGTGATGTTGGGTACTGTGTTTTACACTGCCTAGTGCTACTTGGTGTATGTCAGATGTGGGATGTGAGCACTTACTTAGTGCTCGAGACACTTAGAGGTGGGGCCGGTGAGTGCAGTAGGTTTTCTGGAGGAGGTGATACGGAAGTAGGCTTGAAGGATGACAATGGATGCATCTTTTGGACTTAGGAGGCAATTAAAGATGTGAAGAAAAAACATGCTTCACTGTTGCTTTTTCATCACAATTCATTTTACCTCTAAGAAAGTATTACTTATAAAAACCAGTGATTTTTTTTTGCTTTGAGTCCTCTTTGTGCTTACTTTCTCATGTATGCTACTTGAGACATGTATGTTTCATTATTTGTCCTCTTTTTCTAGTTACCTTTCTCTAAAGAAATGATTCCCTAGTATTTGTCCACAACTGCTAATACTTGCCTTGTCTAACTACACAATTGGGTAACAATGATTTGGGCATATTTTGGGTACTTGTGGCATAGTTTGTTTTTCATCATTCTGGTTTTGTAATTTCAAATGACAATAACAGTATTATGCTTTATAGTCAACAAAGCAATTTCATATTATTTTTGATCCTCATAACTATCTTGTGAAGAAATGAAGATAGCTGTCCTATATTGATGAGGGAGGCTTGGTAGTGCTGTGACTTTCTTACACACAAGTCTTATAGGTGGCAGAGCTGGGACTGGAGCCCGAAGCTAATTGAAGGACATTAACAGTGTAGTAGACCCCAGGGAAAGCTACAGGTCCAGATCCATTATTTCTCCTTCAGAGCTTTTTATTTTCACATGGGGTTCTCTTCAGAGAGAGAGGTTCTACCAGTAGAACCATGCCTTTCAAACTTTTGGAACTGTGACCTGTAGTACATTTATTTTATATTAGATTCAGAATGTGTATGTGTGTGTGTATAAGTAACAAACAAAAGATTCTTTTTTAATTGAATTTATTGTGGTGACATTGGTTGATAACTTTATATAGGTTTCAGGTGTAATTCTATAATACATCTGTATATTGTATAATACATCTGTATATCTGTATGTGTGTCCACCACCTCAAGTCAAGAACCAAGGATTCTTAGAACACTTCCTACCTTTTACTATGGGTATTGCATTCTGATGTTTTCTATTCTATTTCATTTTTAAAAAATGCTGGTTAAAACAATTGATTTCATAGGGAATCCCACTGCCCAGAGATATTCTGTACCTAGATTAGTTTCTTCTCACTGCTCCACTGTAAATATTTCTAATTCTTTTTTGTAGTTGATTATGGTTAGGTATGACAAGGAAAGCAATCTGTTTATTTGATTATAGGTATTCATACCATTGGTTGGGAAGGTAGGAGTTACAGTTTTGACAAAAGGTCAGGTCCTATTTACGTTGAAACAGGAGTGGGACAGGAGAATACTTTTGAGGGGCAGAGTGGAACGAGGCAGAGTAAGTGTTTGGGAACCCAACGAGGTAAAAGGAACAGAGAACAGGCCCAGTGGTTTGGTACTGAGTGTGAAACTCTTCCTTGGTGACAGTTGTGGCATCTCTTCTCCGCTAGGCCACACCGCAGTCAGCCTTTTTGTCATGCTTGGCAGTCATTAGATTTTGCAAACTACCTTACAGTCTTTTCCTGTAATCAGTCCTCAGATTGGTTGTAATGAGTTATTCAGGGTCCACGTGGATGGGTATTTGTCCCACATCTGGGTACCATAGTTCTTTGACTTCTTCCCCCTCACTACCCTTTTATATACACCCTCAGTCTAATCCCATGGCTGTCATCTTGCCTCATTGTCTCCTGAATTCTCCACCTCCAAAGCTTAAAACTCCAGGATTCTGTCCTCTAGTGAAGGTAAATACGCAGTTTTTATCCTAAAGTTAATGCCCCTGCACTTTACCCATCGATCTGTGGGCTCATGTAAGAAGAGCCCTTGTGCCAAGCACAGGCCTCTCCTGCCCTTGCTTCTTCTGTGTACTTTGTCCTCACCAGTGTTTTCACCCCCTCTTTCAGCTCCCTCCTGGCTACATCTTTGTCTCTCCTATGCAGCCTAGGCCTTATGTCTGTCATAGTCATTTTTTTACTGATTCTTTCTGCTCCCTGTCCGCATGTTCTTCAGCTGCACCCATATGGCAAAACCCCAAGGGATCAATCCCATATTCACGACCCATCCATTCTCTTTTGCCCATCCCTCCTTATGGACCTTCCTGCAGGCTTGGGGCATTCCTGACCTGAATTATTTCTGCAGCCTCTTGTCCCTGCTAATTCTTGACAGAGATTCTTCATTCTGACTCCAGCCTCCTGTTCACCACATGAGCCCTCTGCTCTAGTAACCACTATGGTCTATTCGTTTTTTTCTCCCAAATATATTTTCTTAACCTAACTCTTAACTCTGTACATGATGTCTTTTCTTTTCTTTCCTTTTCTCTTCTCTTCTGTTCTGTTCCCTTAGAACATATTTTTCTCTTTTTGTCTGTCTCTGCCCTGTAACACCATCTCAGTACTTTATTACACTGTATTTTAATTGTCCGTTTACTTTATTGTCTGTATTGGAGTAGAGGCACGGACATTGTCTCAGAAGCATCTCACTGGCACTTGACTATCGTCATCACCTAATATTTTTATTCTGTAGTGGTGGTTCTCAACCAGGGGTGGTTTTATTCCCCAGGAGACATTTGTCAGTGTCTGAAGACATGTTGATTGTCACAACTGGGGAAGTGCTACTGTCATCCATTGTGCAGTGGCCAAGGATACCACCAAACAGCCTACAGTGCACAGGCACAGCCCCCATGATAGTTATCCAGCCCAAAATGTCAGCAGTCCTGAGGCTGAGACACTCTGCTCTATAGTCCCGACTTCCAGTAACAGAGTCTGCTCTTACCCTTAGCACTTGTTTGGGATTCAGGCTTTAGGAGAGTAAAACTTCTGTTTTAACTAGGTTGTATGTAGGGTCCTTGAGACTAGGAACTTCCAAGGCTCTGCACAGTGGACGTTTGTTAATGACGCTGGTAGATAAATATTCAGGGGAGAGTGACTGGACTTTTCTCTTTATTTGGCTTTTGTGCATATGCTACTGCAGATAAATATAAATGGGCAAAAAGTATCTGTTTTCATAGTACAGCCCTTCTTTAAATTTCTCTTAGGGCCAAAGTAAGGCCTTCATGGAATTTTTTATTTTTCCTGAAGAATATATTGTTCAGTGGTGTGTTGTACTCAGTGCTTCCTCTTTTTCATTGTTTGGGATAATTCTTAACTAAATATTTGAGATCCCAGTGTGTGAACTGAGTCTTCAGTGCAAACCATGGACAATGCATAAGCTGAGCCTTAGCAGGTACTTGTTTAGCCACAGAGCTGGTTAAGTACTTCAGTTCTCCTAACCATGGAGCACGCCATTACATATTATATGCCAGTATCTCCTAGATCGAGTTATTCATATACTGCCTTCATAGTTTTTGCCATAACTATTTATTATAATATACTGTTTTCATAATTTAATCATTTAGATAAATCAGAAGGTGAATACAGACAGATCACTAGCACTCCAGACCACCACCTCCGTTCATTAGAAACAGTGCAATGCACATATGTAACTGTGCATTTTTTAGTCGTTACATTAGAAAAATCCAGGTGAAGTTTATTTTAAAATATTTTATTTAATTCAGTATATCTCAAATATTATTTAACCATGTCGGTATAAAATTATTGAGATATTTTATGCTCCTTTTTTAATAGTAAGTTTTCAAAATCTGTGTATTTTTTACTTATAGCATATCTGAATTCAGACCATCTACATTTCTAGTGATTAAGAACTACATGTATCTTAGTGGTCACCACAGTGGACAGAACAGCTGTAAACTTTAATGATGGTGAAATTGATCATACAAGAGGAATTTCAGATTAAATCTTCAAATGATAATATTCTAGATATAGTTTCCAAAATACAAATTCAAGAATTGATGACAAGAATATATTTTTAAGGAGAAAAAGGAAATATGTATATGTGATATTCTCATCTAGTAAGTTATTTAACAGGAAGGACTTTGTCCCACAATACAAATTAGAGCTTGAATCATTCTATTTTTGCTAAAAGTACACATGATAATATTCCTTCATCTTCTATGATACATGTGCACCAAAATTTACTTTATACAGTTCATCAGTGGATAAATGCTAAAAGTGTGCAAAGGTGATTAGAAGGCATAGATGATGGCAAAATGAAAAAAGTCACTGGATTAACCTTTTGAATCTGTCTTTATAAACCTAAGAATGAAAATGTTTGCAATTGTGCTGTGAAGAAGACAGTTGAATTCTCTTCAACAAAGTTATAAGCTGTTAAAAGTTTTTTAAAACATTGCATTTTAATTATACAAATGCAAGAAAAAGAACCAGAAGTAATGATAGGCCAGAACCTATTGAAGATATATTTTCAATTTGAAATCAGTATTACAAGATGGATGTATTCCAGGTTTATGCATGGTAGCTAATGAGTTGCATTCAAAGTGCATTGCCCATTTCAGATATCTATGTTCAAAACCTGGAAAATACGTTTATATTGTTATTTAAATCTCTATAAAATTATTTTACATTATCCTGTCATTCTTCTGTAAATTGTTTGCAAAATAACTTTAAACTGTAAAAAGGGCTCATTGGACCAAGGTGGTAAATGATGATGAGTATTTGTCCTGATAATACTGAGAGTTAATCAGAAGGTTTGCAAGGAAATTGAAGAGGAAGTAACTTTCCATTATGATTCAGTGCTACTTAATGTTGTTTAATATGTCATGGAATACCACCTTCCTAATGCCTAAAATTATCTCAAATATGTCCCAGTCTTGGGAAATAATCTTATAAGTTACTGTTGAAAGAATAAATGATTAGACTTGAAGTTATCATGGCAGACTGAACACACATATCAAATCTTGTTCCTTTGCCCAAACTCTGCTAAAGTATAGTAAAAGGATGTTTAAAAAGACATAAATCCATAAACAGGAGAAGAGACAACAGCAACAAAATTTTCAAAGCTGGAAAGCAGATAATTGAGTAAGTGACTAAGCAGCTCAGAGGCAGACCTGAAGTTGTTAGTGGGGCCAGTACCAAGTATCTCTGAAATGAAGGACAAAGACACGGGTACCAAAAGAGGTTTAGGTGAGAGCTGTTTCAAAACCAGTTAGATCCTGCCCTGGCTGGTGTGGCTTAGTGGATTGAGCACTAGCCTGTGAACTGAAGGGTCACCAGTTTGATTCCCAGTCAGGGCCATGCCTGGGTTTTGGGCCAGGTCCCTGGTATGGGGCGTGCAAGAGGCAACTACACAGTGATGTTTCTCTCCCCCTTTCTCCCTCCCTTCCCCTCTCTCTAAAAGTAAATAAATAAAATCTTTAAAAACAAAACAACAGATCTCTAGACTCTCTGCTGCTGGTGCCCCCCCTCACTCCCAGAATAGTTGAAGTTTATCCCCTAGAGAAGTTAAAAACACCAGGTTTCTGGACTGAGAGAGTCCAGACACAGTTCTGGGTATTGTACTAAAAGCTTAGTAGCAGTGTTTCCCGCTTGGCTGCCTGAGCACTGGGGACTGGAAAACTCCTCTCTGGGAACTCTGAACGATCCAAGAAGGAAGACCTAAAGTTCCTCAGTTGGGTGCTCACCCTGCAAAGGTCACACAGATCACCTGTTGTGAAGGCTGTTGTTAATAATCTAACCTTACTCAGAGCGTTTGGTCAGACAGGAAGTCCCACTCTCATTCATGAGCCAAGGGTAACCTCTTCCCTCCCTCCTTCCCTCCCTTCACATTCCCTTTCTCTTTAATGCTCACATGAGGATATGTTTATTGCCTGGTTTTAGATAGAGGAGGGGGGAGAGAAACATCCATCAGTTGCCTCCTGTATGCACCCTGAACCGCAATCAAATACAAAACCTAGGTATGTGCCCAGACCAGGAATCAAGCCCACAGCCTTTGGTGTTGGGACAACACTCCAGCCAACTGGCCAGGGCAAGGGTCACTAGATTTCTGGTAAAGGTCTCTAATGTAGAAGATAAAGATCAAAAGACTCAAGGAAGGGGATGGTGTTGTGGAAGAATCTGTAACTAGCCAAAAAACAAAAAAACATTTAAAAAATCATCAAAATCCTCAGAAATAAGAGGATGTTAACATCCTTGAAACAAAAGTAGGATGCTGAAATAAAAAGGATCACCTAGATGACATAAAAGAGCTCTTGAAATTAAAAACATCGTTATAGCTTATTTTTATTACTTTTGGTGGTTATATTCATTATTATAAATAATAGCTTATACTATTAATTCTTGTCCCTTTGGACATTATCTTGCTGTAATAGATTTGTACACTTACACTTCTCTATTTTCACCAGTCATCTCTTAATGTAGTTATGTCATATAAAAATGATATTATTTACCTTAGGCCTTTAAAGATATAGTTAAATCTCTGAACTGTCAACTATAAATAAAATCAGTTTCACTTGAAAATTCACTTGAATTTTATCTCTCCCACTCTGTTCTTGCTCATAGGTGCTTAATCATCTAGAATTGAAAAGGAAGATTAGATAGTGAAGTAAATGACTGTTATTTATGTAAACTATAAAGTTTTATCCTTGTTTTTGCCAAGCTTTTTAATAAAGGACTCATACTGTTAAACATAAGCAGAGTAGGTTATCTGTGTTTCACTTCCCAGCTTTGCATTTTTGAGGATGTTGTGAAGTATAGACTTTGTTTTTAGAGGAAAGGACTTTTTTCAGGTAACCGCTGAAGTGGCTGGACTTCTACTGCGTTGTTTTTCAAATGGCTTGTGGTCCAGAATAAATATTTCATAGTATGTGTCTGTCTCTCTGTCTCTCTATCTGAAATAAAGTCTCCTTAACCCTTTGGACTAGGTTGGCCTCCACTGTAGTCTGCTCTGATGTGTTTTCTTTCTTTGATCTAGGCCGTTGACAAGTACTTCAAGCTTCCTCACGCTTCTAGTAAACCACCGCGGATTTCAGGAACCCTTGTGGATACTTCTTATAAAACATTAAGATTTGCCTTTAGAGCATCACTGAAAACTGCCATCTATCGAATAACTACTACATTTGGTGAACATCTAAAGTAAGTTTACCTGTTTTGATCCCTGATGATAGTGCATTTTCAGGAGTTCTCCTAAGAAATAGGTATGAAAATTATAAAGGCTCACGCACTAACAGGGTTCTCTTGGGACCTTCATGATTCCTCCAGGAGTTAACAGCTTGGATTGAGACTTCATGTTTTAAAAGTTGGCCTGTTGTATACGATTTGGGGCCTTCTTTCAAATGGACCAAAAGAAGGGGAGAGAAAGTTATGAAAGCAGCAAATGTAATTATATATCATTTTTTTAAATTACCAAAACATCCTTCAGGGACGAAAAAGGCAGAAAAATAATAATTCTTGTTATTGCATCTTGGTCAGCAAACTAAGACTTGGGGTGAGCAGAGTCTTCCACAAATGAGTCCTTGGTGCTTGTGAGTCACGCTGGAAAAACAGTGACAGGTCACAGCACCTTTAGACACAGAGCCAGAGAGAAAACCACAAATGCCAAACCTGTTTATATTTAGTTTCATTGATGTTTACTGCTTTCTTCTCATGAAATAATTTGGCTAAGCAGGATAAGAGATACTAGTTTATTAACTAAACTTTGTTTTATCATAATTATGAATGAACTTTAGAAGACAAGAGATTACTCTGCTTTTTCTGTATGCAATCAGTTAGGACTTGAAAACTTCTTCATACACCTGCTTTTAGAAACAGTGGTATGTTTTCTTTTACTTCCATAATACTAGGCGGTAGCAGCAGCAAGTATTATGGAACACTTTGGTTCTGAATGGGAATACCAAAGAGCTGTGGATAATCCTCTCTCCTTAAGAGGTTATTATTCACTTGTTTAAAAAGAAACAAAATCTGTTATTGAGTACCTCCTACATCTGCGCTTTTCAAAATTATAGCCATGTATGGCTATTTAAATTAAACAAAGTTAAATAAAATTTAAAATCTAGTTATTCATCACACTGGCCTCATAACTGCAACGGCTAGTGGCTACTCTATTGGACAGCTTTGATACAAAACGTTTTCATCAGTGTAGAAAGTTCTGTTGGATAGTGCTGTCCTAGGCAATAACTTTGCACTTAATATACATATATTTCTTTTTATGTATTCTTCTCAAAGGACCTGTGAGGTGTACAGAGATAGTCATAACTCTAGAGAAATAGAAATGGAGGCCCAAAGAGATTGAGAACTTGCTTAATAGCACAGTCCAATGGGTGGTAGAACATGAACTTGAACTGAGGTCTTTGTTGCTTTTAAAACTCTACCTTCCCAGCATACCACTAGACTGCCTACAAGATGTGTACTGTCCTGCTGAATACTTTCAGCGAACACCCAATGAATTTAGAGAATGAAAGAGACATGTGATATCCCTATCTATGTAGGTGACAGTGCAAAAACAGGAGAAAAGGGGAAAATTGAGATTTCTTAGAAAAGAATGGGAGGGAGATAGATGACTGATAACAAGTTATGAGAATGAACCTCTACCTTAGCTTTTCTCTGAGAAGAACCAAATTTTATATGTGCATTAAAATTGATGAGATTAATACAGGCTCTTTTGTACAAATATAGGACAGAATGGTATAGTGGAAAAAATTTTAGATTTAAAAAAAAATTCTCATCTGAGGTCATGCTTAGTGATTTTAGAAAAGAGAGGAGAAGGGAGGGAGAGAGGGAGAGGGATGGAAACATCACTCGGTTGCCCCTCGTATGTGTCTGGACCAGGGACCAAACCCACAACTCAGGCATACGTGCCGACTAGGGGTCAAACCCATGACCTTTTGGTTGATAGGACGATGCTCCAACCAACTGAGCCATACTGGCCAGGGTGAAAAGATGTTAGATTTAGAGTTAAAACATTTAGATTTTTGTCCAATTACATCATTGACTATCATTGGTTGTGGGCAAGTTTCCTAATGATTTAAGTAATTTGCTCAAGAATTTGCAGGTAGTAAATTGCAGGGACAGAATTCAGACTTAGAATTTTCTTACCCGAGAGTTCTGTCTATAGTGTCTAATCTCAACCAGTAGGTTGTTCATCCTACCTTGTTCCATTTGTTGTTAATAGAGTTAAAATGGGACCATACATTTATGAAGCCCCCACTGTACATTATATGTTGTTTGGAAAATAACTTATTACCGTATAATATCTAATTTATTCATTACCCAAAGCTCTGAGAACCAGGTTTAAATTAAGTAAATTTGATTTACTGATTTTCTAGCCCATAATATTAAAATTTGAGGGGAAGAGACAGGTATTCGAGTTGGGAGTACTGACAGTTGTGAGAATGCGGTGCCTGCTAGCAGAGAGAAGATGCATGAAAAAAGCTGCAGACTTGGTGTTTGAGAGCATTCAGAGCCATTTACTTGGAGACGACAGCCTCACTAGCACCGCGGTGGGAATCTGCACAGAAAAGGACTTGAAATGGTTCAGTTAGAGGCAGCTGCATGATTTAAGGAAGCAGAGTTATATGTGTAAGGACTTAAAGTATGATTTGCAGCAAAATTGTTACAGTCAGACTCTTGGGCACTTTCAGAACTGGTGACTTTCAGTTACTAGAATTTTATCATTCAGTAATGATATATTACTATTTAACAACTAGAAAGCCAGAACCTTTCATTGTTTTTTGTTTTGTTTTGTTTTGGTTTTTTTTTGCCTAGAAGTTTAAAAGGAGGTTTTATACTAGTTTTAATATATACTTCCCCTAACTTTGTCAAGGTAATGTATTTTTGTGGGGCTGAGGATTGAGAAAGAACTCAATTTCTCCATGCAAGACGTAATTTATTTTCAAAGGGAAAAGTAAATCTAAACCACCAAGCTGTTACCTTTGAAAACGATTAGTGGAGTCTATTATGTTTTAACCAAACATTTTAGTTTAAAGGATTTTATATTAAAGGCAATTCAAATACTCCACAACTCAAAGATAATGTTAGAATCTGGTTTAAATAAAATAATAAAATCCAGAAAATCTGTAAGGCCTGGAACTCTGCACAGCAGGTTCCACAGCAGAGCAGGTTAAAATCGATGCCTTTACTTGTCGGTCTTAATTTGCTTTGGTCTTTTAGAAGGTGGAAGCATGCCATTACTGAATGCAAGCCCTCCTCCTCGTTAGATTAAGGAGAGTTTTCATCCAGCTTTTTCAGAAGTACTAAATAAGTGAGGACTTCTCTTCATTTTTAATTGTTTTGAAAAATATTGACTCTGTGCTCTGTGGTTCACTTAATATGCTTAATGTAAAATAAAGCTTATGCTTTGAATTTATGTTTCATTTAGTGCTGTGCAAGCATCTGCAGAACATCAGAAAAGACTTCAACAGTTCTTGGAGTTCAAAGAATAGTTAAGTAATATAAACTGTGTTCATTACACTGCTGATACAACTGCAGATGGGACAGTAAATGTTCAGCATTCTTGGATCAGAAGAAAATGGACTAATTAGATGCTTCCTTTGTCGTGGTGGTTGCTTTGAAAACTATACTTTAATGGGAGAAATCATGGAAAGAAATTCTCAACAGAATAACTGAAAACGGCCTTTTCTGTACCAGTTCCTCGTTGTGTGTGTGGTATATATAATAAAATATTCAATTTCACAGATGCGTCTATGGCAGTACAAATGTCTTGAGCTTATATAGCTTAATAATAATAATTAGAAAATTTTTAGAATTTGCTTTTGAAAGTGGTAGAGCCAGTTCAGAAGGTAAAATAGGTTGATTTGCTCCAGTCTTCCTTCCTAATTGTTCGGAGAGTTTAGCTCTCTGTAAACTCGAAATACATAAACTTTTTAAGAGTCGTTGCTGTGTACTAAAGGATAAAAATGGTAACACTGGAGAAAAGTTCACAGAAAAAATATTTTCTAAAGGACATATTTTGTTAATATGTTAGGTTATGTTTTTGTTTCCAGAGACAAATTAAATTTGCATGATTGTCCAAAAAAAAGTCTCAATTTACAGATGCTAACTCTATATAAAGGAATGTGGAAAAAATCAGTTCTTAAGTTACAAGGTTAAACATTCTCATTTGGTTTTTGAAAGACAATCGGCTGACATGTATGAATTTATTTTGTATCTTGCTAGAAACAATAAGTGTATGACTATTTTCCCATCTAGTTTTACTTTCTTTTTGTGGAACAAAACATTAACTGATTGTAGAGTTGTTCAAGTGAGGGAAAATGTTTTGCAAGAAAAGAAAAACCAGGAAACTTTCCCTTTTTACCACCCTTCATCTTCATTTTGTGAAGCTTTTTTGGCCTCACAGAAGGAGCAGTCTTAGCTGTGTTAACTGGCTAATTAAAATACATTAGGAAAATCTTTGCAGCCAGAAACAACTTAGTCCTCAACTAGCGAGTGAGGCTAAAACATCAGAGGAATTACTTGCTAGCCTGTTGTATGTCCCCAGAGTGAGCGAGGTAATTTTATAATTTATTTGCTCAACTTCTTTGTAAACGAAAGATCGGAAATTCTACTAGTAGATATTCACTGGACTAGCTTTGGACCGAAATGTTTCATTGTAATTTTTTTCCTATTATCTTTTCCCCTGGTGTCCCCCAATTTTTTTTTAGCACAGTGTTGTAAATGATTCTTTAATGTGGTATATATGTCTACAATTTGTCTGACTACTTGATGTATTTTATCTTTATTCCCTCTGTTTGTTGCCCCTTCAGCCAGCACATGTCGGATAATAAATGAACCCTGCTAACCTGTACAGTGTCTGCATGAGAGCTCCCCCGTTGTCAAGGGTTTGGAGGATTTAGGCTACTGCCATTGCTTTTTCCTCCCTGAAGTGGAGTTGATCTTTTTTTTTTAAATATGAAAGTTGAATTTTGAATGGTAGTTACTTACAGATGGCCAGAAAATTGTGACTAGGTTGACTGAGAACTGCTGAGTTTTATGTTTTAAAGCCATTGAGCTTTTTATATTTTATTCTCTGTGTTCCCCCTGGCTGATACATTTTGGGAGAAAAGGACTCTTAACCTTCTGTTGCCCTAAAGAATTACGGTATTGAACCCATTTTCTTCCTGAGACTGATGATGGGATGATGATTTCTTTAAACTCTTGGATGAAATGTCTGGCTGAGACTTTGGGCAACGGTATGTTTGATGAGCACTGTGAACCTTTTTGAGATGTTCATTCCTGTTCTCTCTCCAGAAGATGTACTTTGTACAAAATATCTGTCACATAAAGTCTGCTTGGTAGGATTTGGAAACTGTCTTCCCAAATCTGGATTGTATTTAGCTGAGAAGGAAGTCAGTTCCTTTTCCCCATTGTGTGTTGATAATCTCCACACCATCTGTTGGGGCGGGGTGTGGCTCAGTCACCTGCTATTAAAAAGAGCTCCTTCTGCTGTGTGCAAGGAGGAGGACCTTAGGGAGCCAGGAGGAGAGCATCACTTCCTTTGATGAAGTCATTGTGCCTTGAGCCCCACTGGTGCTATAACATTGGCCTAAAAATTGGTGTTCTTTAAGAGCTTTTCTCTGTCAGTATAAAACATGATTTTGTCAGCTCTTATAATGTTTGCTTGACCCTTACGGAAGGTATAAATCCATATAACTTCTTTCTCGGAGACCTTGAAACTGTCCTGTGATAAACATGGTACAGTTCAGTGGACCTGGATAAGCTACAATTCGTTATTTTGCTGGGTTTGTTCTTTGGTAATTTTTTTGTATGTCTTCCTGTAAATGTGGTAATCAGCTTATATCTTTTTGTATATCGCTGACACTGAATTGAGTAGAAAAATAAATCAACATTTAAAAAAGTAGGACTTAATTGAAATGTATATATACAAGGTCAATTACTTATTTCTGGTGTGTTTCCTTGGCCATTTCAATTCCTTCTCTACTGTCACTGCTTATAAAACCTGAAAAGAAGTTTAGTTTCTTGAAAAATCAGCTTTTGCTCTTAATTAGACTAATTTGGTGGGTGACTAGTATTTAATTGTAACTCTAAGGAGCCTGAATTTAAAAAATCTTTTTTCATCGTCTTGGCTTGCTCCTTTCAAAACTAAACAAAGGAGGCAGGTGCTGAAAGCCATCTTTTAATAGAAGTTTCTTTTCCTGCCAGAATAGTGTTTCTAAACGGATCATATTCCCCCAGGCTAACAGTTATGTCTGTCAACTTTACTTAGATTAGTCTGAACTTCACCTCAAGCTAGTTGAGGTACTGTACTAAGGCCCTCAAATCCCTCTTTTGCTCTCCCAATGCAGTCATCTTTCTTTAAAACCAAGTAGCTTAAGGTGGCTTTAATTTATCAGTTGACAATCTAGCTATTCTTAGCAAGCTGCTGACCAGAATCACACTGTGAGAAGGCTTTGTTATAGACCAGGAGTCACCAAATTGAGCACGCATCAGAATCACTTGGAAAGCTTGTTAAAACACTGGGTCGCACCTCTAGAGTTTCTGATCATGTAAATCGGGGGTGGGGCCCAAGGACTTGTATTTCTGACAAGTGTTCAGGTGATGCTGTTAGTCAGAAGAGCACCCTTTGGGAACCACTGCTCTAGTGAAATCTCTTACATGGGGTGGACTCTGGTGAGTGTCTGAAGCACAGTTTTTCCATCTGATTTGCTTACTGGGAAGCTTGAAGAGTATGATTAGACCCTCTAAGTAGAAATGCTGAGACGGTACTCAGGTGTTTATGTGCTATCTTGAAACTGCAGCAGGTGATAGGACATGAGCTGCTCTTTCACACCATTAGGTGCTCCTGTTGTTCCCTGTCTTGGCAAACTTCTCCTTCTTCCCAGTGAGCTTAGCCTTCCCACATACTCCCAGAGATTTTGTTTTTTCAATGTTCTGCCATTCCTCATTTTTTGGACCTTATCACACTGAATTGTAACTTAACTGATTATAAATTTTCATCCCCTTATAGACTATGAGCTCCCCCTCCTTCCAGGATTCCAGTTACATTTTCTCAGTATATCAACATTTATTTGGTAGCTAAACCTGACCTTAACGTATGTGAGACTGTTGATTTAATTTATTTCACGTAGTATGACTCTGTTGACATTGCCTGTAGTATGTTTTATTATGAGGTGCTGTTCAGACCCCACGGGTCTGGCCTCAGGAGTTTAAGACAAGGTGTTGTTGACTTGCTTTTGTAGAGTGCTGTTAATTCTTATATTCACTCATTAGCAATCACTCCCTGCCTGCCTTGTACCAGGCTTTGTGATAGGCTCTGCTGGTATAAAGTCACAGCCGTTGGCCTCAAAGCTCACCACCTTGTGTGGGTGAAGTGAGTGAAGGCAACCCTTCTTTGCACAGACCTTTTTTCTACTTATTTACAAAATTGATGTGTGTTGCTATTACTCTCATTGATGACGGAGCATCTGTTCTGTTCTTAGCTGCACTAAATGCATCTACTTAAATGCCCTTGTGCTAGCTTGCTTTGTCACTTGCATTATTTTGCAGGAGTTGTGTGGCTCTTCCTTGCCCTCAAGTGTTCATGTTCTCCTTGAACACACAATATCTTACCAGACACCATTGACTGTGCCCTGCAACGTAGCTCTGGATAATGTGTGGGATGCCTCTGGCAGAGAAACATTGGAAGGTGACCTCTCAATCACAGGCCTTTGCTTTGATAGTCTTTTGAAGATGCTTTGACTATTGATTGGTTTATCCTTTTTATCTTTCAATTTATTTTTTAAAGATTTTATTTATTTATTTATTTTTAGAGAGGGGAAAGGAGGGAGAGAGAAACATTAATGTGAGAGAGAAATATCCATCCATGGCTTCTCATGCTCCCCCCTACCGGGAACCTGGCCCTCAACCCAGGCATGTCCCCTGACTGGGAGTTGAACCAGTGACTTTTTGGTTTGCAGACTGGCACTCAATCCACTGAGCCACACCAGCCAGGGCTCAATGTATTAAAAACAGTGTTTTGCAGCTTGAATGAATAGTCCCTCCCTAACTATACAGTGACTCTTAGTTGCAAGGACACAATCCTCACCTCAACTTAGTTTGAGCATAAAAAGGGGAGTTGACCTGACCCTAAGGGCACAGGGAAGTCATGGTGGACACAAAGATAGATGTGCTTCCGCACCCCATGAAGAATCTGTAAATCTCTCAGGATATCTAAATGGTTCCTCTCTGCTTCTTTGTGCATCAGTGCTTTGGTTCTCTTTCCTTGTCTACTGGCTTTTGACCTCTCTTTCCATCTGCTCTCTAGCTCCTGATTTGTAGATAATAGAGACCGACCAGCTGTTTCTGAGTGCCAACCAAATTCTTGATTGAAAGAAATTAGTCCAAGTGGATCAACTGTCCAAGGGTCTAATTAGGCTTTAGGAACAAGGTCACACAGTGCCAACATGGCTTCTAAGAGACAACCTCTGTTCATCAGGAGAAAGTGGAGTATAGGAGCAGTTCTCAGAGCCTTCCAAGATGGACAAAATTTAGGGTTCAGGGCCTCCAAAGAGGGACTGCTAAGTCCCCTTGCTTTGATTTGGAACCCCGGAGGGCTGCACCCTAGAAGGAAGGTTAAAGAGGAAGTACATTGCATGACCTGTGTGTAGTTGAGTTAGAATCCTCATTAAATTGAATTGCAGTAATCTCTCTTTGCCAATGTTTCTAGGTCCTGGGAGGAGATATCATATAGCCTCTCTGG